ACGATGACCGACCCTGGAGGCGAAATATTGAAACACAACCTCATTCTTCTGTGATTTATTGAAACACAACCTCACTTTTTTACTTGGTTACAGAGGAATCAAAAGGTTGAAATAGTTTTTCACAATAGTTTGGCATACAAATCGTGTTTCTTGCGTTATTCATTAATTCAAGCATGCCTTCGCATTGTGCTGTTGTACAATGCACAAAAAATGCAGCAAGAGACTAGGGAATATGATTTTTCAGGTAAATAGTAATCTCACATAGTTAGCATTATGAAATGTTGTCATTCCTTATTAAAATTCCTTCTGCCTTCTGCCACTTCTGCAATACAAGCTAATGCTGCTAATAGATTGAAAATGTCTACAACACACACGATCGTCAACATGTCAGACCAGTCCTACCGATTGATTGCATGAATCCAATCTTCTTGCATTATTCTAGAAATTTCAGGTATATTTCTATTAGCTGATCCTATTGCAGAAGGAATTCCGATGAGAAATCAGAGAAATAACCAAATTTCAAAAATGAAAACTATGTGAGTGACTATAGTAGGTACTTACTTTTGAATCATAATGTACCATCCGGATTTCTTCATCTTCCGCTGAAGTTTTTGTGCATTTTACAACAGCACAATGTGATGGCATTAGCGAATTGATGAATAGCGGAAAAATACGATTCATATGCCAAAATAATTGTGGAAAACTATTTCAATCACTTGTAAACAAATATGTTTTGCCTCCAGGGTCAGTCATCTGACAGTTCTTGCACGCGACCTATTAGGGTACGGACACTAGACAAGCAGTGACAATAAAACATAACCACAAACGATTTTGAAGCAAATCATATGTTTTGCCAGACAAGGACAAGAATATGTTTTTCGCTTAGACCAAAGGATCCTCCCATCTTCCTTCCTTCACAAGTCCTGGGAAGAGTACATCCATATATCTTTCTCTGTCTTTGATTTTTGTATGAAAGCGCATAGCGTCTCCTCGAGTGGGTAAAAGGGTGGGATAAATTGATAAGGCTGAAGGACCTCAATGGAGGTCGATATCAAGTTGGTATCTACATATATACCAACGAAATACATATACTATTCCTATAAAATAAGTCTCTTAATATGTAGGTTTATACCGGGGGACACAGGAGACATGTAGCAGCCTGTAGTTTTTTATTAGAAGGGATACAATTTTGAAATCTACAGGGGGTATATAATAAATGGTAGCGCACTTTACGAACGTAACGACAATTTTTTTCAACCACCTGTTTGACCGGAAGTGACCCCAACTTTTTTTTTTCAAATGTCACCCAGTACATTTCTTCAGTCTACAGTAACACAAGGTGGCATTTATATTTCTTAATTCGCTGTTGAATTGCTTTTATTCAAAAAGAATAAGTTGACTGTGACATGAATTCGATGATATATCGACACTTGGTAGGCTTTGAAATTTAAATATCATTAGTAGACCGATATTATTCAAAATGTTTTGATATTCTGATCAATGTCTGCAGGTTGTCAATAGCTTGTTTGAGTCAAGATGAAAACCTTCGAAAATAACTCATGATATTGAGGAATCTAAGATAGGAACATATTTTTTCGAATTCAGCTACTCGTACAAAAACTATCTGTCTTTTATTTTCGCCATATACCTATCACATGATATTCCCATTTGGAATAATAAAACTAAAACTGTTCCTCTTATACGATGATCCACAGGGCTATCAGTCTATTTTTTCATAATAATTTCACTTAGTTGGCGGTGTACCTACACAAAATGTTTTGTGTTTGACAGTTAATCGATTGCATCAATAATTTTTCTTTTTCATTTGTGTGTTGATTAAAATTGCATATTATCAATAGAGACGGAAAATGTATTCAAGAAACGAAAAAGTCGATATGTTTTTTTCTTCTATTTGTTTCCTGAATTCCTCACTCTCTTCCTGCTCAAGTCTTTTCCTTTCGAAATATGTTCGAAATGAATTTCATTACCTCCAAGTTTTTAGTTTCTTGTTGGTTCTAAATTGGAATAAGGTTCTTTTCGATACTCGCACAGTTTATAAATTGTGGGTTCGGCTCTTTCTCTCAATACGATCCTATTCTTCAACATGAGATCTTCCGTTCTGAAGTGTACCTGATAAAAATGAGTTAAAAAATGTTCTATATCCTACCAATAAATTTGAATACCTCGCAAATGTTGTGGCCTGAACCTATATTCCATTTTTGTAGAATTACGTTATCCGATGGAAATTCGAATAAAGTGAATTGATTTCCCGTGTTCTCACAGTTGGAAACTGCAAAACAGTTCCCGCTTTTTCCATCAATTTATTTGTGGTTATGTCTGATTGTCAGTGCTTGTCATAGTGTCCGTACTCTAATATAGAAAAAACGTCAAAACAGCAGTGTCAAGTACATTTAGGAACTCTACACTCTATCATCGTCAAGAATCGCGGCTCAGGGATAGTGACGGCCCCTCCTTGGCCCCTCTCTGTGGACGCCCAATGCCAGGGCCTACTCTATCTCACCGGGCCGGAGCATCGCTTTCGTGACGTCACACTAGTAGGGACAAAATCAACGCAGTGGAAATTGTCTCTCCCGTTTCATTGATTTACCTCGGGAAAACGGTCACAGTTAGCGAAAAATATCAAGAGGTCAAATATGTACAGAATAGTTATTTGTTTAACTAGGCAGCAAAGTAGTAGATTGACTGCCGTGGCTGAATTCATAGCCGAGCGTAGCGAGGCTAGGAATCCAGCTAAGGCAGTCAATCTACCTTGCTGCCGAGTTGAACATATAATTTTTTCTCCGATTGTTCATAATGATATGGGAGAATATTGTTTTTGTGAATTAATACAATTCCCACAATCTCTTTATTCTTCCTGTATAGTGTTAATTAAAATAAAATTTGATAGAAATCGCAGTTGTTGGTTTGACAATTCATGAAATTTCTGACAGTTGTGCGAAAAAATATCGGTATATTTAAATTATTATATAATGGACAGTGATAGCGACCTAGAAGTATACTTACACCTCCATTAATAAGGGAGGTGGCAAAAAATATGGAGTTGAATTTGTTGCCGGAGAAGTCTCGGAAGAAATATGGAGGAAATTATAAACGATTTATGGATTTTTGATTTTGCTGATCCATATCAATCAGCAAAGTGACCACTTTGCTGCCTAGGCAGCAAAGTACCCACTTTGCTGCCTAGGCAGGAAAAGTAATACTTTGCTGATTGATATGTGTCAGCAAAATTAATATTTGCTGCCAATCGGAGGAAAAAGAATTTTCCAGAAGATGAATCTAATTTCACTGATTTACGATCATTAATTTCAGAAATATGGCATATCAAAATTAATTGACGCCATTCAGAAATGTCCTTTTTCAAACAGCTACCAAAATTCCAATATCCAATTCACAGAAATGATTCAATCATGAAAAGATTTCCCATAGTATCTAGATTGACTGAGTTTTTTTTCAAATTCCCAAGGGCCAACATCAAACCGATATTTCAATTCAAGTAGAACGATGATTCAGGTGTTCATTACAGAATAGTTCAAAAAGTTCGGACGCCTCCCATGCTAATCCTATCAACTATGGATATATGCTGTCACTGACTTTTTTGTAGGAAATTTGATAGCCTACAAATCGGTAAAATACACATCCACTTTATCTTGAAGGGTTTTAGCAGCGTTTATCTCTAAAGATGATCAGGACGCACTTTGATGACGTTAGAAATCCTATCACTCGAGTGTGTTATTACACAAAAACGCCTATTCGGTATCAATTATTTTCTGCTGAAGAGTATATATTTGAATGATAACGTTTAATTCATGAAAAAAATTTGAACTATCAAAATTAAAAAGAACAAAGTATGTGGAGTTCATATGAACACAACCTAACAAAAATAATTGAAAAAATATGTATCTCAACAATGAGAGATATAAAAATGAATATAACGAACTGAATAACATAATACCCAGAACAACGATATATGAATGAATAAGGAAAAAATGAAAAAAAAAAAAAAACGTTGAATCCTTATTATACACAAACAAAACCAATCCAAATAAACTGTAAAAATGATCAACATAACAAAATAAAATAAATTGATAGATATCACAAAATGAAATACACTAATAACAAAAAATATACATACATCATCTCAATCACAAACTAAAAATTGAAATTGATTTTTCTTTTTTATTTTTTTTGTATTTTGCAATAATTGTTCAACAGAATATTTGAAATGGTTTTAGAGAATGTTCTGCTGATTCCATCAGAAGACCCACAACTGCAACATTGATTCTCGGAATAATTGAGAAGGGCATTGATTTTAATTTCTGCTAAATTCTCCAAAACTTTATGTTGTGACTTACATTGTAGAAATATTGTTTCGAAATTCTCACACACCAATATTAGTTGGTCTGAACCATACGCCATTTAGAAATAAAATGAGTAATAAAAAGTATATCGCCCTGTACCAGCCCAAGGAATTCGCGAAATCGTAATACAGTGAAATTTGGGTAGGTAGGTATAACGGCCCAATTTTTACGCGCTCAGTATATTTAATTTCTTTCGGACTCATTGTAGGTAATTCTACAATTTTTTCACTATTCAATTGATTCATTATCGTAGTCTGATATATTTGGTTAGTTTCATCTCATTCCAATTCCAAATTTGCAAAAAATAGTATTCTGTAGTACAACGTCCTGATTTTCAATAAAATGGAATTTCGTTACAACGCCATAACTCGGTAGTGATTCATCCTATTGAATTCATTTTTCCACCAAAAGTTGGGGAATTTGTTGGGGATCATTTCGTCTCGATTGAGTGTGCTTCTAAAATTTATAGTAAATGCGCTATAGCCTATCAATTACGAACGCACCAGTACGGACTGATGTGAAATCTCAACCTACTAGTGTGACGTCAGCGTCGAGAGAGAGGGGATAGACTACGGCCCGGAGATACAGTAGGCCCTGCTAATGCCCATGCAAGAATCTCACCTCTTTTTCCGCCGACAATTCATCGACCTCCGCATCCAATCGGTTCTTGTACTGCTCTTTTTCCGACAGGTCCGCTCTCAGGGCAGAACATTCTCGAGGATCCACATCCAGTATTTCGGTGAACCGTTGAACGTACCCCGCGTTCGCAGCCTCTATGCCATCCACGTCCAAGTCGTGTGCATTGAAAAGAGCATGCCTCTCGACGACGAAATTCCAGCAAGTCTGTATAATAGGAATTTTATCACCTTATCTATAGTTCTATACTAATATTATGAAGAGGAAATATTTGATTGTTTGTATCATTTTGTATGTACAGTCGTATTAAAAAAAAGGCGTGCAAGTATATAGGAGGAAGAAATTAACGTCATCCTATTTGCGTAAAACGGGCTATCGGGAATGAATGTTTACCAAATGTTGACAGTAGAGTAATCATAGGTTCTCAAAAACACAAAGCATTGGCTGAGCCAATTTTACACCGAATGCCGAAATCTTCTATGTTTAATACTCGTACGCTTTTTTATTGAATACGACTGTATGTATTGAATAGGCTCCGAAAATACTGGATCGAGGAGGAGGTTCTAGGATCTTTGAGAATCGCCTCCTACAATATTGACATTCAATTAGGAAACACCCTGTATAGGCCAAAAATTCGTATCATAATGTAAAGTACGTGTCTTCATTGGTCGAATTCTGTATCATAATGAATATCCGTGTTTAAATGAATACTATTAAGAGATCAGTAGAAGATATTTCATTCGCGTATTGTAAATACGGAAGTAGAAAAAATCCGTTTACGAATACAGAAGTTACAAGAGTGGCCTGATAATCTGTGTCTCCCGGTATAGTCACGAAATCAATCAATCAATCAATCAAATCTTTATTCCTTTAGACAATAATAACATTGTGCCGGAAACGTCAAAATTCTTGTAAAAATACATAAAACACAATACATAGATACACAGAAACGAAATACAATACAAAAAATATCACTGTACCGGACGATCCAAGAAATCTTGCACAGTATAAAATGAATTTTGCACCAAAAATGTTTTGAGGCGCGTTTAGAAAATTTTATTTGTTAAACTTGATTTAATATGCTCAGATAAATGATTGAAAATACGTGGTCCTATAAAGTTAGGTGCATTTTGGGCTACTTTGTATTTTCCAATTTGTGTGCGAATTAAGTCTTTCTGACGTATATTCATGTCATGAATGTCTTTATTTAGCTTGAAATAGGTTATGTTGCAATAAATATAACATGCAATCTCAAATATGTATAAACTAGCGAGAGTCAAAATATTACTGGATTGAAAAATTATTTTGCAGGTTTCTCTACGAGGAATGTTAAAAATGCACCTCATAATTCACTTTTGTGCAATGAAAACATCTTTTGACTTGGTAGAGATGCCCCACAAGCAGATGCGATAACAAAGACGCGATTCAATTTGTGCATAATAGATATTTACAAGCTGGCCAACACCTAGTACTGTTTTTAAGTTCTCGAACATGTAATAGGATGAGTGTAATTTTGAGATTAGACCCTCACAGTGTGAAAATAATTATTAATTCGATAATAACAGTAACAATAACAGAAAAAAATGTTGTTCTGCAACCGACACAAAAGTCATCCATTTTAATACCAAAATTAGCTCTTGAATTGACGTTTCTATTACTGACACAAAGATAGGTATGTTGCTAGGGATGCTAGGCAACACATTTAGTTCCTAGGAACTAAAAAGGATGACCTAGAAAGAGGTCTTCAAGAATAAACAACATTGTTATAAAAGGAATATTCTCAGATAAATTATGAACATACAAAAATGGATATATATTTATATAAAGCAACATTGAGAATTCGCATTCTCTATGTGATGAGAATATTAACTCTTTTTCAGTTGATTTAATAGAAAACAACTACTTTCCTGGCTATATGCCACGACGAACATTGAATTATATCTATTGAACACACACGATAAGAGTTTGAAAATAAAATATAAAAACTTCTGAAATTGAGAATTTGCATTCTCCTTCAGACAAGAATATGTATATGCACACATCATTCTGAATATTCAACAGAAAACAACTACTTTCCTGGCTATTTGCCACGTCGAACATTGAATTATATCTGATATATTTGTTGCATTGCCTGCATATGGCACGGCATTGGTGGTTACTTCACATAATTTTTTTTCATTATTCCAAATTTTTTGGGATTTTCTCTCCTCGTTTCTATAGAAACGAGGAGAGAAAATCCCAAAAAATTTGGAATAATGAATATACCACCTCCTCGATTAACCTACAGACAGTATATAATTTTTTTTATTTATTATTTGAGTTAATTGTTTCGGTTGCAGAAAAATTAGCATGTTTCATTCGGATCAAAAGTGACACTTTGTTTGACAAGCGAATTTTGCATTTGCGAGGCGGAGCGTTCAGCGAAAGCAAAATTTGCGATCTACTATCTGTAGAATCCTATATAAAATATTCAAAGGTGGCCGTTCTTTCCGGTGAGTGAATTATACTCACCTGCGCTAGCAAACTTTTCTGTCTTTCTTCTCCTACGTAGGAATATTCAACCATGCTGTATTCACCTATACCATCATTCTGGTTGGATAAGTTTATTTTATCGATGAGGAATCCCCACATGCCGATTACTTGTGGCCAAGAGCCCATTGTGTTCACTTGAAAATAGACCGATTGATTATGAACTTTTAAAATAAAACTCGTGGGTGATTTAATTAATGGAATATTCAGAGTTAATTTCTCTAGATATTTGAGATTTTGTTTTCCTTGCCTCTATTGATAAACATATATATTGCTATTATTTCGAGATACTTGTTGTAATGGACAAATTAGATGATTAGCCCCTCGAAGAAAAATTCAATTAATAGTTACCCAACTACTGAACTGTGGCAGGCTTGAAAAAGCAAGATATCTATACAAAATGAGGCATGCCTGATCAGTGATTGATTGATTATTATTATTGAATAACGTGATATAGGTTTGAGTTAGGAATAGGGAATGCTTAAGTAACTCACCCCCAAATTCAATTTTCTTCGATATGGTGGCAAAAAAATAGTAGGTGCGATTTGAAAACAGCACCATGCATTTCTAGTATATTTTTCACAAGTATTTGCAACATCTGTTCACCAAAAATGGGGCCATTATTTACAATGACATATCAAGTTCAAGAAATAGAACAAATATTTCTTTATGACTTTCATCAATAGTCATTGATGTACCAAGGACGAAACACTGTCCATTATTGTCGAGTCTACAAATTGGTAGCCGAGGCTAGCAATTATTAGTCACCCCGATGGTATTAGTTAGATGGAATTTGGACACACAATTTGGAAAGGACAACTGTTAATGTTTATGAATGTTTAGATTTTTCAAGTTGCACACCTTGCATCGTGACAACAGCATCCTAGTCGTTCCACGCTTTTCATTCAAAATTGTTTGAATATGACAATGAATTTTATGGACGTCAGAATTGAAATATAATCCTATGAACTATTGAGAAAAAAGCATGAATGAGAATGTCCTGCTGTGTAATGAATTGCAGGAATTCTGAAGGAAATCGCGATTTGATCTCTTTAATTTTCCAAAGGCAATATCGACCATTCCATATAGAAGGAATGTATGAAACTGCCTGGATGGAAAATTAATTTGAAGCAAAATATCTGAGGTAAGTACATTAAAATTCACTTCTTATAACAGCAGATTGGAATGAAACCTAATTTTAGGCCCATTTTCAAACAGAAGATTTACAAAACAGACTATTGAAAAAAAAATACAATATTATCATCAGATGAAAAGCAAAAGAAAATCATCATAGAGGAAGAGGAATTGATTGCAAAACTACGTAATGAATTTGAAAATTTGAGAACGAAACTGAGGAAATCAAGTAAATTGTAACGTGATATAATATCATTGAATATCGTTTTCAATACCGATCAAATTCAAAATTCATCAGTAAATTGAAGAATGCAGCAAAATCTGGAAGAGCAAAACAATATTCATGTTTTATTATCCATATGTGTCTATTTTGTCATATTAAAATGTTGTTACATGAATTCTTTTCATTTTTATAACTTTATGAATTGAAGTGGGTGTTTATGCCCTATTTCTATTTTCCATCTACGACAATGATTGATTTGACAAAAAGTCTAACCTCTAAAAGCGTATCTGACAATCAGGCGCTACTAGGGAAATTGAAAAGACAAAGAGCAGAATATATGTCTTATCCTTTTATTCGCTCAAACCATTGTAAAACAGAAAAGAGGCTTCTTTTGCGAGCATTTTGTTTTCTTATTCATTGATTTATCTCTAAAATTTTCCGAATTACAGCTTTTTTTGCTGAATCCTTGCAGATTACCAACTTTCTGAATTTATCGAGAAACAATTTTCTAATGAAATAAATTGATACCAATAATTTTAAAAAACATTTTTATTAAACACAAAATTATAAATTGGGATGACTGCTTAATACCGTGTATTGCCTCCTATAGCAACTCTAAGAACTTCTAATCTACGAGGCATACTGGAAATTAAGTTGCTTATCGTTTCTATTGGTATACGATCCCATTCTTCCACTAATGCATCTGCCATTTCTGCGAGACTTTCCGGAGACCTCTCGCGAGAACGTACCCTTCTGCCTAATTCATCCCACAAATGTTCTATAGGATTCATATCGGGGCTTCTCGCAGGCCATTGTAATGTGGTAATACAGTAGCTTCTAAGAAGTTTCGCACTATTGCTGCGGTGTGTGGTCGGGCATTATCCTGCATCAATATAAAATTATTGCCCACTAACTCTGCATAAGGTAAGACATACTGCTCTAAATTGTCAATGTAAATTTGGGCATTCATCGACTGCCTCACCGGAAAAACATGAAGGGATGTCTTTCCATTCATTGAAATCCCTCCCCACACCATAACGGACCCACCATTAAAACTTTCGCATTCTGTTATTAAATTTTGATTAAACCGTTCACCAGTTTTTCTCCACACTTTTTTTCTTCCATCCACCATGTTGAGGCAAAACCTTGACTCATCCGTAAACAAGACATTCGACCATTCAGGAATATTCCACTGTCCATAATTTTCAACAAAACTTCTTCTAGCAGCACGATGTTCGGGCAATAATTTGGGACCTTTTGCAGGTCGCCTAGCTTTTGAATCAACTTCTGTTAGACGTTTACTTACTGCAACATCACGAATTTGGCGAAGATCTTGCTGAACATTTACCGCAATATTTGATCGATTCTTTAAAATCCGCAATCTCAAGAAGCGATCATCTCTTGGAGAAGTTTTTCGGGGATTTATGTAATTTTAGTCAATAAAACAAGACACTTAATTAATGACACAACGACAAATGGTCAAATATGGAGGCATACAACAAATTAGTTGCTATGGCAACGGCATTTGTTTTTTTAAAGACAATGTGATCCTACCAGAGTACAACCCAATCAATTTTGAGTACTCTGAACCTTTAATAAATTTAATTTGTGGGATAAGCGTAAGGTATCCGCAAAAAAGCTGTAATTCGGAAAATTTTAGAGATAAATCAATGAATAAAAAAACAAAATGCTCGCAAAAGAAGCATCTTTCGTATAGGGTGTAAGCACTTCCTATGCCATTACTCAATTAACACACAGGGTGAGTCAAAAATTAAGAATAAATCATGGTTCGAGTTATTCCACCACCATCAAGGAGGCTTTGAAAAAATGTTCACCTCATAATTTTTTTTCAAAGACAAATGCATTACCTACCAACAAATAAAAAGAATAAAAATTGGCCTACTATTTTTTTTTTTTTTTTAAGAAGATAGGTCAAATATCAAGTGCGTAACTTTTTTTGGAACTGAGTGTATTAAATGTTCCGCCCTTTTGTAGTAGGTGAAGATATTGACTTTATATTCAAGGGTTGTAAAGTATTCCTCAGGAGCTTTGAAAGGATGTGTCAATTCAATTATGAAGGAGGTACTTCGCACTGAATAATGTGTTAGACAAAGACAACTTAATACCAGAAACGCTGTGTTAGAGAAAGATGAATATCTCCATACCTTTTATAAACATTGTTTTCATTGGAAGTGAACATTTCAAGTAATGTTTTGATATACCATCATATCAAGGAGATCGAAAAATATCTAAAAATTGAATAAAAATTCCAGGTTCCTATTAAAAAAATAAAATAAAGTTGATGATCGAAGAAGAAACGTCGGATTTCCAATTTGATTTCATTTTGTAAAGGGGTAAGGGTGCCAATGATGAAGTGACATTCATTTTGAATTTTGAAATATCTCTTCAAATAAACTGAGTAATAGATAAAAACGATTTTGCATATTTTCCTTTTTGTCCGGATATCTCCTGCAATAATTGAAATTTTTCCAATTTCAAAGCAGCATTTTGTTGAGCATGAAATGGTGCAACTTTGCCTAACCAACCTACTCTGTATCTTTAGATCATCCTGCAAAAACCGGTCGACGGGTTCTGAATCAGGAGGGTGTTGAGGTTTGAAATTGCACACTTTGTATAAGTACTTATTTCATTCAAAACTGATTCATACTCAGAAATAGATTCTAGCAACAATTTTGGTACACCCTGTATATGTACTTATGTTTTGCAACAATATTTCGATCTCTTTGTTGACATGTTGGTGAAAACATTATTCGGTCAACAGAAATTGAAAAGTTGAATGAAATCAAGTATAATTTGAATAAAACATATACCTACTAAACTAACCTGTTATTAAAGTGGAGTTTGCCAGTTTCCCAGGGTATTTTAATATCCTTAGTTTCTCTGTGATGACTTCCTTATAATTTTCATTCTTCAAATTAACATTAGGGAATATAGATTTGAATAATACGCTGGTTACATTGATGAAAGTCTTAATACTGGGTGGCTTTATGCTATTTGTAGAATCAAAAGAGGTTATGTCAAAGAGCTGACTCCCAAGAATGAAATTTTGTACCTAAAATTATAAACTAGAGCATCCCTATCATTTCATTTTAATGATACAAATACCTTCACAAACTGTTCTGCAACCCACTTTTTATCAGAGGCAAGTTTCTGAATTGTTTTTCTTTCTTTGGATACTGATGACTGTGTTAACTAGAAACATAATATATGATTCAACTGTAAATTATTTAACTGCTAAATCTCATAACTAAAAGATCTAGGATGAACAGAGTTGCCCCAATTGTCAGCAGGAGCGAGAAAGTACTGTTTCGACCCACCAGGTCTCATCAGCCGCTCTCGGTCTGCTGACAACTGGTACAACTCTACGCTTCGGATATATCACCCATTTCGAAGACGCAGGGTATAACATGAAGTTGTAGTCATGTTGTAGCCATCTTGTGGCAAAGTTCTGAGGTAGGATACAGAGATATCGCGACATACACTGTATGGCGCTGCCACCTATAGTCACACGTACAGACCCCTACGTCTATACGCTACAGAGTGGTACTACAAGTAAATCACTCTGCTGACAGATGGCACTACCTGACATACTTGAGTGGAATTTTTCCACCACCTATTCAACTGCTAAATCTCATAACTAAGAGATCTAGGATGAACAGAGTTGCCCCAATTGTTAGCATGAGCGAGACAGTACTGTTTCGACCCACCAGGTCTCATCAGCCGCTCTCGCTCTGCTGACAATTGGGACAACTCTACGCTTCGGGTATATCACCCATTTCGAAGACGCAGGGTATAACATGAAGTTGTAGTCATGTTGTAGCCATCTTGTGGCAAAGTTCTGAGGTCCCAGTTGTCAGCAGACCGATTGCGGCTGATGAGACCTGGTGGTTCGAAACAGTACTGTCTCGCTCCTGCTGACAATTGGGGCAACTCTGTTCATCCTAGATCTCTTAGTAATGAGATTTGGCAGTTGAATAGGTGGTCGAAAAATTCCACTCAAGTATGTCAGGTAGTGCCATCTGTCAGCAGAGTGATTTACTTGTAGTACCACTCTGTAGCGTATAGACGTAGGGGGGCTGTACGTGTGACTATAGGTGGCAGCGCCATACAGTGTATGTCGCGATATCTCTGTATCCTACCTCAGAACTTTGCCACAAGATGGCTACAACATGACTACAACTTCATGTTATACCCTGCGTTGTAGATTATTTGTAGTAAATCATAAATTTTTTCATACTCTCGACCCACAGCTCCTTTGGCTCATAGTACTGGACCCAGGAGTGATTCTAGGTGTGCTGTTAGACCTTCCTTGCTTATTCAATGGTGTCACCTTGGACAATCTTCCTATATTGGATTTTCTATCCAAAGATGATTTGCGCTGGGGCTTTCTGTTTGCAGTGATTTCATTTTGGCTCAGCCTAAGAATAATATAAATCTCTAGCTACCTTTTATTATGACGTCAGTAACTTACAGTCAACTTTTTGATACTTATACAGGCTGATTCACGGTGGATGGCACATTATACGTTTATGGAGAAAGCAACGTAGGATTAGACTGATAATCTGTTTTTTTTTTTTGGATAATTAGTTGTGTTCTATCGACCTAAAGTATTCTCAACACTGCAACGTTGCCGCTTATATTGGAGAGTAGCAACATCTTTGTTTTTTTCAATGGCACACCCTATATATTGTTCCATTTTCAGATTCTTCCTAAAGAGCTGATTTCATCGATCTATCACACTTGGGGTCTAGCGGGAATGATAACAAAGATGTAGGGTGTGAAAAATCGAGATTTTCCATCTTCAAGAGTTTCTTGTGTCGAAACTATTCATAATTAGTTAAAGCGGTTTTTATGTCCCTATCTCAACTATTCATGTACTATCAATTGATATTTAATTGAAATAGATACAGGGTGGTTGAAAATCTTAATTCTGATTCACCCTGTACCTATTTCAATTAAATATCAATTAATAGTAAAGAAAAAGTTGAGATAGGGACATGGAAACCGTTTTGACCAATTATGAATAGTTTCGACACAAAAAAGCTCAGTTGAAAAATCTCGATTTTTCACTCCCTATATCTCTGTAATTGTAACTGCTAGACCCCGAGTGTTATGGGTCAATGAAATCAGCTCTTCAGGGATAATCTGGAAATGGAATAATATACAGAGTGTCCCATTCAAAAAACAAAGTTGTTGCTACTTTTCAATATAAGCGGCAACGTCGCAGCGCTGAAAATATTTCAGTTCGATACAGCACAACTAATTATTCAAGGCACCAAATTTTCAGAATAATCGCAAATTACGTTCTCCAGAAACGTCTATAATGTACCATCCACCGTGAATCAGCCTGTATATGCTCCACAAACAGCATTTTGCATTTGATACCAAAATATGAAGATCAAGCCCAAAATGCTTTATATAAATGTGAGATACAGGGTAAGGGTGAAGGAAAAATGTTATTTTAAATTTCTCAATAGCTTTGGTCGAATATTTCTCTCATATATAAAATGTACCATAAGAGCAATACATTGTGGTGAAATTATCGGTAATTTTTATGCACTCCTGCAATTATAACCGAAAATTTACTTTGGAATTCTGTTTGTTGATGGGGTTGTTAGTGATTAGCATCATTGATAACTGTTTTTTTCCAATGTCACCTCGCTAACTTTATAATTTGAAATTATAAAGATGTGTTAAATGAAACAAAACACCCTCTTCAAGAGCGAATAACGCGAAAGCCGTTAGAGCTAGAGAATTTGAAAAAGAGTACATTTTTTTTATGTAAAATTGAACAAGCTTTCAGAACTTATTTTAATCACCATTTAATGGACAAAGAAAACATTATTCAATTTACCGAAATAACAGTGCCACTAGCGCTCTCTACGAGCAATCACAAAATAAGTTACAAATTCGTATTTCTCATGTCAGAAATCCTAAAACTACAAAATTTCATTTTCATGCCGTTAAAACATACAAGGGTATTGAGAAACTTCAAAGTAAAATATTTCCCTAGAACACCCTGTATCTCCTAAGCCAACAACATTCTTATCAGGCATGTTAGGCTACTTCATATTTTGTATCTCTGTAGTTCAGATGTTGTCCACTCTTGATGAATGACCCTGTATACAGTGTAACTAAAATTAAGTAACATTGCATGGGAATTTCGGGAATGGGAAGAGATACGAATTCGGTTAAATGGGAAAAAAATTGTGGGTTCCGAAGGTCATACCAACGGCCTTCTTAGAATTATTTATAGTTCTTCAGTTATACCGAAAAAAGTGAATTTTTGGATATTCAATTTTTTTCTACGTTATTATTAGAGATCCAGGAAAACTAGAAATACTTTTCCATAGCATCTTTTCATGAAATTTAACGTGGTGATATTGGTTTCTCTACGCGACGTTTCGTATTTGTAGAAACATCATCAACTTTTCATTTTCAAATATGGTTCTGAAATTCCAAAGAGGAAATACCAATAGTTATTTCTGATCATTCATTGATGGAGTAGTTATTTAATACTGAAAAGAAAAAAAAATATTTCATAAATTATCCAATGCAGATGCAGCGCATCAAAAATTGTTACATGTTAATGGATTTTTACAAGAATTTCCTAGATGACTAAACTTATTTTTCGTTACGTTAAAAACTTTGTTTACACAAATAATTATGATAACGAACAAGAATTGAGGACATTATTATCGAAGCATTCAATAGTATTACCCCAGAAATGCTTAGAAATGTCTTGGAAGCAACTGTAAGGAGAGGATATCTTTGTTTAAAAAATAATGGTTATGATTTTGAACATTTGTTATGAATGACATTTTTTTCAATTATCGTTCGTGTTGTCAAGGTTTATATAGTTACGTATCAATTTAATTCGTGTAAGAATCCATTAACAAGAAACAATATTTGAAGCACTGCATTGAATAATTTAGTGAATTATATTTCTACTTTTCAATGTTTGACACTGAATAATCAGAAATAAGTGGAACTGAAGTCTTTGGAATTTCCAAAAAACATTGTGGATGGCTAGAACTAAGTTGAAACACATTCAAACTATCTTGTATAATACATCTGTTGAATTTAGAACAAAAAAAGGCGAGAAAAAAGGTATCAGAAACTGTGCACACATAATCAGGACTGAATTTAAAAAAAAGTTAATGATGGTTCTACCTGTTCTAACAGAAAACGTCGCGTAGATGAATCAATATCACCACGTTAAATAATAACGTAGAAAAAAATAGATTTTCCAAAAATGCACTTCTTTCGATAAAACTGAAAAACCAAAAACAATTTTGAAAATTTTCGAAACCCGTTGGTATGACCCTCGGAATGCCGTTTCCAAGATCTCCATGCTGTGCAACCTTATTTTGGCCACACTGTATACAGGGTAATTCATCAAGAGTGGACAATATCTGAACTACAGAGAGTAAACACCAGAATATGAAGTAGCCTAACATGCCTGCTAAGAATGTTGACATCACATCTATGAATGATTCATATGCATTTTCAGTTCCAAAATGGCTATTTAAATGAGGAATGAGCTAATGAGTAGATAAATTAAGCGGAGAAAAAAGATAGATTTTTCAGATAAAACAAATTCAAATGAATTCAAGATTTACATGAAAACCACTTCCATAGCAGTATGGGGAAGTTTCCTATATTGAGGTTTTATCTCACTGTGAAATTTGTAAAAAAATAATATATACGTGTTTTTTCTTTTTTTCGTGATATCAAATTTCACTTCAGAAAAAAATAAATAAGAGGAACTTGGCTCCTCCACCATTCCTATGACTTACTTTCCGAGAATATACATTCACACAGAGATAAAATACGATTCCCTGTGCCAGTACGACGTTGCCGACATCATCAATATGTCTAGATTTCCGGGAAATTGTTCTTTGAATGCATAATAACTATATCATAACAGCAATGGGATATAATAGGTTCTTCAATCCTACTTTGTCAAGTATTATGAATAATTCCCATAAATCTCTCATTGGCTGAATAAAGTTGATTACTAATAAAGATAAATTATAATATTTTATATTGAGATTTATAGTATCTATAATTTTTCACTATCGTTATATCACAATATGTTATTCATGACTTGTCAGTTATTTTTTCGCTAATGAATTCGTTCCCTAATAAAACGGATATATTTTCTAGTTAGGTTGCTGATTATATCTAGCAACAGCGCCTAATACTTCGAGTCCGTCCACACCACTCAAAATACTGACAGGCACAACAAGAGGAAGGAGCCATGGGTGTCGGCTTCATTCTGTTCTGACCGATGGCAGTAAATAAGGAAGGAGAGTATCATTGCCGCCGATAGTGATTCATTGATTCAATGATTTTTTTCTAATTTTGACATGTAATGTGACACTTTTCAAAACTGACGGAAGTTTTGAAACGTCTTACTTTACGTAACCAGTTGCGTAAAGTAAAATTTTACATAACTGGTGATGTAATGTTCATTTCATTCATTCATTTCAGACAACAAGAGTCGGCAGAACTCATGTAAAACTGGTCATTATTTTTGTTCATGCGAAATGTTTCGTCAAAATTAGAAAAAATATTGTACGTGACACGTTAGGAAACGCCATTTTGTGTAACTCTGTGATGTTGCGGGATCTCGCTTCGCTCGTCCCGCAAAATCCCATCGTTACACAAAACAACGCGTTTCCTAACTGATTACGTAAATATCTATTTCGTTTAGGATCGAGCTTTATTCGAGATATTTCAATGCATAAATAACAAAACCATAACCTGTCAGAATGAAGCCAACTACCCTCTGCATTCCTGCTCCGAGTGCATTTGTGGTTATGTATGTTTCTGTTTACCAGTTTTACTTCTTCTATTTTTTCATTTGTTTTTCATTCGTTAGCTCTTCGTCAGCTATTCGCTAGCTATATTCTTCACCATCACCTATTTTCAGACTAGATTCAGAATGAACGTCACAGTTTGCATTCCCGAAAATTAGAAATTGCTTTAAGTAATTTGAAAATGAAAACGACATGGACTTTAACGGTCGCCATTCTGTACAGCGTGGACATAAAACTGGAGAGTTCCGAACTTATTTTATGAAAATTCATCTGAAGGAAACTTCCCCATTACTGGTACTGGTAAGAATTTTACAATGAAATTGGATGTGAAGTCCTACCTGGAAGAAGATTGTGTCCTTCTCAATGCGCCTCCACTGGCTTGTCCACTGGGTCCCGGAATTCCAGATTCCCGGTTGCCAAATAAATTAGTACGTAGAGGTATGTGAGAACTACTATTAGATCTCCGAAACATCTTTCCTCTTTGGATTTGAATACCTGAAAACTTCTCTCAATTGAGAGGATGAATATCCTCACCGGCGAAAAAAAACTCGACATTTTATTGAACCCATGATTTCAATTTTTTTTTCAAGAATTGAATCTTGATTCTTCAAGAATACATGTGACGAATAAACACCTTCAAATTATTCGTCTTTATATCATATACAGAGGTGAAAAGAAAGTACGGAGTGGAGTGAATCACAGACAATTGAAACCAGTCGGTATAATAAAATTGTAGACTGATTTTTTCCGAACATTTTCTTTCATTATACATACTGATACCTCAATTAGTCAAGAAAATACAGAGTTTCAAAGAAAAGGTGGAGATTGGTCTTAATTTTACCACCTCAAAACTCGTAATGGATCTGCTTATCTCACCGTATCTCACGTTGTTTCTGTGAAAATTTCTACTTCATATTCAATATTGCTCTCAGTTCCACTCATCAGTCTCTTGTGTCAAGAATTCTAAGAAATATTCAGAAGTGAATAAAAAGAATAGTTATTTAGCTAACAAGTGCGGAAAGTAGTAATTTTCCGCACGCGACGGCAGTTGCACGAACGACACGGGGTGTCGTCAAATATCCAATTTTCAACAAAAAATCGTGCGGGAAAGTAAATTCTCAGCTCTAATGCAGTAAAGTGACTTTTTCGCACGATTTTAACGGCTAAAAGTATTTTGTGCTTCTGGTCTTTGAGTCCGTCACAGCTATACTTCTGTCCTTTTCTGTTTTCAAAAAATGCATTGATGATTGAATAAAGGAATAAGACATATATATCGAGCTCTGTCTCTTCAATTCCCCTAGTATCATTGATTGTCAGAAACAATTTTGAGGGTTAGATTATTTGTCAAACCGTTCATAGCCGTAGGTAGAAGTAAGGAATAGGGCTATTTTAACTAGAATAACTATTAGATTTTCAAATAATGAACAACAGGGTGTTTAAATTTCGAATCGATAATTTTTATAATCAATTCCTGAGATGGCTATTGCAAATTTTCGTCATCAGATATTTCTTCACTTCATTAGATATAAGAAAGATAATTTAAGTGTTCTACGTGGTATCACATATAGCCAATAGAAAATATACTTGTTTTCTGTTGGGATATAAAGAAATAGAAGATATATAATTGTTTCAAATATAATTTTAATTGTGTCGGTTTCCCACCTCTTCCTGCAGTCTACATTCACCTGTAAATTTTGAATTTGATCTGAACTTAAAACACCGTGGACTGATGACATAGCACATTGCAATTTTTCTAAATCTTCTAGTTTTGATTTTAAACTTTCAATTTCTTTCCGCATCATCTCATTCTCATTTTCCTTCTCTGCGATCGTATCATTCAGTAATTCCAAATACGATGACGATGGAACTCTTTTATTGAACGTCTCTATTTTATAAATTGACGGCACAGCAGACTCTTTCAATTTTAAATCCATCAGCTTGAAAGAATCTCTATCAAAATTCGACTAAAATTCATCTTTTTTGTACTGTTTTTACAAGTTAAGTCGAACATTCACCTCACATATTGCGGATTTCTTGAAATTAATTTTCCATTCTGGACGTTTCATTGCATTCTTCCATGACATTATCTTCAAAGGATCATTTGGAAAATTGAATAACTTGAATCCCTTTTCTAATGAATTATCGCAATAATGTTCGCAGCAGGACATTGAAATAATTCAAAATGCTAAGTTTTGGCGGTCATAAAATTTCAAAGTGACAGTGACAGAAATTCGAAATAACTATAAGAAAGCGGGCGGAACGACTATGGTGTTTCGTCACATTGTCAGGTGGGCAAACCAAATGAAACAAAATATTAAAAACCCCAACAGCTGTCAGTTTTGTGTCCGGACATCTTAGTCCGGACTCTTGTCTAAGGTATATACAGGGACTCTAGTCTTTCCCACACGTTTATCGCAGTGGCGGCTCGTCCTCCTTTCAACAAGGGAGGCAGAATAGGAAGTGTGAAATTCTATGACACTTATAAGGTTCTTGTTCATAGAAAATCCGTAAGAGGCGCTGATATCGTCATATTTTACCATATTTTTAATAACCATCGGACCAAATAACAACTCGAACAATCACTATTATGTACGGTGCTTATACTCTTATGACAAAAAAACAGGAATGGTGCAAGTACGTTCAGTTTCGATAGTGCTTGATAAAATTCTGATAGAAAATTGACTTTATATTTCCATTTCGAAGAGGATTTGTACAGCGACATCTATTAGAATAAGAAGGGGATAAGATGTAAGGAGAACATTATATTGCGATTTTCTACTGTTTATTGCCATCAAAACAGGGGCAAAACAAAAGCGCATCAGTGCAAACACACGTGCTCCCTGTTGAACCAGGATTCTGGCGAATTTCATTGGTCAGAGGCTGCTTTCCGTTGGATGTTGCCAAGTCGCAAATTTGTATTCTATTCTGGATACTTTCGAGTATAAAAGCATTTTTGCCAAATTCTCAAAGCCTACTTGATATCAGGAAATAAAACCAATAGAACGAACGTAAGTTCACTATTTCTGTGTTATATTATACAAGTATATTGAACTGTAGCCCCCGATGCCCTCCCCTAAATCCGGCACTGATTTTACCTTTAAACGTCAAAACATTTGCAGTGTAATTTCCTGCTTTGTCCCCCAAGGAGGAACAAATTTCCAGGAATTTGTTTAGTTACTAAGGTAAGGAAACATAATACAGGCTTCTGATTGACCAAAATGTTAGAGATGAAGTTTTCACTAATAATACCAGATCTTCAATTAATGCCGCAAATGTTTTCCAGAGCACGAATATTTAGAAAATTCACCCTTGTTTTCAACTCCCGAAAATTTTCAAAAAATTCGTGTTCTCGAAAAAATCGAGGAAACAATTGTTTAGAATACAAAATACTGACTTTAGTTATATTGAAAAGGCACCTGGTGGTAGTTCAAATTGGATGGAGATATATTTTGTTACATGACAGTATGTACCTAGTATTAATATAATTCATATCCATAACATTGTTTGAATAAAACACAATTAACTTACTTTAGTTACACAAAATAATAAAAAATAAGTCTATAGTAGCTCAATTTCTCAATTTTTCACAAATTCATTTCATTATGAAGTTTTTATAAAAAAATATGTACTCTTAAGGAACTTCGAGAGGAACTTGAATTACTATTAGTATCAATGAAATTTGTTAACATAATATTGTAAGGTTGAATGAAATATGATTATAGGACTTTAGTTGAATGAAATAATAAAAAATAAATCTATGGTAGCTCGATCTTTCAGGTTTTCACAAATTCATTCAGCTAAAGTAGTTAGGAATATATTTTCTTAAAGGAACTTATAGAATGAATTAGATGTAATGTAATTGTCATTTTACCTGTAAACGTCAAAAAATGTCTAGTGTAATTTCATGCCTCTTCTCCCAAGGTGCAAAAAATTACCAGAAATTTGTTTTGTTGCTATGGTAATGATACAAAATGCAGGCTTTCAATTGGTCAAATATGTTTGCTGTGAAATTTCCAATATTCCTATCATGTGATTGTAGGTACAGGGTGATTCACCATAAATGGGGGGGACTCTAGCTCACTTATTTTTGAACCGTTTTAAAAATTTGAAAGATGATCTAAAATGATTTTTCAGAAATTTTTTTCCCGTTTCATCAGAAAATACAGGGTGCTCGGAACAAACGATCTACAGAGTACTAATTGATTTTTTTAAATGGAACACCCTGTATTTTATTGTATTTTTAGATTCTTGCTGAAGAGCTGATTTCATCAATGTATCACACTTGGGGTTTAGCGGGAATGATTACAGAGATATAGGGTGTTTAAAATCGAGATTTTCCAACTTAAGTATTTTTTTGTGCCGAAACTATTCATTATTGGTCAAAATGGCTTTTATGTTCCCATCTCAACTTTTGATTTACTATCTAGTGAAATTTAATTGGAACATTTACAGGGTGGTTCAAGATTCAGAATTCTGGTCACCCTGTATCTGTTCCAATTATTAAATGTCAGTAGATAGTAAATCAAGAGTTAAAATCGAGGTTAAAATACGGACATGAAAACCGCGTGACCGATAATGAATAGTTTCGTCACAAAAAAATCCTAAAGTTAAAAATCTCGATTTTGAACCCCCAATATCTCTGTAATCAGTCCCGCTAGACCCCAAGTGTGATATATTGATCAAATCAGCTCTTCAGGGAGAATCTAAAAATACAATGAAAAATAGGGTGTTTCATTTAAAAAAATCATATAGTACCCTGTAGATCGTTTGTTCCGAGCACCCTGTATTTTCTGATCTAGCGGAAAAAAACTTTATCAAAAATCATTCAAGATGATATTTCAAATTTTAAAATCGGTTCAAAAATAACTGAGCTAGAGGGGGGACATTTATGGTGAATCACCCTGTACATATATTTTCTTCCAGACTATAATATTCTTTGCAAGTTGTTTGCCTGCTGGATGACAAGGTCTGATAAGATTTTGATTCTCGCCAGTTTAACTCATTTAGATATCACTCTCATCATTAAAAAATACCAATCTTTCATAGTTTTACCAAACTCGTGAAGAAAATTCTCATTAATGTTAAATATAAGACATTATCATTGTGGCCATATTCATTGGCAAATGACAGCAAATTGCAAAAGGCCTGCTTGGTTGTTGGAGATCTATCAATTAAGATTTTGACCCAAAATGTGTACACCATATTAAAATATCTGGTAATTAAAGAATACTTGAAATACGAAAAATGGTACTTAAGGTACTGTAAACAGGTACTTGAATACTAGCTGAAGTACTTTAAAAGGAGACTTAAAAGCTCGCTTAAAAGCTTTATTAAATTGTAATTTATGTGTTGAAGGTAGAAGTACTTAAAATTCCATGGTGTACACCTACTTAAAGAGTTGTGTTTCCCTCGAAATTATCATCTGAGCATCCCCAGCATCCCCGGTCCCCCCCGGGGTCTCCGGTGGAGTGGTCCCCCATTTCAAATTTAAAAAAAAAAAACTTCTACCAGTATTGATAGGTATGGATTATTGATGGAATTTTATAATCTATTTTATTATAATGGAAATTGTTTTTAGAAAACACCCAGAAACAGACAATACTAACACTTACCTACTGGCAGGCAGCGCTTTTGGCTGCTCGATGAGCACCCTGACGTTCACTGCAAGAATCCAATTTGAGGACCCTACGCAGGACCCTACTACTGCTATTATTCTTTAGAATGGGATAACTAAATGCAAATTAATCCTGGTCATAAACAAGCTACAGTTCATAAACAAACCACACTCACACTGTAGAAAATTCGTTATCTTTTATGATTTTCAAAATCAAACATTAAACAGTAAACACACTAAACACAGACTTCCATAATCCATAGTTTGTCAAAAGTGTCAAAACAAAGATGTGAAAACAAAAGTGTCAATATTCTGTCACTGTCACCGAAATGTTGTAAATCTACTTCTTCTTCCTTTCTGTTTTGATGGCATTAGCTATCTGGGCTAACTGGCCAAAAATGACAAATCAATGATGACTGTTGATGGATGACGGCCTGACGGGACAAACGACTGAAACGTCACGTAATTCCAGAAAAAAATAATACAAAGCGATTCAAATAAATGTCCTAATAAATATTAATATCTAGTCTGATGAATTTGTGATAATCATTTATGGGAACTAGAAAACTAAAAAACATCTGTTGTGGTGAATCTGCGAAAAATTACAATGCCTGAACTACCGCCGATACGTAGCTTCAATTTGAAGGTGATACAAGTTTAATTCAATTTGTATGATAAGGAATATTATTTGTTCTAGGTAATTTTCCTCACGCATTTTATTTTCACATCTTTAAGTACTATGGGGCACTGGAACTCTCTGGCCTACTTGTTTTACAATAGCCTATTAATCTTCCTCTTGGTTTGGAGCATATATCATGACCAAAGTCATGAACCCATACAACTGGTAATTTGAAGTAAACCAGGAAAATTAAGATTCAAAAACATGTTTTTTTTTTAGGCCATAGTGGTTAATGGATGTTCTATCATTCTGGATATACTTCTTCTTATTCTAGATTTTCCAACTGGTCAAAATGAATGTAAGTACAAATTATAAGTGAAAGCAATTTTGGATGGATTTGTGCATAAACTATCTCTTATGATTTACAAATTTACAATTAATGCATAGGAGTATATGGTCCTATTGCTGATAGGTACCTACCTAGTTAATGTTAGATATTTGTCTGATATGAATAGCCATGAGTTTTTTTTCCTCAGCTGGAAATAATAAATTTTCTGCTGCCATGGCAGTCCTCCACTTGATAATTCGTCCATTCAGCACCATTTTACTTATCAGAAACTTGGAAGAGAGAAGTGGAAGTCCAGGTAATTAGGTGAATGTAATTGAACATATAGTTTATAATTTCTGAATAATTTTAGGTGTATTAACTGGAATATTGTCAAGAGGTAATGAAAGTTATGAAGATATTGATAGCAATCGTGTTCCTCAGTCATCAAGTACAGGGGGTTATGATTTCAACAATGCCCAACAAATTTAGATCCAACAAATCCTATTTATCTCTCCAGCCTGTTGAGGATATCAATTGAAGACTGAAAAAACCCCATCTAAATATGAAACTGGTTGAACCATTATAGTTTATTTGGCAAAGCAATGACTGAAAGATTGGTATTTTTGAGTCTTGCTATTCAATAGGGTGAAGTAGAAATCTCTAATATGCATAGAGCTTTTTCTATCAGATATTTCACTTTCTGATTGATTTATATTCTATTTTATGGAATATCATTTTTACCTGACCAATTTGAAAACAATAATTTCTTTTGAGGAACTGTGTGAAGTATAGGTAAACAAATTTGAAATGAATAGTGGTATTTGTTTCACTGGTAAGTATATTTTTTTGTCAACAACTGAAAAATATAAAATGATATGAGTATAATGGTTGTCTTATCCCCATCATGTTCTCTAAAATAGGTTTCATGAAATTCCCAACCTGTTTATACCCACTCTCTCAACACACAGAGTTGTAAAATAATGTATCATACTTTTCTGACACCACCAGTTATTAAAAAATTTGAATATTGTCATGTTACTTTTTGTGTTTTTTAGTCTTCATATATACAGGTACAAAACATCAGGCTTAACTTTATTTTTATTAACCAGCTATGTTCTTCAATATCAATTGAAAATTAACTTTAATACACTAAGATTTTTACCAAATACACTGTAAATACCTATTGTGATTTTGATTTTGAATATTATTATATGACCACTGATGTATTTTTATTTGTTTGCAGTTTGTTCAATAAACTCAAAACCCAATGTTCTTCTATTTTATTTGCTCTGATAGAACAAAATATGATGTTCTACCAATATGAAATGTTGCATATTGAGACATCAATATAATCACATTAAATATCATCAAAAGTTGCCATGGAAAAGCATTTCCAGATTTTCTGTATCTCAATAATAAGATAGGGTAGTAAAAAATTAGAGCTTTTTCAAAAATTAATTTGTATTCATCAAATGAGTAATGAAAGTTTACAGTTACAAGTCGGAATTCCGAGTTACAAGTTACAACCCGGAATTCCGTGTTACAAGTCGGAATTCTGAGTTACAAGTCGGAATTCCGAGTTGCAACTCGGAATTCTGAGTTACAAGTCGGAATTCCGAGTTACAACTCGGAATTGGAATAAAAATAAGTTGATGGCCTCTCTACGCCTTCATAGTTTTGAGTGTTGAAATTTGCCATTTTATTTCATATGCAATGTAACAACTCTGAATCACTGAAAATATTTCACAGTTCAGCAGAACTGTAGTAACAAGTCTTGATTATTGTATCCAGTTATTAACATAGAAATTATATTATATATCACGTATATATAATATGATTTCTATGGTTATTACAGTATGGAATTATATAGACATAAAGTTTCCTTTACTTCTATAGAGTAACTAGCACCATCTCTTGGCCAGTAATGGAACTTTCAGTGGTTGTCAGTCATTAACAATATAGCACGTGGAAGCTAACAAAATGATGAATCAGATAGGGTATACAACTCAAAACGGTTATTTTTCGAGTTGTTACACTATTGAACTTTAAACTATAGTATCGATATGCAGAACGGTAAGTTATGATTGGATACCCCGGATTTTTCAATACAACTTTACCCATGCGGCCTCCACACTTTGGTCCACGATTTTTATTCAGCTAGCTCATATCCGTGTAGTGGAAAGTAAAATTTGGGGGGTTCTCATACTGCTGGTTGTAAAGAAATGAGACACAAAAAACATGTTTCGGATTCCCGGTCTATACCTTTATGGTGGTCACTGGTCAGTAATTTATTCAGCAGAAATCGGAGCCAAAAATTCAGAATGAATAGTGTGCCCACTCTCCAGTGTGTTACTTTTAGTGATATTTGTTGATTTTGTAATGAAAAATTAGTATATCCAGTACTGTCAGTTGCTTTCGGAATATAGCACAGTCGGTCGACCACAAAATATACTGAACCAATAATTGAGACGACCGAAACTAGTTACCTACACAATTATTGATTTAATGTAATTTGTGGTCGACCGTCTTATTTACCGCAAACACAGTTACATCACAGAGATATCGTAGCGAAGTAACAATTGTGACCTGCAATATCGCATTCTATGTCGCATAGACGTCGCTGCGATGTCAGAGGGATGTTATATTGTCCCACTCAAGTTTCATCCATGCGATGTCGCTGCGATAAGTTCTATGCGATATAACAGCGATATATGTTTTGCAATTTAATTGCGATGTTATGTGTGATGGGAATGCGATATTTTTTGCGATAAAATTAATTTGCTCCTGTACATCGCAGCGATGCAACATTCGCCATATCGCAGTGTTGCCTCATCGCGACATCTCAGAGATGTCATGTCGCAGATGTGTTTGGTTCTGTCATATACCTGACATTCGTGATATCGCAGTGTTGCCTCATCACGAAATCTCTGCAATGTCAGGTCACAGATGTGTTTGCTTCTGTACATCGCAGCGATGGAACACATATTATCGCAGTGTTGTCTCATCGCGACACCTCAGAGATATATCATGTAGCAGATGTGTTTGCCTCTGTACATCGCAGCGATGGAACATTCGTAATATCGCAGTGTTGCTTCATTGCGACATCTAAGAGATATCATGTCGCAGATGTGTTTGCTTATGAACATCGCAGCGATGGAACGTTTGTGATATCGCACTGTTACCTAAACGCGATATCTCAGAGATGTTCATACCCAAAACTCCAATAAAAACAGTTTCAGAACTTAATAAACGTTTCATTAATAACCAAGCGAGAAGTACAAAAGATTCGATTCACTTTTTAACAACCTGGATAACATCTTCATCTTGCATAGTATGATTAGCCCCGACCCTTTGCGGTGAGTACTTGGTGCTGGTGCCCCACACCAGGGCGTACTTGAACTGGGCAGCCAGCGTGCGGTGAATGGCGTGGCAGACGTGTTCAACCGTAACGCCCTTCCGCAGGATGAGCCCGTCGGAGAAGTCCGGCGGCTGGCCGGGCTTCTTCGTGTACACGCGGATCAGGCTCAGGTACTCCCACAGGATCGACAGGAGGTAGTCGAGGTTCAGTTTCATGTTGCAACTGGAAAACATCATGGAGCATTCAACACATTGCTTGCCGTGTCTATTCTAATAAAGGGTGGTTAAATTTGAAGGGCCGATGTTGAATGTGAACCCCACCTAAACGACAAGTTGCTTTCTGCATTTAATTTGACATTTCTCTATTTCAGACTTACTCAATTTGAACTTGAACCATGGAAAGATACACAAACGAGCAACACGTTAAAGTTATTCAGGCTTATTATGAAAATGAGCGTTCAACTCAAAATGCATATAGTGCACTTCGTGATTTTTTGGCCAATTCAATCGTCCAATGTGCGTACAATCGAAAAAATCGTGCAAAAATTTGAGCAAACCGGATCTGTTGGAGATGTGAAAAGACCAGTGCATGCTCGTACAGCTCGTACTGCAGAAAATATTGCTGCTGTTCGCGATAGTGTGGCTGAAGAGCCGTCCACCTCAACTCGTCGTCGTGCCCAACAATTGCACCTCTCACGTTCGTCGTCGATGAATATTATGCATAAATACTTACACGCTTACAAGGTGCAATTGCAATTGCTCAAGAACTAAAGCCTCTTGGCCATGCCAAAACGTCGTCAATGGTCAGAATGATGGCAAGAAATGGCAACAGTGGATGATCAATTTTCGAAGAAAATCATCTTCAGTTCTCATCACTGAAGATGATTTTCCTCAGTGGATTCGTGAATAAGCAGAATAGCCGCACTTGGGCGAATGATAATCCAAGAGTGATTGTCGAAAAACCTAGGGTCCCTTGATGGAAATTGACGTTAAAGTCATCTTAACAGGGTACGGACAGATCCTCGTCTCCTCTCACTCTAAAGCGTTTGTGAAACAGTTATATAGTTCCATCCTTATTCAATTCTGGAGATAAACACTAGATTTTTGACATTCGTTGTTTTTTAGGTTATATTGAGGTCACTGGCGTATCATACGTAATTCCCATATGGAATTCCTCATTCAACTATACCAAGATATAGATGACCAATCCTCTAGTTTTAGAGTTTACTACTCCAGCATAACCTTTGCAAGGTAGGGAACATATAAATTGTACTGAAAGCTTATAATGTATTTCACCAAAAGAGACTGTTCTTAGACAAGCTGAGCAGTAGTTTATCTATGAGCTGAATGAGCAGAGCCTTATGATTGAGAAATGGTGGAAAACTTGATGTGGGTATCTAAACTACGGTAGGTACTCATGTCATGTGTGCTAAATATATTTTCGGAAATCCAACTCAGAGAAGAATTTATGGAGTTACTAATATCACACTTAGGTATAAAACTTCGTCTAGGACAAGAAGTAGGCTGAACGTAAAATATGTAGGAAAATAAAGAATAGAATTTACTTCACCTCATTTTTCCGTCTCCCTTTTAATAAAACGTCATTTTCGAATAATTTATTGATGAAAGTAACAAATAAGTAGGTATGCGCAGTATATAGGCACGCTATTTTCACTCTTGCATCCTACATATTTTCTATTTGTGGTAGAGTAATAATTATTATATAAACTAATGTCTTTCGCCATATTTGATCCGTCATCTTGAATTTTCCAATTTTTACGATAAAACCATTATCTCCTACCCCGAATACCCCCAGATACCAATTTTACATAGAATCGGATCTTCATCACAAAACTCGTTCACCATATTGGATCCGACATCTTGAATATCCCAATTCTGACGAAATAATTATAATCTCCGACCCCGAAAATCCCCAGATACCAATTTTGATTTTTATTGGATCCGCTATCCTGAATTTCCCAATCTTGACTAAAAATCACAAAGTTCGGCCCCGAAAACCCTCAGATATTAATCTTAAATAGAATCAGATCATAATTAGAAATTTCTTTCGCAATATATTGGATCCGTCATCTTGAATTTTCCAAGTTTGACGAAACAATCATTATCTCCAACCCCGGAAAACCCCAGATATCTTCCAATTTTGAATAGAATCGGATCATAATTACAAAACACGTTCGCAATATGATCTTCCTCAACAAGTAAATACCCTGTACATACCTATTATTGAAATTTAGAATGATTTTCTGTAGCGCCCATGGATGTGACGTGACAGCAATGTCAGGGATGCCAGTAGACAAAACTAAAGTCTCTAGATCATTAAAAAAGAATGCAGCTATGATCTGTCCGTACCCTGTTAGATGACTTTAACGTCAATTTCCATCAAGGGACCCTAGAAAAACCAATGAACTCAATACAACTGGAAGGGATACGCCCGCTCTCTCGAATAGCACAAAGTGTGTCAGGGGCAGCTGCAACAGAGATAGCATGATTTACGGATACCTGTCCTCTTCCAACTCGAGTTGTTTAATGGTGGATTGGTGTATAAATTTTCTTTTATCTAATAATTAAAGTAGCTAGGAATTTTTTCTCTCATCTACACAGGCAAGAAAGTGAAGACATAAGTTCATTGTCTTCGTTTATGCTAAATACGAGGTGAAATATCTATTCATTTGGCGTGTTTTGTTGTATCAAAAGGACTGAATTTGTTGTTGTGAACACTAGAGTCACGTGAACACTGAACTGATTGTTGGGAAGGTAAACAATGGTGATTTATTGTGTCGCCTTTGGGTGCAAGAACGAACAAAACAAAAGGGAATGGGCATTCCATGGGTAAGTTGAATATTGTTCTCAGATTTTTGAAAAATATAGTTCTTGAAATGATCATCCAGTTAGGTATACAATGTTCCCAGTCTCAGAATATGTTCAAAAACTATACCTATATTATTTATTTGTCATAGTTAAATACTTCCATTATTGATATTGAGTAATATTATTTGTTGCAGCTTTCCATTCAAAAGACCAGACATTCTCGAATTATGAATAAAGGCAGTTCGTAGAGAGAATTGGACTCCAAATAGAAGCAGCAAGCTTTGTGGGGAGTATTTCCTGCCAACAGATTATTTAGGCATATCAGGTACTGCTATGTTTTTGAAAGCAGATGCTGTAACCAGTATATTTTTTATTTCCTCAGCATTTGTTACCAAAAAATGCTGATTCCCCCAGGAAAATAAGAAAACTCATAGGTACCTAGTTGATTAATAATGAAAAAAAAGTATGTTTTCACCTCATTAAAATGAAAAAAAACTAGCTAGTAATTTGTTTTCAGGATGCATCTATGGACGCTCATAACTTAGGTCCAAAGGAAGAAGTTTCCCATTTTATAGACTTTGACTTGCCTACCACTTCCAGCTCCCAAGTTTCAAGGTTTATCAATAAAATATATTGTATTGAGGAGGAAAGTGAAGACACTGAGACAAAACATAATAAGGAGAGACCTAAAAATTTCAAATATGACAGAAGTAGGAAGAAGGAATAGGAACCTATGGAAATTATGCTCAAAATGCACTCAATACCATTCAAGAACCTCTTTTCAAATTTTTCCTATCGTTATTCTTTTTCTTCTGATAGTTCTGAGACATTGTGCTTCGCTCACCCTGTACAATATATTGTGACATTTGGATAAAAATATATAATTTCAATTTTGTATTCATTTGACTTCCTGATCCTGTGAGAGTGAGATTGAAATTTCATTTCAAAGTCAATAAAAAAATCAGTAATAATTTTTTAATGATAATTGATTACAACATCATCCTTTTTCCTAAATGAATATTTTTATTTAATCACGTTTACTTTTAAATAGAAGCAAAAAACGAGAAAATATTTCAAATTATGCGAGCGCTTCCCATTAACCAACACAAGATAGAGAGAGATAGGTATCCGTAAATACTGCGGGTTGCCTGAAAAATATTTTTGCCTCACTCGTCGTTCACAGTGGGTCCCTTCCAGTTGTATTGAGTTCATTGAGAAAAACCAATGCACCCACAAAGAGTGACGATTTGGTGCGGTTTATGGCGGCATCACCGGGCCGTATTTTTTCCAAAAGGAACGAACTTTTTATGGTCCTAATTGGAAGATATGGATGTGGACGGAATGTGGTTTCAACAGGACGGTGCCACTCGTCACACAGCTAACGAAACAATGGTTCTTTTGCGCGACAAATTCAATGGCCGTGTTATCTCACGTGGTGGCGATGTGAATTGGCCGCCAAGATCATGTGATTTGATTTGACACCGTTGGACTTTTTTCTATGGGGTTATATGAAAGACAAGGTGTACGTCGATAAGCCAGCAACAATTGAGAACAAGGATGCGATAATTCAGCACATTAACGGCATAGAACCTCAATAATTATGCCTCAGCGTCATCGAAAATTTGGACCATCGGTTGGAGGTGTGCCGCCGAAGTCGCGGCGGCCATTTGGCCGATATTTTGTTCCATACATAATTGAACCATACCAATATATCCTAATAAAAAGAAATGACAATAATTTCACAAATAATTTGTGTTTTATTCAAAATCAACATCGGCCCTTGAAATTTAACCACCCGATATTAAAAAGTGGAAAGATTTGTTTGTTTGCATTGAATAAGATTTGAAACTACTAGACCGATTTGAAAAATTCGTTTACCATTAGAAGCCGACATTATTCCTGATGAACAGGTTACTTTTCACCGCAAGAAAATATGCTTCATTTCTACGGGAAAACGGACGGTTGAACCGATTGGATTGAAGTTTTATATTGGTATTTCGATGGTTTCCTTGATGATTTGAACATACAATTGGACGCGGTAATCATTACGTCAACTACTAAAGGGCTTGACCGATTGGGTTGAAATTTTTGATACGTAAAACCAAAAAAATACATAAGATACTGAGAGAATGGAAATAGGTGTAAGTATATAGTAGTAGCTATATAGGTAAGCACAAACAATAGAATTGAAGAAAAAATATGTACTGTATCCAATATTTACGAAAAAGAAAAGCAATACGTAACTTATGTTGGTTTTAATTGATGTGTGCGTCATTTGGTAGCAATAATAAGTATACAAAAATAACAACAAAAAAAAAGGAGAAAATATTGAAAACAAAATCAAATAATATCACATTTATCAAATGGTACAAACATTGGAATAGAAACAGAACGAAAACAAAATAACGAAAATTGAAGATTGGACTCATCCAGTTACTGAAGAATAAAATTACCTTACACCCTCTAGCAGGCAATTACGCAATATTTCATATACCGCCCTTCTCACTGTCTGTGCTGTTTTCTCTTTTGCATTGGCGTCGTAACCATGTATCTGCCACCGAGAGAATTACTCTCGGAATTACTACCATCTTACATTCTAATCGCATAGAAGGACAGGCAGGAAGAATATTCATAATTACATATATAGGGTTTTAGTTCTAACAAATTACAAATTAAATGCCCGTGATATTTCCTATACTCATGTCTACTCAGTGGCGTATCTGGCCACTTACTCTGGGGGGGGGGTAATCCAATGTAGAAAAAGGTAGGTAAAAAAAACAATACAAGGCACAGAGTGGGTTGACCACAAAAATTATTTAATAAGAAGTGTAACTACACAGGCCACAGGCCATCATTAGACACAAAATAGATGTATCAAAGAAGATTATGGGCACTGTTTATAAGGAGTCAAACAGTGTCCATAATCTCTTTCAGGTACTTCTTTAATACATCAATTTCGTGTCTGATGATGGCCTGTGGCCGAAAGTAGTTACACTTCTCATCATATAATTTTTGTGGTAGACCGACTTTATGCCATTTGTTTTTCCTTTGAAAATCAATTGGACCACTTGGAGAAATATGGATATTTTCGACGATCCTATTCGTATTATTGAAAAAAAAACAACCCCCTCTACCCCCCCCCCTCCCAAATACGCGCCTGTGTCTACTTTTCCATTATTAGAATTGTTCACCAGATTGTTTCGGTTTTTCAGACACCTCTGGGGAGGTCCAGACCCCCCCCCCAATTACGCCACTGCTGATTACAAACGAACAAACAAATCTTTCATCCTTATAATATTAGTATATTTGCATTGTTCTATTTGTAATATTGTTTCTAAAGATGATATATTAGTTTCCCTATAAACAGTCATTAAGAACTTGTTCTGATGTTGTACCCCATGTTTATAAGGTATTGGAAAATCGACAGAAAGTTCATGAAGCAGGAATATTATTCTTCGAATTACCGCCAATCATCACAAATGTCTCAAACAAGGAACAAAATTTGAAATATATGGTGAAAACAACTATGTCCTTACTCAATCAGAATTATTGAATCTAACCCATATTTAATTAACTCTCTCTTTTTGTTTTCATTAACAATTATTGTTGGTAAATGGTAATTTTCGATGGTAAATTCTGGAAAATATCATGAGAGATATTGAGGAGTAATAGATATTCAGCTATTTTCTTTTCATTATGTTTTTGTATCATGAACATATTTTTAAACTTCATTCAAATTCTTTTGGCTATGAACATTGCTGTCATATTTGATTTCTCTTCATATATTAAAATTATAGTAAAAATAGACAATCTGGAGTAATTCTGAGAATCAATTACTATGATGTAGAGAATTCAATAATATTTGCATACATCCCAATCAGTTGTTTGTATTCATTTATATTAGAACACATTAGTGAGTTCTTTGTACTGAATCAACTATCAGTGATGAATGAATTCATCAACCTATAAATAACTTTATATTTAAAATCTATGAAAGGTGAATTATGAGGGTAAAATTGTTCATGTGAATATAACATCATATTAGACTGATGAGAAACAACAATGGAAATTCTCAGCACAAAACCAGATATTTTCAATATGTATAAGAACCTTTCAAGATTAATTTTCAATAGGCCTTCTCATTTAGATGACAAATGACTATCTCTGTTTACATCTCACATCCAACGACAATGGCGGCCATTTTGACCGAAACACTTATACCACAGTACCACACTCTTCAGTAACGAATAAAGTAACGTTTTTTGGAATTAAATTGTTATAATACAATTGATACACACCATGAATATAAAAAACAAAAATACTATGTTGTTATTGCTGTTTCTCAATGACCAATGCCCTTGGTGGTTGACACTGTTGACATTTGACAGAACGTCAATAATACCCGCCATATTCGAAATGGCCAATCAGCCTTTTGTGTTGGAACTATAGCCAATGAGACTTCACCTTTGCATCACCCAATAAATTATTGGATCTAAAAACGAGCGCATGCATCTCAAAAATATATCTAGATGAAAAGGCTTATTTGAATCTAGTGAATTACTTTTTAAAATTTGCTCCTGCCTTTGAATATGATTATCTATTTTCTTTTTCTATATGCAAACATGTATGTCATGCAACATATTTTACTGATTAACAAAGTTATTTTTTCATTATTCAGATGATATTTGGTTGGGAATTGAATTTTGAAAGTATTTCCATGTTTTATTTTGATTGGTTTTTATTTGAGTTAGATATTGTTTTGTTATTTTCTGATGTGAAATATATTATTATTATTATTAAAAAAATGTTATAACATATTTTGTAGCATTCAAACAATATGCAATACAATGTCATCTCACCTAACAACAACACTGTTGGGCGTCCTAGCAATCCTATCCACTTCCTCTATGGAAATCTGATCGATTTTATTGTAGACATAGAGACAAGGAAGATACACTCGGTTGGCACAAATGACATCAATTAGTTCATCAGCAGTGCAATCTTCTCTGAAGAGCACTTCAGCATTGAAAATCTTGTATTCATGCAGAATCAGTTGCACCAGTTTCTCATCTATTCTAGTAAGGGGACATGTTGAGTTGAAGGAAAGACCACCACCCTTCTTAATCTAGAATATATTGAAAAATAGAAAAGATTTCTTATATGGGTTTACTAGTATTGCAGATTTTATAACTTTTAATAAAGATTGATTTTTTGATTTATATTGAGGATATTGTAAATGCTGAAATTAATAATAAAACATTGACAAATGACAAAAGAATATCAAATTAGTTCCACTCAGTGAATACAAATTATTACTGGTGATCAACCGATATGACTTTTTTAGCCGATACCGATAATCGGCCGATACCGATAATGTCTTGGCCGATAACGGTATATATCGGCATATCGGCCTTTTTTAATTGACAACATTCATTATTAAATATAAAAAAAATGTTTTAAGCTGCTATGGTTGTCTTTATTTATACATCGGCCGATATAGCCGATATATGTACAGTGTCATTCATAAAGTCGGCATCATATGGGAAAAACTTTTATTAATGTCTTATTTTGGAATTCCAGTTGTACGTTGAGTTTTGCTTCAAAAAAGATGAAAAATGGCCTACTCAATCGGGGTCACGTGACTTTTGCAACATGTCAAAAGTGAAATTTTTTCAAATTAATCGCTGAAAGTAGGCTTATTTGTTCGAATATCGAAAAAGTTTACTTGAAAAAGTTGTTTCTATTTCAATTTTACACATGCTTCTCGAATTTGATCTTTCTATTGCAACTTTTAGATTTTCATTTATTTTTTTAATTTTTCAAAATTTCTGTAATATTTGAAGAATTGTTTATTTCACGAAACTACTTCATACCAGTAGCTTTTTCATGCTACTCACTTTCAATTACTTATTATCACTGATTATGGACAAAAATATGATTTTCTTCAGAAAATGATAATCCCCGCTTCCAAATTCTGTTATGTTTGATGCAAAGTTGATATATCGTCAAGCATTTAGAAACGAAATTCATTCAAACTGATCTTTTCAGTACTGAAAAAATAAAATGAATTTCGTTTCTAAATGCTTGACTCAAACATAACAGTATTTTGATGTTATGTTTGCATCAAACAACAACATTTTGAAGCGGAGATTATCATTTTCTGAAGAAAATCATATTTTTGTTGATAATTAGCATGATGAAGCTACTGGTATGAAGTAGTTATATCGAATTTACAATTTTTTTAATATTACAGAAATTTCGAAAATTTTTAAAAAATATCGATTTCTAAAAAATGTAATAGAAAGATAAAATCCGAGTCACTTATGTAAAATTGAAATAGAAACAACTTTTTCGAGTAGACTTCTTCGATATTCGAACAAATAAGCCTACTTTCAGCGATTAATTTGAAAAAATGTCACTTTTGACATGTTGCGAAAGTCACGTGACCCCGATTGAGTACGCCATTTTTCATCTTTTTTGAAGCAAAACCTGACGTCCAACTCGAATTTTAAAATAAGTCATTAATACAAGTTTTTCCCATATGATGCTGACTTAATGAATGACACTGTATACTCACATCTATCGGCCGATATAGCCCATATATCGGCATCGATATCGGTCGATCACTAATTAATTATTACTTGAGTAAAATGAAAGATCTAACAAGTTCAATTCTGAGTAATCAAAGACCAGATACAGATCCAAATGAGGATACAATAATTAAGTTGTTCTGACCAAGTGTTTTTTAGGATTTATCTTAAATCTTCTCACATCCTTTATATTCCTCACCTCCTGTTAACAACTTGGTTGATGAGTTATACAAGGTGATCCACGGTGGATGGCCTATTAGAAGTATCTGGAGAACGAAAAGACAGACATTCTGAAAATTGGGATGCTTGGATAATTGAACATTCTCTATCCGGCTAAAATATTTTCATTGATACAGTGTTGCCACTTCTATCAGAAACAACTAGCAACTTTGTTATTTCAAATGGAACACCCTGTATTTCATTGCATTCTTATATTAGTCCTGAAGAGCTGATTCCATCAATGTATCACACTTGGGGTCTAGCAGGAATGATTACAGAGATATAGGGTGTTCAAAATCGAGATTTTTCAATGTTTTTATTTTTTTATGTCGAAAATATTCATTATCGATCAAAACGGCCTACATGTCCCTATCTTAACTTTTGATTCGCTATCTACTGGAATTTAATTGGAAAAAATACAGGGTGCTTCAAGATTCCGAATTCTGATCACCCTGTATCTGTTCCAATTAAATGTCAGTAGATAGTGAATCGAGAGTTAAGATAGGGACATGCAAGTCGTTTTGATCGATAATGAATAGTTTCGACACAAAAAAAATCCTGAAATTGAAAAATCTCGATTTTGAACACCTTATGTCCCTGTAATCATTCCTGCTAGATCCCAAGTGTGATACATTGATGAAATCAGCTCTTCAGGAAGAATCTGAAAATTCAATAAAATACAGGGTGCTCTATTTAAAATAACGAAGTTGCTTGTTGTTTCTGATAGAAGTGGCAACACTGTATCAATGAAAATATTTTCGACCGATAGAGAATGTTCAATTATCAAAGCATCCCAATTTTCAAAATGTTCTGTCTTTTTGTTCTCCAGGCCATCCACAGTGGATCACGCTGTATAAAGTTGTTTAATTATGAAATATATCAATTAATAATTCAACCCCTACAACTACAAAAATACACAATACAATAAACATTTATTTATAATTCTTTTACGAAAAGAGATTCACAATTTGGAATCTAGTAATCAAAAACTTAAGATATCCATTGAAAGTATCACTCAGGAAAATGAACTTTATATAACTGAACTCAGTAAACTAAGAAAGGAAAATGAACTATGCACAATACAAATTGATGTACTGAAGAATGAAACTCATGTACCGAAAACTGGAAAAGTAGACTCATTGGAAAATGAAATACTGAAGGTCGAACTGAAATCCTTAAAAGCTGAATTAACTGGAAGTAGCAGCAGGAATACTTATTTGGATAAAGAAATTTATGCCCTTCAGATGGTTAATGATAATTTTGAGAAGGAATTATCATCACTAATTGATGAGAATGCAAAACTAAACCAAGAAATAACACGTTTGGAAAACTATGTTTCTCAACTGTCTGAAAGAAGCAAACATAATGAAATCATGGATGGAACACCTATGTCGCGAACAGAAAAACACAAGGCAATCAGAGAAGAAGTAGAATTTCCCGATACACTAAAATTCATGAAGAAAATTGAACCATATAAGAAGAAACGTAAGAAGGGGACAATTATCAGAAAAGTGAATGGTTTCACCGTCGAAGATATGGCAGGAACCATGCTTTGCCTGGATTTGGACAACACTTGCAATGGTTCTAGAAATGGGGTTGCTGTGAGTGATGAAGGGGAAATACTGAAAGATGATGGAAGTGGTATTGCCGAGGATAAAGCTGATAAGGAAGCTGATAAATCAGATGGAAACAACCTGGTAGATGAAACCACACCCAAGGATTATTTGCCAGGTTGTTCTAGCTACAACATGAAGAAAATTTTTATTTATGGGGATCAATATGCCTTGGGATTTACTAAAGTCTTGAAAACAATTGAATGTGTTGGTAACTATGAAATAAATGAGTTCATTAAATCTAGTACTGAATTATCTGTGCTCACAAAAAACTGTTTTCATGAAACTATACATTTTGGCAAGGATGATATAGTAATTGTACTTTTCAATACTAGTAACATAAGTAATAATAAGTCATTAAATTTAGCTATGAAAAATATCTTAGGTTTGAGCAGATCAACAAATGTTTTATTACTGCCCGAAATCAATTCAGCTGATGATCAAATTCTGATGAAACTTATATTTCATAGAATAAAAGCCTTCAAGAGGAGTTTAAGGAATACTTCTTTATTTGTCTATCCTGACTTGAAATACGATTACTCTGAAGGGGATGTGTACAATAACTTGATCAACTTCTTTTCCGTTGTATCTTTCAATAATATAGTTCTCAAGACTATCTCACCACATAGTTCGAATTTGTTTATAGATATTCATATTCCTAATGACACTGAAACAGTTGGTAACTTGAAACATAATATGAATGTCTCCGATAATTGGCAGGATCAAGAAAACTCTGAGAACACTATTCAAAATGATTTTTTATACCATCCTATTCATCAATTAACTCTCGTATAATATCGGTTTTGACACTCAACGTTCAATCCATTCAATATAAATTAGATGATTTGTATATTTTACTTGAAGCCTCAAACTATCCTCATCTTGTGTTGATTACGGAACATTGGTTGAGACCAGACCAACCTATATATATTCCTGATTATTCGGTGGCTTCTAGCTTTTGCAGAAGTAACTACAAGTGTGGTGGTACCATGATACTGATTCATAATAATCCGTTAACATCATCCTTGCAATTCACTGATATTCACATTTATGATGATATTATAGAAGAGAAACAATTCGAATTTGCATTGGTTAGTTCTAGTGAAGCTAATCTTTATGTGCTATGTATATATAGATCTCCCAATTCAGATGGTCAAATATTTTTGCAGAAACTAGAAATACTTTTGTTGAAACTACCATCTAAGGCATTGATTATTTTGGCGGGTGACCTCAACATTAATTATGATGACTTGAACTCAATTCTAACGCAGCAGCTACAGATCTTACTCAGATCTTTCAACTTATCCATGCATACAAATAGGCCAACTAGGATCTGTCAATACTCAGAAAGCAAAATAGATTATATATGCACCAATCTGACTGAAGAGGAAATCACTTGCTCAGTTATCTCAGCAAATATTTCCGATCATGAGGCTGTCCTTTGTACTCTCAAGATCATTCGAGGAAATTATGATAATAAATATAAACTTGGAAGACTATTTAGTAAGAAAAATTATGACAAATTTTACAATAATGCTTTGAAACAGGAATGGAACGCTGTTTGGTGCACTGTCGACCCTTTCTTTTCTTTTTATTCCCTATTGGTGGATTGCTTTGAATCATCCTTTCCTATTCAGAAATTAAAAAATAAAAATAAAAACAAGAAATGCTGGCTAACGAAAGGAATTCGTACTTCAGCAGTTAATCTGAGAAGCCTTCATTTTATCAGGAAATACTGCGACGATATTGCAATTCATAACCATTATAATACTTATAGAAGAATTTATAGAAATGTTGTTAAGGCAGCAAAAAGAAATTATTTTCACGATAGGATAACTAAAAGCGATAACACAATTAAAGAAACGTGGCACATTGTGAATGAGTTTCGTGGGAAAAATATCAATAATTCAAGTGCAAAACTTAATCCCAACATTTTAAATGAATTTTATTGTTCCATTTCAGAGAAACTTACCGAAAATATGGAACATGCCCTGGATCCATTATCTTACCTAAATGTATTTTATACAGCTGACACGTTTGTTATACATGAAACCAATTTGAATGAGCTTATGGACACAATCAAATTAATTAAAAACAAAAGCTCCAGTGGAATTGATAATATTTCTATAAAAATTTTTGAAAATTTGCCAGTTTTCGTTCTGGAATTGCTGGTCCACCTCATCAATGATTCTTTTGTCAGAGGCATCTTCCCAGATTTCTTGAAAACCAGCATCGTTATTCCTCTCTTTAAAGGTGGTGATCCCTCCGACCCATCAAATTTCCGCCCAATTTCACTCACTCCAACTCTTGGGAAAATTATAGAAAAATTGGTTAAAATTCGATTGTTAGACTTTTTAACCCTGCACAAAATTCTGCATCCCAATCAGTTCGGGTTTCAATCAAAGAAAAGTACAACGGATGCAATTTTCAACTTCCTCAGGGACCTTTTCTCCAAACTAAACCTAAAAGAAGCAAGCGCTGCAGTATTTTGTGATCTGTCAAAAGCGTTCGACTGTGTTAATCATGAAATACTGCTGCGCAAGCTCCAACACTACGGCTTTAGAGACCAAACTCTAAATTGGTTTAAATCGTATTTAAATCACAGATCTCAAATTGTGAAAACCGACAGTCTCTCAGGTATTGGGCACATTAAGCATGGTGTACCACAGGGTTCTATTCTTGGACCTATCCTATTCTTGCTATATTTTAACGATCTCGTAAATATCAATATTGAGGGATCTTTCACTATTTTCGCAGATGACACCACTATCTTATGGCATGATAAGGATGTAAATAATCTTCATGATAAAATGTCTAGGGATATTTCCATAGTACGAGATTGGTGTAACTCGAACTTGCTCTCATTCAATATAAAAAAATCTTTTCTATTATCTTTTCAGTGCAATATACCCGATATACCTTTAGGAAACAATTTTATCTCATCTTGCAATGCCAACAAATTTTTAGGAATTCAAGTAGACACTAAACTAAACTTCCAAAATCATGCTTTTGAACTTAGCAAAAAGTTATCTTCTAGTTGCTTTGCCTTGCGTATGGTCTCGAATGAATTGGACATGGCAACTGCCAAAATTGTTTACTATGCATTATTCGAGTCACATGCCAGGTATGGCATATCTTTCTGGGGAACATGCAACAAACAGCACTTCAACATGATTTTCACCCTTCAGAAGCGAGCTGTTCGTTATCTTTGCAAAGTTGCTCCCAGAGTATCTTGCAGAGGGTTATTCAAGAAACATAAGATCCTCACTCTCCCATCTTTGTACATTTTTGAAACAGTATGTTTGATACATAAAAATAAATCAACATATGATACCATTGTTGGATCCACCCGTCAAAATAGCAATTTGAGGCTTCCTATTCCTTCTTCAAATTTGATAAAAAACTCAATAATATATAATGCTGTTAAGCTTTATAATCATCTTCCGTCCAGTGTTAAGGACATAGGATCAGTTGATTTTTTCAGACGTTCGGTGAAGTTGATTCTTGTAGAAGAGGCATTTTATGATATTCAGGAATATCTAAATCAAACTAGTAGATAGTAGTACTTCTCGTTCTTGATGACATATGTAATGTGTCTTGTCTATATATAGTTCGTTTCAGCTTGTTAGTTTATTCATATGTATATATTTGATTTTATGTGTACCTACTTTATATTTTTATATATGTAAAAATTTTTACGACTTTGTCAATGAGATATAAATCTTCGGACAATAAAGCATATTTTGATTGATTGATTGATTGAATAAGGAATGCATTCTCTGTACTCATAGATAAACACAAGTAATCTAATATGCAATAATACTAGTTGAATCAGACTTGCAACAGTAGGTGTCAATTTTGTATAGTCACCTACCCTTTTGGACCTTTATGGAAGACTATTTGAAAAAACTCTTCAATTTTACCAAGAATTTTACTGACCAAGTCCATCAACCTTGACTTTTTGATCGATTTTTATTGCATTGAACAAACCATTGAGTTTTTATTGACTAGTCCTAAAATATTTTTTTTGTGTCCATTACTAAACTATTACATTCATTAATTCACTCATGGTCCTCATGGAACTAATTTATTTAATTATTTTCTTCAAGCACTTACTTTGAAATAAATATTAGGTTTTTTCTTATTCAACCTGATGCCTACACTTTCCAATTCTTTTTCTAATAAATCTCTATGAACATCTTTTTTTGTAGCATCTAACATCATCAGAACTAAATCTGCTGTTCGGGCAACAGCAATAACTTGTCTACCTAGAACAAAAAGTTTTAGTTGAGATTTACTGAAGATTTAAATTTATTATTGAAAAGGAATATTTTCAGATATATTATGAACATGAAAAAATGAGTACATAGGTATAAAGAAATACATTGAGAATTTGCATTCTGGATTTATATCTGATAAAAATTTGAATTCTTTTTTTGTTTATTCAACAGAAAACAACTACTTTCCTGGCTATAAATGCCACAACAAACATTGAAATACATCTATTGAAATTTGAAACTAAAAATTGTCTATGATAATTTGTATTCTTTCATATACTAATATTTAGAAATAAATTTGGTCACACTTTGCTTAGGCATCCAATTGCACTGACCTAAAATTAATTAGATTTTGGACAACACAATATATAACCCAACACATTAAATTATCAAAATAATTGAAACCATATAACTCAACTGTTATGTGGTTTTTGCACTGAAGAGACATAATACTAGTTCTAGTATCATCAGTATGATAAAACAATAAAAAAATAGCTTTTACCTCTTCCCTTTCCTTGAGCTGCACCCTCAATTATCCCAGGTAAATCCAACAATTGAATATTTGCTCCATTATAATCTATCACACCAGGTATGCAAGTTAAAGTGGTGAATTCATAAGAAGCTGCCTCACTCTCAGTTTTGGTAAGTGTAGAAAGTAAGGTGGACTGAAAGCAATGTTATTAAACGATAATACATTGGTTAAATCAAGAGAAAAATTATTACTTTTCCAACAGAGGGAAATCCAATGAGTGCAACCCTTGCATCTCCACTCTTGAGAACATCGAATCCTTCTCCTTTCTCTGATTTTTTGGATGGTTCCAGTAACTGGGATCTATATTTTGCTAATTTTGCTTTCAAAAGCCCCAAGTGATACTCAGTGGCTTAAAAAATGTCATAGGTTAGGATACCCTTCCAGTAATGGAATTTCTATTACCTTTGTTTTTCTGAGTCCTAGATATTTCCCTCTCAATCTCAGAAATCTTTTCTAAAATACCCATTTTAATTTCAACAATATAATAATTCGGTATCAATGCTTTAGTACTTAAATTAATTATTAAAATTATATTCAATATTTTCCGGTCCCCACACCAACACCACCATCTGCCATGTCTATTCTGTCAAAATTCTGTCTTGCTTGTCTATATATCTATAAAGATGTCAACAATCCAAAATCAACAATGAATGACATGAATGTCAATTAGTGTCAATGATGACAGCACATGTCAATGAACCTGCTGTCTATATTGTCAAATGTCATTCTTTCATTTCAAGTAAGATTTCAAGAATTTCAAGCTTGATTTGAAATTTTTCGCGCTTCTCCTCCTAGCAAATAGCATTAGGAGTACGCCTACCGCGTTTTTAAGTGAACAATCAGGACTTTGACCGCGCTTTACGTAAGAAGCGGAAGTATTCATGTGAATTCAGCTTTTCAATTTACTTCAAGAATGTAGAAATTTCCGTCTAACGGTAATCTAGGCTACGTTCAGCGGCAGGCCGGACCATGGTCAACTCGTCTCAATCCGTTCAGACCGTAGTCAGACTATGGACCAGACCGTGGTCCACGTAGTCTCATTTGAAATTAGGCCCAGCATGGTCCAAATCGTTCAGTCCATTGTTTCCGTCAGTAAACGTCAGTTATATTTGACATGAATTTATGACATGCAAATAAATTTGAAAGAATTTCTACGCGGGTGAGATAACATGATGGCCACCGAGTTCAAGAATGCATGTGCCGCAGTTTAAACAGTATGAAGATACACAGAGTATCGATTCACAGCTTTTCAACTAAATGCAGAGTCATACAAAATGTGGCAGAAACATATCAAAAAATGGTAGCTCATTCCCAAAAGTACGTCTGTCTGTAGCAGATATTTCTTAGAAACAGATTATGAAGGTAATTTCTTTTATTTTTTCATCTATTCAGTGTTTTATTATGTTGTTCTTAACTTTCAGGGGAAATCGATTCCAAATTTTTTGTGAAGCATATGTAATACCCTCACAGAATTCACTGATTATACATTGCACCAAAATGTAAAACCTGTGATTAATGGATCTGAAAGAAACTAAGAGTGGCCATTTTGGAACAAAACATAAAAATGTCTTCAATCATTCTCCAATCTATATCAACTAACTTACCCCCAGTAACAGGAATGAATCTGATAATAACATAGATGCTACCTAAAGACCTCCCTCACCTGCAGTTTTGATGGAACTTCCACCAGGACTGATCTCTATTGTTGTGAACATGCCAATGATTTTTCATACTTGTTCAGTAATGATAAATAATACAACTATTACATTCTGTTTTTTTTTTCAACATAATCTAAAATATGTTTAACAATATGAATAATTTGAAACTTCATATCATTCATTCTTAATATCATTATATATCATAAATATTTGCAAATTCTTCATCAAGATCGATGCTGTTGTGAAAAGGAGTCTGTTGCAGAGGAATACAATTTACACAATGAATATCTTATAGGTACTTTGCTCTTCGGATTCTTGATAGTAATGAAATCTTCTCAAATGTTGTTCGTTCTTCCTGCTCCGTTGTGACAATGTATGTGGGGTAGATAATGGATTAGCTGGAAAACAATTAATATCAATTACTAATGAAAGTTAGAAATTATATCATCAAACTCAACCCCAGACCCAAGTGTTCAAATTTATTTCCATCAACAGCATCATTCGTTTTGAAGGAAAATACAACAGTTTCTTCAATCCTTGTCTTCATTGGTAAAAGCTATAGTTGTATGCTCTAGTCCATACATTGCCAGCTTTACAAGAACAAACACAATCATGTCCAATCGTTCGCTGGAAGGCTTCAATTTCAGAGCAGCAGAAGTTTGTAGAACCTGCCCAATGATCTCAAGTTTCTGTTTCTGTACACTTTTCACTTGACACAAATAACATCTCCAGGCTGGTATAGCTGTTCATCATCCATCATCGGCCGATATCTATTATCAATATATTTGAGAATGTCGACCGAATTGATTTCAACAAGCACCGTCGTTCTGAAATCACTCTAGCCAGTAGCCACTAAAATTTCAAATCACATCAAATATCAAATCATGACAACTTTGACAGATACTAAATACAGATCACCATGGACCGATGTCGTTCAGAACTCGTATGCTTGTTGTGGTCCGACTACGGTGGTCCAGACCTGCCGCTGAACGTAGCCCTAGTGATTATCGATCCCCCTGGATAAATGAAAATATGAAATCTCAAAATCTAATTATCTAACACAATCATGTGAACGATTCAAAATTCGATAACGAAAATGTAGATTAATTGTTTGATACTTGGTTTCATTGTGGATTTGGGATTCATTAATTTTTTGAAAGCAAATATGTACTAGGGTTATGTCTAAAGATGTATTTTTTTGGAAATTCTACTCAAGAGTCAAGTGAAGAATCTTCAACAAAAGAATCAAATTTTTCCGATTGCACTGGAGCAAAACCGAAATTTTGTTTTCCACCACCCCCAAGACTTTCCAAAAGTGCAAACAATTCATATTGCTCAACAGCTTCAGATAGTTCAAACAGTGTATCTTTTCCTGAGAGAAGTTTTTGTGTTGCCAAAAAGAAGAAACACAAATCGAGGGTGAATAAGAATCTACCTCCCTTGGGTATTTATTGGGACATAGAGAATTGCCATGTTCCTAAAAGTAAAAGTGCAGCAGCTGTAGTACAAAGAATTAGGGATGTGTTCTTGGAGAACTATAGGGAATCTGAGTTTGTTGTTGTATGTGATGTAAAAAAAGAGAGTCCACAAGTCATTCAAGAACTTCATGATGCTCAGGTGAAGATCCCCTTTTCAAAAATTATAGGTATCTTAATAATATTGAATTCATAGGTCATGTTGATTCATGTATCATCTACATCTAAAAATGCAGCTGATGAGAAATTGAGACAATCATTAAGGAGGTTTGGGGAGCTGCATCCTGCTCCTTCAGGTGTAGTTTTGATCTCAGGGGATGTAAATTTTGCAGCTGACTTATCTGACTTAAGATATAGAAAAAAAGTCAGAGTGATATTAGTTCATAATGTAAATGTAGCAGATGCATTGATATTATGTGCAAATGAGCATCATTCATTCCCTGAATTGATGAAAGATATACCAATAATTAATAAGTGCAAAGTATGGGTTTGTCATTATGATGGTTATTTTTATAAGTGACTACTTCATATTTTTTATAGGTGATCAATAATACTCCTGCATTTTTGACAATAACTAATCTTCCTCAAAATTTTGAAGTTGGAAAATTGAAATGTAGACTGCAGATGCTGACTGAAAATTGTGGAGGCAAGGTTTCAGGAATTTCTGGAGGAGATGGTATAGCGTCAGTTAGATTTGGGAATTTAGACACTGCTTTGAGGTGAGATTTGACAATCTTATTTCAATTCAACTGCCTCTTTCAAAGGTTCTCAAGAGAAATATCATCATTTTCATTTCTGTTTATGTTCAGTTTGTATTTATGATAACATGAGTTGAAACTTGTATTAAATATCAGAGAAGTATGGGGTATAGTGCATGCAGAAACCATTGCTCCCCTCTCCCCCCCCCCCCCATTAACTCATCTTGCTCCTGTACAGAAACAAAATATTGCACTGCAAAAAACTCAAAACTTATTTGTCAATAACTATTAGGTACCTACTACATTTTGAGCCCTCTTGATAACAAACCATTAATTTTGTAGTAATTTAGATCACCTTATGTAGAGCCTTTACTTCTCACAAGGTTGACAAAACCAAACAACACTATCAAATAATTGTCAAATCAAACAGTTGGCTCCAAATTTTTAGAACATTCCATACAATTTTATCTATTCTAGTTTTGCAGTAATTCTGAATGAAGTGTCTTATCAGTTCCTACTGTATAAATAACAGAATGAGTATAAAAAGTGGTTCTTAATTTTTTTCAATGTGTTTGCCAAAGACCTTGAAGCACCTAAAAAAGGAAATTGCCTTATTTTCAACATTTTCTGTCCAGTATGCTAGATACTCTCTATATGACATTACAATTTATTTAAATGAAGTGAGATTTCATTTTTCATCCAAAATGGCACATTTCAGACCCTATGATAAAGACTTTAGGTATGAAAGTTGTACTTTATCTACTGAATATGTTTTGTGTAGTGTTGTTATTCATTCTTTTTTTTTGTGATAGGGCACAAAGAAGGATTCAAGGAGAAGATGTTTTTGGAAACAAAATCAAAGTACTATCTCCATCAGTAAGAAGTTTTACAGGTAACTTTTCTATTCTACCTATTTTCAATTATTTTCACTTTTAACACACCACCAAATACAAGCTTGGCTTTTTTATTCCAAATCTGATTCAGATGTTTTTTTATTCATATTAGTAGGTTCCATGATACTCATTCCTGAGCTCATTCCTTCTGGAAATATAGTCACATTTATAATAGGTACAAAAATTCTGGTTGTAAGAATAATTCAGTCTTTTTATTTTCAAAAAATCAAAACCAAAAATAAATTTCATTTTTCTTGTTTCACTTTGTTATGTTTGTTGTTGTTATGATAGGTGTTATACACTTTGATAGTCTTGGTAGGCAATTTAAAAATCATAGCTTCATGAAGAGGTGAAACTGTGATCAGGAGTAAAAAATGATAATCATTGTATCCAAAAAATGACAATAAAAACATGATTTGCATCAAAATTGCATTGGAATTCAGAAAATGTGCCTCAAAAAACCAGCTGTTAGTGGTTTATTGTTTTCTAAATATTATTGGTCTGAGAGATATTAAATTTGTTTCAATTTGAAGATCCATACTGTAGGTACTATTTTATAAGTGGTTGAATTGAAGATCATTTCAATTATTCCTCTTTTTCTAAACTGTCATTAGAAAAAAATTATAGTTTACAAATCAAAAATTAATGAGCACCTAGCAATTGGTACACAAAATTACAGAAATTATTATGTATTATTATTATTATTTTTCTTCACATTTGTGTATGAGGTTATCAAATGATCAGTTTTACAGCAAGTTTTGTGCTAACAGGAAGCAGTGGTACCTTTCCCTGGCATATTTTACGCCACTGATGAAATTATGACTTTCTGGATTCCCTGTTTAATTTTGTTTATATAACAAAACCTTCAACCTAGCCTTAAATCAAACTAATGTAAAGGCATTTTGCATCATGCTCTATAGGTGATTATTACAAGGATGTAAAAATCTCTGATCATTTTTTTAAGAAACTTACTTCCTCATTAAAAATAATTATCAATTTTCAACCACACTCATGTAGTTTTCAATCCACAAAAATAGTTATTTGTTTTACTAGGCTGCAAAGTAGTAATAGTAGTAGAAGCCAAGGCAGTCAATCTACATTTGCCGCCGTGTGAATAAATGAATTTTTTTCTCCAAATGCTATAAAACCATTATAAAACCAATTTTGTGTAATTTTTTTATTGAAAACTCCATCATTTTGTGTTCACTCAATGTCAGTGTCAATTTTGATTACTAATTCAATTCAAATTACTCTCAACTTGGAACATTGCATGGTTGCATAGCAACAAACTTAAGATTTATTGATCCCAAGAAACATACAATGTTCATAGAGGGAAACAAAAAAATTATAATAAACAAATCAAATATGCACTACAATGAAAGATAAACAGTTCAATCAGACTTAATTGATACAAGGAAAGAGTTAAATTCATAAAATATATTTCTTCAGTTCACACTTGAATTTTGTGACGAGCCTAAAAGATTTTATTCTGTTGGGTAGACTATTATAAATATTTATTCCACAAAATACAATGAATTTTTCCCGAATTTGGTTTTTATTTTGACAGTTTTCAAATGTTCACTTTGTCTGGTGTGATGCTCATGGGTATCAGAATTGATATTGAAAGTAAGATTCGAGTGCTTTTTCTTATTTTAGTGAAATGAATGAAAATGCATACTTTCATTTCAAAAAGAAAGTCAATATTTAACAGATCCCTTGGTTTGTATAGTCTAGAAATTGATTCCAGAAATGGTAGTTTATAAATTTATTTTATGGCTTTATTTTGAAAAGATTTCAGAGGTTTTAAAACAGATTTTGCTGCAGTACCCCAGATCAATATCAGATATGGCGATCAAAATCATTATTAATTTTACTAGTAAGGTTTGCCACTTATAACTGAATATGATACAAATAGTTTCCATTTTTCAAAAGTGAAAATGAAGTAGTTTTTCATCCCTTCTAAATCTATTGAAAAAATGTCTGCTGACAGTGAAAATGAAAGTATATTAATCAACTCCCTAATCAACATGACAATTTTCATTAGTTTTCTGAAGTAAAGCCCTTACTTTTTGTGCTAGGACGTAAAATGCGAAATGCTGATGCATCATTCAAGTCATATGACATGTCTCCTATGCCACCACCCGGATTTTCTCAACATGAAATCCAGAATTCCTTTGGCAATCAGTCAAATAGTAAGGATCTACGAAGACAGTCGGTAAGTGTTTCATTTTTGATTTATCAATATATCTTGAAAAAATTAAAGTTTGATATAGGTATGCATAAAAAAATTTATATAATAACACCACCCAACTAACTCCGCTCAGTAAATGAACAATTTAAGGATGAGTGAGTGATGTATTTTACTACTGTGATGTGTTTTCAAGAATTTCTCGGAAATCTGATAGTATGTGAATTTTTTTAGGGATAAATCAACTCCTACATGAAAAACGCTATTTGACTACAACATGAGTCATTTTGACATCGATAAAAAGGATGCACCTTTTTTATCACTGATAAACTGCCTGCTCCTTTGATCTAGTAGCTATTTGCGCCTGATGTCACTCCAATTTCTGTCGTGTCAAGTTTTGATTGATGGGTATGGTTCACGCGTAAATTAGCAATTTCGTCTGAAAGAACCTCGAAAATATGAGAAAATCTTTTCCGCAAACTACCAGTTACACAGAATCATCAATAAAGGTAATCATTATTGTTGTTTATTTGTATATTGTTGATTTATCTTGCTCGACCTACGACTTCGCAGTTTTTTCATGTCAGTTTTTCGTGAGAAAAAACAGATGGAAAATGTTTGAGTTGATAAGGAAATTTATCCAATTAAAACAAAAGTTTGAGTGTTTTTTGGCAAGATAGATCCGTGTAGGATTTGATTTATCATATATTATACATATAATACCACAAGTGATAATATTTTGCCGGAAATATTCGGTGATTGTTACGACAGCTTGTTGCCTAGTAATTTCGTGAATGACATTGTTATCAAAACTACGAGCCAGAGGCGAGTAGTTTTGAATCAATGTCATGAGTGAAATTAGAGCAGCAAGCTGGATGTCAATCGACGAATATTTCCAGGAAAAATAGTATCATGAGTTGTATTCGTATGACTATTTCATGATCGAATGAGACAATATATACAGTGTGACCCATTTAAGATGGAAGCACCCTTATAAAACTTACATTTTCCAACCGATAGGAATGATTTTTTTTTTGTTAGGTAGATATTCAAAAAGTCTATTTCGTCTGAAAAAACCTCGAAAATATGAGAAAATCAATTCCGCAAACTACCCCTTGCACGGAATCATCAATAAAGGTTTTGAATAGGCCTTTTCATGTAGATATATTTTTGAGACGCATGCGCTCGTTTTTAGATCCAAAATTTGATTGGTTAATGCAAAGGTAAAGTCTCATTGGCTATAGTTCCGACACAAAATTCTGATTGGCCATTTCAAATATGGCGGTTTTTATTGACTTTATCGACGTTCTGTCAAATGTCAACAGTGTCAACCATCATGGGCATTCGTCATTGAGAAACAACGATAACAATATAGTATTTTCGTTTCTATATTCCTGGTGTGTATTAATTGTATTATATCAATTTAAATCGAAAAAACGTTACTTATTCATTGCTGAGTATTGACTCGGCCGTTACTTGATGGAAATCCATGGCAAATGTATAACTTGACAAACGATGATATTTCCACAAAATTAGATTACTAGTTCAGTGTGTTTGAGAATTTTGTGGAAATCTTATCGTTTGTGGAGTTATACATTTATCAATAAAGGTAATCATTATTGTTGTTTATTTGTTTATTGTCGTTGATTTATCTTGCTCGACCTAAGGTCTCGAAAATTTTTCATATCAGTTTTTCGAGAGAAATAACTGATGGAAAATGTTTGAGTTTGTAAGGAAATTTATCCAATTCAAAAAAAGCCTGAGTGTTTTTTGGCAAGATAAATCCTTGTAGGATTTGATTAATCACCAGAAAACATTTCAATCAAATGAAAATACTTCGAAATTTTTTTGTCTGTTACAACAGGACTGCTTTTTTTCGTTCAGAGATGTTGATCATGCATCAATTCAATATATAAAGGACCCCGCACGAAAACACGGTAAATTGGCTCTCGGTCGAATTGGCTGAAATTTTACTATGTTATTGTGGGATGGCTCATTAGAAAAATATGTGAGTTTAAAATGTTTTGTATGTTTAGTTTCTGATATATAAGCCGACAAAGTTCGTAAAAACGTCGTATCGGGGTAGGATTGACAAAGAAAAAAACTGTTTTTTTAGTATGAATGAAACAAAATATGCTAAAAAATATATTGATCGGAACTCATAAACATGTCTAGTTATAATCACACAAATTATAATAAATCAGGGTGTATACGAGGCACGGTCAAAAAATTAATTTTTCGGAAAAAAAATTCGACCACTATTCCAAAACCAACAAGTTATATTTTGGTGGGATATTATAGTTTAAGTCTATTGTAGGCTTCGAAAACGTATTTTGATTCTTGATATCAATTTTTGATAGTAATATCCGAGGTAATAACCCTATAATACCTGTAATACTGTAAACTCAAAAATGCATGTCTCAGAAACGAAACATAAAAAATTGAAAAACTTTTTGCATACGATAGTCAACATATTCAAAATATTGTGAGTAAAATGAGATCCAAATTGACGGAACTGTTTTCGATATATTCAATTTTACATTTTAAATAATCTTCAACAAAATCTCACACACCTTGTATCTTAATAAGAAGCAAAATTGAACAACTGAATTCGCTAGTGAGTAACCTCAGTTTTCATTCAATCAACAGTATAAATCAATCCCTTTTTTTGTGATCAAAAACAAGCTGTCAATTGTTTTCCAGAAACACAAAATTCAAAGAATTCATATTTCGAATAGAGATAGTTACCAAGAATCAAAATAAGTTTTCGAAGCCTACAATAGACTAAAACCATGATGTCTCATCAAAATATAACTTGTTGGTTTTGGAATAGTGCTCGAATTTTTTTTCCGAAAAATGAATTTTTTGAACATGCCTCGTATTCACCCTGATTTACTATAGTTTATGTGATCATAACTAGACATGTATTTGAGTTCCGATCAACACATTTTCTAGCTTATTTTGTCTCATTTATACTAAATAAACAGTTTTTTTCTTCGTCAATCCTACTCCGATACGACAATTTTACGAACTTTGTCGGCTTATATCTCAGAAACTAAACATACAAAACTTTTCAAACTCAAATATTTTTTTTTAATGAGCCATCCCTCACTAACATAGTAAAATTTCAGCCAATTCGACCGAGAGCCAATTTACCGTGTTTTCGTGCGGGGTCCTTTGACAACTCTTTGAACCAGAATGACAAGAACACACTCAAGTCGAAATTAGAGCATCAAATTATTCATTCTCTTTTTGAAATATTCATATTCCACTAATTCTATTGATCAGTGGGACATTTCCATAAATTTCAAAACCGTTTCGAGAAAATAGACTATTCATGCCCTAAAACACAATTACCAAACTCACATTAGTTACACAAAATAATAAAAAATAAGTTGATAGTAGCTTCACAAATTCTTGCAAGAAAATCGAGGTACTATCTAGTATCATTGAAATTTGCTCACGTTATATTATTAGGTTGAATAAAATATGATTAAACGACTTTAGTTGAATGAAATAATAAAAAATAAGTAGCTCAATCCTTCAGTTTTTCACAAATTCATTCAGCTGAACTTGGTAGAAATATATTTTCTTAGATACAAGGAACTTATCAACTTATAGAATTAATTCGACGTAATCTGAGGTTAAATGTATAAATGTCATTTTACCTATAAACGTGAAAAAAATCCAGTGTTATTTCATGCTCCTTCTACCAAGGAGGAGGAAAAAATTTACATAAATTTGTTTAGTTGCTATGGCAACAATGCAAAATACAGTAGATTGGTCGAAAATTTTATGTGTTGAATTTCCGCTGGAGAAGTTAGAGCAAACTTTTTCTGCTGTCATAATTACGTCTAAAATTAAATAACTTCTCTAGGAATTCTGACAATTATAGTTATTATACAAGACATGGTAATCTGTTAGGCATTCCAAATCATAGAACATCATTTTTTGAAAAATCTCCATCTTATGCTGGTATACAACTGTACAACAAACTACCACAATTTGTGAAAGACGTACAAAATATTAATTGTTTCAAGAAAAGTCTCAAGAACTTCTTGTTAGAAAATTGTTTTTATAGTATCCTTGAGTTTTATAATTTTCCAAAAATTTGGTGTTATGTCGGCTCACTGTTATTAGTAGGTATATTTCATGTCCCTGTATTGTTTTATTTTTACCCATTATTATGTTTGTTCATATATTTTCATGTATACATACAGTGTGCCCGATTTCAACACACAACAACCTCCTAATTTGGAACCCGTCGACCGATTTTCAAAAACAAAAATTTCATAATATAGTACTGAACGAGCTCTATTCGAAAATGTGGACAAATCTGGAATATACATATTTTCAAGGCCTACTTTCAATTGCTGAATGAGTCAAAATTTCAAAACCGACCATTAGAAATTTTTTATCGAAATAGAGTATAGAGTATAGAGTAGAGTAGAGTATAGAGTATAGAGTAGAGTATAGAGTATAGAGTAGAGTCTAGAGTATATTTAGAGTATATTTATTTGACTACATTACAATGCATGTTTGTAGCACGTCATAAAAACGACAATACTATAGAAATACATCACATATAGTATAAAAATATTGTAGATTACTGTAAAATAGCATTAAAACATAGAAAATAGATTGAAGAATGAAAAAAAAAAAAAACATAGAAGTAGCATAAAAATGGAAATTTGGCGAGACGAGTTTTATTCTCTACGAGGTCTGAAATTTCCAATGTATTCCTCTGTGGAATAAAAGCAATGCATCAAAAGTAAGTTTTTTATCCTTATTTTGAATATGTTTATACTTAAAGATTTCAATTCTGGTGGAAGTATATTGTAGAGATAATAATTCAGTGAATTTTTCTTAGATTTAGTTAGGCGGAACTTTTTTGATCTCAGGTTATCTGCTTGTCTAGTACCATGGCTGTGTATATCAGATTGCTTAGTGAGCATCGAGGAGTTTTTGTGAATCTCTATCAGAACTTGAAAAATAAACAAACACGGCAAGGGCATTATTCTGTGTTTAATAAACAAAGGTTGGCAGTGTTCCAGATAGCTTACACTGGATAAGATCCTGACAGCTTTTTTCTGTAAACGAAAAATTAAGAGAGAGTCAGACGAACCACCCCAAAGAATAGTAGCGTAACTGATGTGCGAGTGAAATAACGAAAAATATGTTGTTCTGAGTGCATTAAAATTGGTTACAGTTTGAAGTTGACGTAGGACAAACAGAGCACTACTGAGTTTACTTTTTAATTTAGTAAAGTGAGGTTTCCAAGATAGATCACTATCCAGAGTTACTCCTAGTAAATTTGCAGAATGAGTTTCTATGGCATACGTAGACGAAAGATACAGAGTTTGCGATTTATCGTTGTTCAGTTTGAGTTTGTTGGCTGCAAACCAATTTTCGGATTTATTAGTTAATTCTTCGTGAGTACTGTACAGCTCTGATCTCAGTTTTCCAGAATAAATGAATGTCGTATCATCTGCAAATGAAACAGTTTTCACCGGAACCATATAGTTGCTTAAGTCGTTTGTGTATATTATGAACAACAACGGTCCTAATATTGACCCTTGAGGGACACCATGCTCATTATGTTTGAAATCAGATAAGGAATTTCCAATACTTACCGCTTGAAAGTGGTTTTTCAAATAGGATTGTATCAGATTGAGTGGTACTCCCCTAACCCCGTAATAATTTAATTTTTCAAGTAATATATCATGTGATACACAATCAAATGCCTTGGAAAGATCACACAAGGTGATAGCAGCTTGCATCCCATCCTCCAAGGTAGATACTATATCATTCACGACATTCAAGACAGCGAGAGCAGTAGAGCGATTTGGTCGAAAACCATATTGTGTGTTGCTAAAAAAATTATTTGACTCAAAATAACACCTCAATCGTTTATTCAGAATTTTTTCTATTATTTTCGCAAAAACTGAGATAATGGAAATAGGACGATAGTTGTTGATATTATTTCTATCACCTTTTTTAAACAGTGACTTGCTCATTTGATTCAGGCATAGCTTAAATACCCTCATACGAAATTTGAATGCAAAATCTCACATAGGGTGTTAGTTATTCAATGGCAAATTCTGATATCTTTGATTTTTCGATTCACCCTGTATCAAAATCTAAGGAATCGATAAAACTGGTAAAGTAGTGATCCAATGGAAAAACACATCGAATACTTTGGATACGAAGTTTCATCGTTGTAACTTCTACAGGAAGATCTCTCTCGGTCAAACAAAAATCTATGAAATAAAGTTGACCACTCATAATTTGACTCTTTTTCGAAGACCTGTATTTTTTTTTAAATTGACCGATCTCCATGCGCTTTTCAATATCAGATGTGATATTTCATCGGCTTTAAAGAGAGCTAGAACATTCTGAAAAAGTCCGCAGAACAAAACTTACACAGGGCGTAAAGTGGAACAATTACACTGGTTTACATTTCCAATGCTGCCAGAACACGAGACATTTTTTTCTGATCAAAAGTCAGTCATATTATGATACTCTGGGACCTCATCTCGGGACGTTTTCGTGATTTCTCCTCAATTGGCCATTGGAACAAAAATTAGTTTTTTTTCGAAAGTCTTGCAATTCTTGATTTTTTTCTCTAGAACTCCACTTGAGCTGAATATTGGGATGAACTGTTATCATGTTTTGTGAAGGACGATGATAGACAAAAAGAGCACCATTGTGGAATATACAGGATGATAAGGAAATAGACAAAATCTCATTTCAGTAAAAAAATCAAAAACGGTGACTAAAACCATCGCCCATTTGATTCAGTATATTCAGAAACAGCCTTCTCGATATCCATTATTTATATTAGACTATTAACTCGAGACGTTTTCGAAAATTTAACTCTAATTGAAATACAGGTTGACAATATTTATTGCCCAAGTATGAGACACAGAGTATTGTTGTTCAATATACTGAGTGTTTCACAACTTATCTGACAAATTACGAACTCTACAAAACAATAATGTTAAAAGAATGTGGTCACCAGCATTATATCCAGATCTGAATCCGATTGAACATGGGTGGAGCCGAATGAAACTTAACCTATCGAGAAGGCGAGAAGCACCCCAAAATAATGACAACTTTATCCAAGTTGTATCAGAAGAATGGGAGGCAACATCAATAGACTTCATCAACAACCTCATAGAATCTATGCCAAACCGATTTCATGAGGTTTTGTTAAATCGGGGAGGCCCTACTAAGTACTGAAATTTAACATATAGGACTTTTTAGTTGAATCTTCATAATGCTGAAGAATTCATTATTGTCATATTTCGCCAATAGAGCCCATTTCGAATAGTTTTAGTGAATATAAAGTGTTTTCCATCTTGTTTTACTTCTATAAAATTTTTATGTGATCGACTTCTTATGTAATATTGTAGTTGTGGTTGAAATTTGTCAGATAAGTTGTGAAACACTCAGTATATTGAACAACAATACTCTGTGTCTCATACTTGGGCAATAAATATGGGAAATCAGTTGATAAGAATCAACGATATCAGAAAACAAGTTTCAATTGAGAATTTTGAACCTGAATTTCAATTAGAGTCGCATTTCCGAAAACTTCTCGAGTTAATAGTCTAATATAAATATTGGACATCGAGAAGGCCGTTTCTGAATATACTGAATCGAATGGGCCATGGTTTTAGTCACCGTTTTTTATTTTATTTTTTTTACTGAAATGAGTTTTTGTCCTATTTTCTTATCATCCTGAATATTCCACAAAATATGAGAACAGTTCTTCCCAATATTCAGCTCAAGTGGAGTTCTAGAGAAAAAATTCAAGAAATGCTAGACTTTCGAAATGGCCAATTAAGGAGAAATCACGAAAACGTCCCGCGATGAGACCCCAGTGTATAATATGACTGACTTTTGATCAGAAAAAAATGTCTCGAGTTCTGGCAGCATTGGAAATGGAGACCATAGTGTAATGGTTCCACATTACACCCTGTGTAAGTTTTGTTCTGCGGACTTTTTCAGAGTGTTCTAGCTCTCTTTGAAGCCTATGAAATATCACATCTGATGTCGAAAACCTCATGAAGATCGGTCATTTTTTTTTTAAATACTGGTCTTCGATAAAGAGTCTAATTATGAGTGGTCCATTTGGTGTGTTGAGAACTGTATTTCCAACAGCATGATGAAAACGAGGCCGAGTTCGAGATTCTAGAAGTAGAGTTCCCCTCGAACTCCTTCTAGACTCCATGACAAAAACAGCTAAAGCGAAACACTGAAACCCCAACCTAGCACCCGCCCACACACTCCCATCTAACACACCTTCTGACAAACCTTTTTTTTGTAACTTTTTCAGTCCGCCGTTCCCCCTCAGTGCGTCTTCCGGCCGATCCGCGGGGCCGGCGCCCAGACAGCCACCCCTATGGAGGTGGGCTACGAGACGGGCGGCGCCAAAAGGGGTGGGGCGGATCGTCGCCCGCTGACCCCCCAGGAGCAGCTGCTGATGGCCGCGTGCGGGCCGTCCGCCATTGGGCGGGTGCACAGGACCAGCGGCAGCTCGGAATATAACAGCGATGAACAGAGGGTGAGTAGGGTGCGTACATTTTTTTCAATATCTTGGAGTAGGATGGAGGAATGCGCAGGTGCTGGGATCTATGGGCAGTCCCCAAGGGCATATCATTACTATACCCTTGGGAAACATGCCACGATTTTTCAGGCTTGCAAGAATTCTCTTCATTCTTATACGTTCTTTATCAGAAAATAACGAATGGAACTGATTTTTTGAAACAATATTTATTGAAAAGACATTCGCTAGTAAGTAAGTACATAAATTAGAAATCCTACTTCTGATATTTGATTCGATCTACTTTTGATTATTTGCTTTTAACATCCATCGTTTTAAACGAAACTATCTACCCTACCAAATAAAGTCTTTCTCCTGGTGTCACCAAATTGGGGAATTTACCAAGCTTTTTTTTATCAATATAGAAATCCACTGACCTGGTATTTCATAGATAAATGTATGTATGTGTCCCCACAATAGGACACGTGGGTTCAGAAACGATATAATTCACTTCCTGCTGCTTCCTACTGCTTCCTGCTTCACTTGTGAAAATCCAGCACTCACTAGTTGCGTTTGTTTGGTATCAATCCGTTACCGGTTTCAACATTCCTGTTGTTTGATTGCACACCAAATTCCATTCCGGTTGCTACTTTTCAATCCATCAAATTAAACAGAATGATCAGAATGACAATTGCAGTAATTGTCATAATATGTCAAGATATTGATGTATGAGGATATTTTCATTGCAAACAAAAGATATATAATCTGAATGATAGAAAAAAATAGTTCATATTAACATGGAGGCAATGGAGCAATTAATACAAACAGCTTCCGGGGAATTTTTATGGCTAAATCCTCAAAGTGAGTTCAGAATAGAAATGACAAACAATGTTGGAGATCGCTCTGGGATATCTGAAACTTCTGAGCCCTTTGCAAGAAGGTACCCAGAGAAAGAAACGATGATCAACAAAAGGAAAAAGTTTTTCAGCGTAGTTATCCCAAAGCTGGAATGTTGGAGTGGCTGAAAGATTACAAAAAAGATGTAGAGAACAGAGAGAATGCAAGACTCTTGCTGGTTGAAAAACAACACCAGAAAAACAAGGAGATGATGGCAGAGATGTTGGAGATTCTCAAAAAAAAATAATCCAGAGAAGGAGTAGAATCTGTAACTAAAATTCATTTATTATTCTTATAGATTCAATTGTGTACCTGTAAGGAAATGGGCCCCTTCGCTAGGATAAGAAGATCACTGCAAAATAGGTTGAGTATGCTTAGTGAAAAAATACGGATGCCGTTACGAAAATTTTTCACTGAGCAAACCCAACTTATTTTGCAGTGTTCCTACCCTAGCAAGTGGGCCTCCTTTTTTGAAACACCCTAAATATGTTATTTGTATGAAAAACAAATTCTAAAGGTTAATATTCAAAATCTTTATATCTTTCTGTGAAAATACATGTTTTGAAAACATATAGCTATCCCAATTATTCCAAAGAACATCACACGAGAACCGAGACGAAAACTGACCAAAATTTCAAAATCTCTTGTCTATGAGCCCACAAATCTTCAACTATATGAGCTCTTCTTATATGTTGTCTGCTTCTTTTCGTTTCTTTCAATCAATCACTAAATAAACTGACAAACATGGATTGACATATTCATCAACATTTGGCGTTTGTTTGATGACCCGTATATTCTACTACTGGATTGATACCAAACAAACGCAACTACTGTCCGGTATTTCTCCAATCTGGAGCAATCCGGTACCGCTGGTGTAAAAACCAATACTCTTTTTCGTCTCTATTTCTTCTTCCTTCGGAAAAATCTCCTTATCTGTGTAGTCTCCGTGACAACCTCCTTTCTTTTCATTTCTTTCTATCTACCTACTATTCTGATCTATCAATTGATGTAACATATTCTTGAACGGTGTTTACCAACTTCAGAACATTGAATAATATAAATATACGTATATACAACTATACTATAAGCCGTTGCAGGCTGAAGTATTCGCAATACTTGCCTGTGTTCGAGAGAATATCGAGAGGGGCTATCACAACCAGCAAATCACTATATGCACTGACAGCCAGGCGGCGATCAAGGCGCTCACCTCGTATAGGGTGACCTCCGCCTTGGTGTCAGAGTGCATAGATAGCCTACAAAGGCTATCAGCAACGAACAAAGTATGTTTTTAGTGGGTTCCTGAGCACTCAGGGGTACCAGGTTACGAAATGGCCGATGGTCTGGCCAGAAAAGGGGCGAAGGGTTCAGTGATTGGTCTAGAGCCAATCTTGGGGGTCACTCGATCATGGAGCAACTTCAGGATGAAGGAAATCCTGACGGAAAGGTTCCAGGACAGTTGGAGAGAGGCTCCTGGAATGAGGCAGTCCAAACTCCATATAGGAAAACCGTCACGAAGACAGACCAATGCCCTCTTGACTTTGAACAGGAAGGAGCTGAAACTGGTGGTTGGCCTTTTGACAGGGCACTGCCACTTGAACAAGCATCTCAGCACGATCGGGATTGTGGAGGATCCTGATTGCAGATGGTGCTTAGAGGATGAAGAGACTTTTACTCACATTCTCACTGAATGCCCGGCAGTAGTGGCAGCAAGGGAGTTTTATTTTGGGGGCAGTATCCTGGACCCAGAGGATGTTAAAAATATTTGGCCTAGGAAGTTGATCTCATCACATTAACCAAGTATAATATTGATTTTACCAACGATCTAATGAAAATATTTTTGACTTTTCGGAAATAAGTGTCAGCTAATAAAACTGGCAACATTCCGTTGTTTCTAAACACACCGCTGAAAATGCATGACCTACGTCTCAATAGTTTCTCTGGTATCCTGTATTACCATACAGCAACGTGAGTCTGAGATTAGTATAACTTCATCCATATATCAATGCCCATGTTTTGTTCAGAAATTTAGTATGAAACAATAGGATCGCTCGTTCTAGTGCTAGGATACAAAATATGTGAGTTCTGGTTGAAACTGGATCATCAAAGGAATCTCGGGCCGTGATGCAGCTCTCTTTGAGCTTTCAAAGGGACCGACGGCCCGCGGTTTGATGTGTTGTTCCAACTGACTTAGCATAAACTATACCACAGATTAACAATCCTCACAGATGTGCAACTTCGCCCCTTTCGTTTGATGTTTGAACTCGCCGCTTCGGTGACGTCGGACCTTCAAATTGGTACAAACAGTTGCCAATTCATTTAATAATTCCGCGGATACAGCGTGGCCTTTTTATGAGAACCTAAATTATGTTCATTTGTAATGTTTTTCTAATTTGATTCAATGAATATTTTTCTGCTTAAAACGGCTATTATATAATCTCGATTATAATTGTCAGTCAAAACAGAACAAATCTAACGGTCTCTTCAAGCGAAACAGTACAAATCTTCACATTCCAAGCAAAAGTAAACAAATCTATAACATATATCGAAAAAACTCCTCTGATGTTTTAACAAAAATGAAACATATTTCCTTATATTTAAAAAAAAAAATAACAAAAATTTCAATGGGTGAGACCACTAATTTTTTAAAACGACATTATCGTGAACTCTATAATGAAAAACTACCAGCGAATTAATTTTGAATTTTGTCATGCATGCTAAGACGGCGAAAAAAATGAATTAGAATATGTCCATTTCAAAACACACAATTCCTGTGCCGTTTGAGATTTTGTCAATTCATTGGTGTGACTGGTGCGACGTCTTAGTCCCAACACGCCTATTGTCCTTGAACTCACCAATCACACTGCAACACTGCAGAATGACGAGGTATCAGAGAGAGATAGCTACATCTTGGGACTAATACGTCACGGCTTCACCATCATATTTGGCTGTTTGAAATATCGAATGAAATATGCTGATTTCAAAACGATATAGATTCGATTCCCTTCAACTTCAACTCATAATATTGATTGTACATCAAACTTGAATCATGATTCGTCGATTGTTAGAAGTTTTCACGGATTTCTTCTCTCAGTGGTCTTCCCCATTGAAATTTTTCCAATATTGTGGCTTACAGCGAAAATATTGTTTTAGTCATAATTAGTGTTCTATGCTGTGGTGATGAGTGGACTGTATATTTATGATTGTTCGATAAAAACTGATGAAATGAAAAGAGAAGAGAAGAGATTGCAACTTCTCCTGAACTCTATTAATTAATTCTTATGTTTCAACAACACGTCTTCATGTTAACAATGAATCAAATGTTATTTTATGTAGGGTAATACAAGTACCAAATAACTATATAGGGTCAAAGTACTAAACAATTAGTTCAAATGGTTTTGTTTGCTTTTGCGTGGATGCTCCTCAACTGCAAAAAATGTCTTCTATTTTTAAATGGGTACACCTATCCTTCGAAGCCGGTTATAATAAAAAAACATCGCACTTGTAAAAATAGCCTACTGGTGACATTGATGTTCCTTGAAGCGTGTTTTGTAGAACATTGGAATTTTCATATTATTTTCAGGTTGCCTATATAAACGAAAATGATGGGAAAACTGTACAATCAAATCAGCCAGTAGATCTGGTTATATCCAACCTAGATCCCTCAATCGAAGTGAAAGAACTCAGAAGACTGCTTACTAATATGCTCAAAGAATATGCAATGGTGAGGGAAAATAAATTTTCACATTTTATCTGAAAACACAAAAACACTTTAAGCTTCAGTGAATCTCATTCATGAGTACATGAAATAGAAAAAATATATATTCAAAGCTGAACTGATATTTTCAGATTTTGAGTTTGACAATTAGTGTACAAGCGGATGGTGGTCCGATCGCGAATATCAGGGTGAACAGTCAACATGAAGCACAGTTCACAATATCACAGTTGCACAGACAGAAACTGGGGCACAAAAGAATCGTCATATCATACGCACAAACCAACTCGCCAGATCCTGAACAGTTGAGAGCCATTATAATAGGTCTGCTTCAGGTAATTGTTTTATTGTTCCATACCGTCATCTTATTTTCTGTTTATTCGATTCATATAAACTTTTAGTTGCATTTTTCATGGTAGCATTTTTTTTTAGGAAGTGCCTGATAACTGTATGCCTCTCTTCAAATTTTTGGATTTGTTAGAATCCCGTTATCATTGCACCATATCCGTATCTGAGGTGAACAAATTGAAGGATATTTGCAAGATAACCGATGATTTGGGCTCTAGAATAATATCTTTGACTCAGGAAATAAAAACATCGCCACCCCCTAACCTCAGCAGGGTAAATTAAAAATAAACACTTTCTTCTAGCCATAATCACTTCTATTCCATATTTAACATGTTATTATTGTTATTGTATCCAAAGATATTTATGTTTTTGCGCTATCAGTAATCGTTCGATCCTCTTTTCCATCTATTTTTTTGCAATCACATATTTGCCAGACCGTACGATTTTTTGAACACGCAATAAATTTTGGTATTGACTCGACGGATGCTTGATAAAAATCCATAGTGAATGTGAGAAACTTCATAAATGATCAGATTTATACAGAACCCTTGAAAATCTTAAATTCGACAATGAGTAGAATCACCGATAAACATTATTGATCAATTTTCCCTAAACTTCCTCAACCTGATATACATAGGTAGTTACAATGAATAATTAATAGATAATTTTCTTTCTAAGAAGTTTCGTGAAAAAGCATCAAGATTATCTTATCATCATAAACAATAGTCAAAAGTGTAGAACAGAATTTTAGAACCTATTTAGAATCATCAGCAGTAAAATTAGATTCATTCAAGACTTGAGAGTTACTTGTAGAAAAAATAACATTTTGCGATGGTTAAACACAAATAATGAAAACAAAACTCGGGGAAAAATGTCTATTGTCTCGCCAATCTGCCGATTCCACTATAATAGACAGTGTTTCGTCGTTGGTACATTAATAACTATTATGTCATAAATGCTCATATGATTTGTTTAGCCTCAATACAGAAAATATCAATAATGCTGCTAATGACACATTGTAATATTTTAGACATTGGTACCCTATTGTATTCTTCATTGTCCAAACGGCATACAAAGCAGAGGATGGTGTGAATTGAGTGTTATACAAGCTCCAAATATTAAAACGTCACTGAAATTGTTCGCCTCTAAGCTGATAATGTTGCTCAAAATCCATATGGGATGCATGCACCTCATGAGGTAAGTGCTATTGAATTAAAACCTCAGATTTTTTCCAAGATGTCATGAAGAACATTAAACTCAGTTAACTTTATATTGGACACGAGTCCTTCAAAGGACGCCGCACCATTTACATTGAAATCTTGTCTACGGTGAAATTTTGTGGAAATCTAGTATTGGATAGATCAAATCATGCTGAACAAGAAATGTCCCTTGGTCCAAGGTCCGTTATGCTCGTTAAAAGAAGTTATACGCTTGTTTTGGCTAATAATATATTTTTGAGTTGTCAGATTGAAATTGAAATTGAAATTTATTGAATTGAAATTGCATTACATGGTGAAAATCAGATAACAAACATACATATACATACCCATATATTAGTTAAATATTATTAATTTCTTCCATATCCTAGACGCATGACCTAAGTGCTTGAGGCACTTGCTTTGTTCTGCATCTAGGATTGTCGGAATGGTATTGTGTGCCTACATGGTGTGAGTGGTCATGGAAATTCGTATCTATCATACCATTGTACAGTCTTGTACTAGTTCACATTATTATCGAACCCTCACAAGAGGCTAACCTAAATGCTTGAAGCATTTGTTTTGTTCTGTCTTCAGGATTGTCAGGATTGCTGTAGTACTATGTGTGGTTTGAGAAAAGATATTTATAATAATAAGTGTAGGTCGGGAGTTAGAGGTTGAGAGCTGGATGGGTTATTTTTTTTTTTTCAAAATATTTTTATTAATGTAGTGTAATTTGTGGTAATGTAGTTTTTTATTTCATATTTGAATTGACTAAGTAAGATAATGGCCATTCATGTTATGTCAGTAAAAATCATTGAGCAAAAGCGTAATACTTTGTTCAAATACATATAGGATGGCTTATCAGATTAGGTTTCGTTGCTTTATATGAGATAGCGAAGGCAATATCAATGCTATGACACGCATCGATCGAGATCAAAATGTTGAGCAGCAAGCAATCGCAATACATCGTCGACAGGTTCTAGAAAGAAAGAATATATCCCTTACCGATCGTACTCATTCATTTCTGAGCTCTAATTGATCCATTATAGAGGAACTTGGAATTCGGGATAACGTTCATTCTATGAACCTGAATGTTGTCTTTCCCATCCATGCAAGAGTGTGCATATTTTTTGGCGCAAAAAATAATTCACTTCACCTATTATTAGTTGCTAGAGTAAATATATATATTGTAAATAATATTTTTATCCCTGAAAATGCCCAATCTTGTCGGGAACATGTCATATGATGATATAATATTGCGACCATTGATTGGTGGTTTACGTTATACGGATATAACTTTTTTTAACGGGCATAACGGACCATGGACCAAAGGACATTTCTTGTTCAGCACGATTTGATCTATCCAATCCTAGACATTTCTGAAAAGTGGCTAGATATTTTTTTGGCAAAAATGGGCTTATATCACATAAAAAAATTATTTCATAATTCGATAGACTAGCTCACCACCGCAAACCGTTTCATGCTGTGAGCTCCCTACGTTTTATAAAAAATTATTGAAATCCCCGATTTTTCGGACCTCTGAAAACGAAGCGATGATGTGACGTCAAAACCCTAATACTGAAACAAGATTAATCCAGACAGAGATGAATGATACATGATGTGAATTAGCGCGAGATCACAGTTGAAAGAATTAATATATCGGTTGCCTCAGTCTCTGTCGAACGTTTGGTATTTTCTTTTAACTATGGCGAGATGAGGTTTCTACGTCATAAGAGGGTCTGTTTTCAGAAGGTACTATTATTTATGTCCGAAAATAAAACAGTCCAGTAAATTTTTCGATCGAATTATGTCGTCAATCATTATTTATGTATAAAAGGATCATTATAAAGATGGTGTGAGTTGAAAGTTCTACTAAGGTGTACACGCCCATTGTCTGTTTCTTATGAAAATAGCATGCATTGAGTTCGTGATAAAAATTGTTCTCGAGGCAATGAAATCGGCCTTCCTATATCTAGTTCAAGAATATAACTTGTTCTTCTTGAAGAAAAAGTTCTATTTTGCAACTCGGTATAGGGTGACTAATTTCAGTGCCCGAGGATCAATTTTCATGACAAACACAATGCTTTGGAAATGTTTTCATGAAAACGAAGAATTTTTGCCAAAAAAAGAGTTTCAGCCACTTTTCAAAAATTCACATGTGAATTGATCAACAGGCACCGACATCAGTTTTTTCTATCTTGTACGGGAATAGGACTTTTTCTTTAAAAGTGTCCAACTTGGTCCACCCTGTCGCGGTCCCTCGCGGGTTAAAAAACAATACTTCATCACTAGTAAATTTTGCAAGCGAAATTGAATTTGCGGTCTTCCTCCTATGGTTGATCAAATAATAGTGATTCAATGTATGTTGCATATATTTGCAGTGTAACTACAAGAGAGTTCCGCTTACGTCGTGTATACAGTGTTTTAAAAATTTCAAACGTTTGTGTTATTATGTTAAATGACAATTAAAGAGGTTACGTTTCGTTTTTTAACAGTTCAGTATGTGAAAAATGTGAATATTTTGCTCGAATCACGAGTTATTATCGGTAGAAATCACTGAAATATCAAAATATCATAAAAGTAGGTAGTGTATTAAGTTTATTCTTTGTATTTCACAGTTTCCAAGCTTGTTATGAACAAGAATTTCATGAACCATTGCCAGTGGACGATGGAGGAGTACCATTGGAACATTTGATCTCTTGTATACCAAACATGGAAATTAAAAGTGTCGGCACAAACAAAAACATCAAAGTAATCAAATACGAGGAAAATCGAAATGGGGAAAGTGAGGAAGGTAAAAAAGTCTAACATAAATTAGGTGTTGTTGAAGAAAAGTGATCTCTGACCATTTTCATTAAAAAATAATTGCATGTGACAAATAATTGTACTATCAATCGGAAACAACAATGCCCCGAATACACTACCTTGGAGAACGCCATTTTTTATATATGATTATTTATATCATTCACAAACTATATACAGTGGAGATCAGTGGATTCGAGCATATCAATCAATCAACTTTATTATTCTCAAGAAACACGATAGACATCCTTATCTTCTATTTTCAGATTTATGTTGGTTTTTCAAACGAAGCAACTGAAAACATAACTTTTTGAGGTCTTGATTCCTTCTCTCAATATGTTTTTGAAAATTGAAAAAGTAAAGAACTTATAATAAAGTGAGTTAAGAAATAAAGAAGATGCCAGAACATTTTCTATGGGTTTTTCTGAAAAGGTCATCTAGTTAAATTCAATTAGATTTTATTTTTGTGATTCTTTTTATTAGTAACTTTAGCATTAGAAAAATGTTGTTGTTTTTAGTTTTCAATAAATCGGTAATGGTTTTTACAACACTCACTTTATGTCAGCATTGTTAATTACTTGATCATTTTCAAATCAAAAGATCCCCAGAAAGGTACACAGTATCGAGTTAAACCAAGCGTATTTTTTTTGTGTAAAATTGAAAGACGTTCAAGTTCCCGAAAAATGTTGGCTAGAAAATCGAACCTCAAAAAAGTTTTGTTTAAAAATACTCGCTAGGAACCGAGTAACTAGCGCCCTCTAAGAGAGTCAGATATAAAAACAAACTCACGTGATGTCTCATCTTCCTAAACATATTCACACAAAGTTTCATTAAAATGATGCTAGTTGTTTCGACAAGATCATAATAAATGTGTACATACTTTTTTTTCAACACCTCATATCTTGAATAAAGATGCTATTACTAAATTTATTTACCAAACAAACCCAACTTATTTCGTAGTGTTTTATCTATCTTAGCAACTGGTCACCTTTTTTTGAGCATGCTCTATATCATAGTCGCATAAGTTCAAGTAATTAGATGATTTCCTAAAAGTTCCCAAATCGGTTGACACTAGGTAAGTTCGGCTTGCACATACGAAGTTGGGAGTGGGGCAAGTTTGAAGCGAGAGTGAATCTTAGTCAGGTGGCAGATGGAGTGAACCTCAAAACAAGGAGTGTCCTGAGTTCCTGAACGACAGTACTCATAACTCTGACAGATGTCCGCCTTAGTGTCCCCTTAACCTGCTGGAATCTAAAATGAATATTGATATTATTATTCCTGTACTGTACGAGGACAATGATGATAGAAACACAAGAGTCGATAACTTTGCTGAGATAACGGTACCAGCTATGATAGGTCACCATTTTCAGATGTATTTTCTAATGCAATAATGATATAAACTTAATAAAATATATAGCATACCCAGACATCTATTGGAAAATCTCTAATGGATACAGCATAGATTTACAGCGTGATATATTGGAAATAGAAAGTTTAAGGTAGGTACTCTGAGGATAGGTAGATGTTCATTGATGAAAACATAGGTAGATGTATCTGCAACCAAATCTATTGAAAACATTTACTGGTAAATATCAATAAATATATATGACACAGCATCGCTGAGGAAAGTTTAAGATGGGTACTCACTCCATTTAATTTGAAATGTTTCATTTGTTCTCGTTATGAGCTCGCCAGTTTCGTTCATAACAATATTATGATTCTTTTCGAAACAATATTATTGGATGCCATTTTAAACGTCAGCGGGAAAAAATCGCATAAATGTCACATCCTATCAGCTTTTGACAGAATTCTGAATGAGCACTAACCGCTCGAGGTGGGGCTTTGGAGTTGTTTTCATTGACTCTGAGTTACGAAACTTGAACACTTAAAAATAAGGAGCGAATATAGTGAAAAGAGTCAATAGAGTGGGCAAGCCGAACTCGCCTACTATCGTCACCTCACAAATGAAATGCTAGCTGATCAAGTCAATGTCTTTCAAAGATTCAGTCTTGAAGTCTGTTCCACCACCTTTGGCGCCGAATATTAGCCTGCTGTGCCGAGAACTAGTCGATCTGTTGAAAACGACGGAAAAATGTCAGCTGCTATTGAGCAAGTTTATCCCGGCCTATCATCACCACTTCGGAAGGCAATGCAGGGTCGCTGATTATGGGTACACGAAGCTGCTCGATTTGTTCGAATCGATATCACATGTTGTACAGGTGAGTTCACCATTTTTCCACCCATATCGATTTATAAGGAGTAATGCTAGGCTTGATAGTTTGCGAGAGGTAATATTCAAATAGGCACTAATAGTTTAGGGGTAACTGAAAGTACGATATACTATATTCAAAAGTGACAATATTTATTTATGAGAGTTCCTTGGTCAATATTCGTATTTCAATATCAACGAATGATTTGATTAACTTGATGTTTATAAAATCTTCATGGCTCGAAATTACTAATATACCGTATGTTCTACTCGTGACAGTATTTACAAGTTTAATTAATATTCACGAAATTGACCGTTGATGACCCACCTATTTTAACGATCAATTTGTTAATTAATGATTGAAATAGGCAACCAAATATACACCGTGTCGTTTCACTGATGAAATTATAATCTACGAAATCTGCATTTGAATCGAAAAAATATGCATTTCATAGAAGATTTTACGTTAACGGGTTAGCTTTTCAATGTTACTGAACTAATTTCAATCTCTGATAATTTTGACAAATGTCATTGACAAGTTGGCGTTCTCTTCAGTTTTCTTCATTGCAGGAGAAATACAGGGTATGTCACGACGAGCTTACACTATCTTTAAATCGAGAATCAGTCGGGAGAAATTCACCAAAATGTGCATACTCATATTTTAGAATACACTCTGTTCAAAAGGAATATTCTCAGATAAATTATGAACATACAAAAATGGATATAGATTTATATAAAACAATAAATTGTGATTTTTATAGACCTCTAATCGCAGATTCGTGATAGAGTCTCAATTCAGAATTTCTTTCCACGCCCTGTATGATGAATGTCAATTTATCATACACCCAAAAGCACGCTCTGTTCATTTAAAATATTTTCGACAATGCAGTGTTGCCGCTTCTACAAGAAAGTAGTAGCAACATTAATATTTCGAATGGAACACCCTGAATTTTATCGCATTTTTAGATTCTCCCTGGAGAGCTGATTTCATCGATATATCACACTTGAGATTTTTCAACTTTAGGATTTTTTTTTGTGTCGAAACTATTCCTTATCGGTCAAAACGGCTCACATGTCCCTATCTCAACTTTTGATTCACTATTTACTCATATTTAATCGGAACAGATACAGGGTGGTTCAAGGTTCAGAACTCTGATATTAATAAGGCGATTAATGATCTTGAACATTAGGGTACTCACTTTACTGGCACTTTAAAATATCTCCTACATTAATCTCTCCCTGATTAAAACACTAGTTGGATAAATAATTATTGACTGTCAATATTCAGCAATAGATATTTAGATAACATTGATGTAATCTCGATTATTTTTTGTCGTTTGTCAACTTTTTTACATCTAACTTTACTGGCACTTTAAAATATCTCCTTCATTAATCTCTCCCTGATTAAAACACTAGTTGGATTAATAATTATTATTGACTGTCAATATTCAGCAATAGATATTTAGATAACATTGATGTTATCTCGATTATTTTTTGTCGTTTGTCAACTTTTTTACATCTAACTTTACTGGCACTTTAAAATATCTCCTTCATTAATCTCTCCCTGATTAAAACACTAGTTGGATTAATAATTATTGACTGTCAATATTCAGCAATAGATATTTAGATAACATTGATGTTATCTCGATTATTTTTTGTCGTTTGTCAACTTTTTTACATCTATCTTAATTAATAAGAAATTTTACAAAGGGGCTGTACACTCGTCTTCAGAGATCATGTCGCACATGGACGGTGTCAGCTCCCTTGATCACCGCTGTAATAAGAGCGCTCATATCGTCCAACGGCGATATGTTCGCTGAAGACGGGTGTACATACAGACTATAGTCCATTCCAACTAAAAAGACATAATTGAAAACCATAGGCAAGCGTTAAACTTCACTTTGATTATTTAATATTGGAGGCAATTTTACACTTCAGGAACATGACACACTCTAAGTCATCTCCAATAATTTATTAGTAACTTCAGGAACATCTGGACATGTTTCAAACTATCAATAGTCCATCATCAGCAGTATTATTGAAGAAATATGGAGAAGCATTTGACATTCTCCTGGATGACCAGGTGGCTGTACCCTCTATAAAGCCCCCTTTGGGCTGTGGATACTTTGCCCTCTTTCATTAAAAAAAATAGAACTAAAAAATTGTAACATTGCGGTTGCATTTTTTCACTTATAAATCTGCTGATGATGAACTATTGACAGTCCGAAACATGTCCAGATGTTCCTGATGTTACCAATAATGTGTAGATGACTTAGAGTGTGTCTTGTTTCCGACAATGGCATTGCTTCCTGTTGAGTTGATATAAATAGAACATATGGTATTCACTACTGAAATCTGAAAATCATAATGGTGAATTCAAGATTAATTAATGAAAACATCCCCTAACTCATTTGATTGCCAACGTCACCAATTGTCACTGAGAACTGAGAAGAGTCAAGACGAATAAGAATTTGCTATAAAAAAAAACATGTTTTATGTTGGAAACGGGAGCAGATTCGTTCACAAAACGTACAAAGCTAAGTGAAAATACATTTTTTCTATATACCTTTATTTCTCTTCTCCAAACTTTTTTAATACAAATTGCCACTGACAAGCTAGTGAATTTTTCTTTAAGGCTTTCTGATAATGAAATTCTTCGAACGCAGTGACATTTTGACGCAAATCATCTGATTTGTCCTTGCTACAGGTATATTGATATAATATCCATATTTTTAATTTATAGAAACGAGTAGAGAAAATCCCAAAAAATCTGGAAAAATAGACTTTACTTATTGGTAACTAAGATTTATTACTAAAATTTCAGAAACATTAAAAACATTAATTCGTTTTCAACCATAACATCTGATATTACACGTCTACAAAGTTTCAAAGTGACTTTTGCCGATAGATATAAGGCTTAATTTTTGACAAAATAATTATCACTTATTAATTCCATTAAGTTAATAGGACCGAACAAAATTATCGCGATAGTCAAGTTATCAAAAAGGAGCCCTCTAATTGGTTCCAAATAAATTTATGAAATTTTGTTTCTGTTCTTTTTTGTGAAACTCAAGATGTCCTGATCAGATTTTACATAACAACTGTTTCCGTTTATAAGATACCAGGCGATTTTGATTGTTGGTACTCTTTGGACACCTATACAGGGTGTCCGGAGATAAAACCGACAAAACTCATGGGGTTATAGGGACTGTCAATATGATTGCAAAATGCCATAAACGAATGTCCAAAACGGCTTCGTTACTGAGATACAAAGTGATTTGTGGATTTTGACAAAAAATTCAATCCGCCATATAAAATACAGGGATTAGCCGATTGGATTCAAATTTGGTACACGAATTACACTGAAAAGCATCAACAAGTAGCCCTTTGATCGAAACCAGTATCAGGACCGGAATAATATTTTTCCCCTTTGTTGAGTTATTGTTAGGATAACTCACCCTGTATCATAATAACCAATAATTTCAACTCAGATTCGCAATCTACGGTGAAAATTGTATAGGAATTTGTTGAAAAATCTCCTGGCACCATCTTAGTTATTCCGTAATTAATTATTATTTTGATTTTTTTCATTGAAAAATCAATCATTGTCGGATAAAGTACGTATATTTACGAAACCATGACATGAATGTCGTTATTTTCTTCGATCAGTTCATGAATCGGAGTAAAATGAAATATTCTCATAACCCGAAAAAAATTAAGAATAAATTCGTATCAGGACTGTAATGAGTGTTTTGTTTGGTCATGTTAGCTTACCTAGTACATCAATAGTTATCAATAATCTGATCGTAGATTCGGAATCTAAAAAAATCGTATAAGAACCTGTTGAAAAAGGATAACAGTGAAGTTTTCGTGAACTATATTCGCTCACTAATGAATTTGAATTTATGAGAATACTACACAACGAACAGTAACTGTTTGTAATTAACATAACAAAAGCAACAAATTCGTGAAAGACTTTCACTACCCAGTATTACAAAACATTTTCGAAGTGGAGCCCTCCAACATCAATACATTTTTGAGAGCGTGCTATTTGATGATTCACTGACTTGCGAATTATTTGAGGGTTATTTCTAACACTAACACATGCAGCAGTAATTTCCCATCATAAACAATTTCTTCATTATGAACTTCTTACTTTAAATGACCTCATAAAAAATAATCTAGCTGAGTTAGATCAGGGGATAGCGGTGGCCAATTTACTGAACCTCCACGGCCAATCCATCTATTGGGGTAATTGGCATCGAGATGGTTTCTAACTGGAACTGAAAAGTGAGGTCTAGCACCATCATGCTGAAACCATATACCTCAGGTATTCACACCTTGCAATAGATCCGGTCAAGTATTGACCAGGAAATTTAGGTAAACATCACCAGTTGAAGCCCAAACACAAATAGAATATCTGCATATTCCTCATAAGTGAAATGAAACGGCATCATAAGCACACTCTCAGAACTATAGTTTGATCCTGAAAACACTGGAATAATGAATGAACACCAATAAAACAAACGCTGATGACAGCTGAACAATGGTTTTCCATAATGAAATTCTGAATTTGACACAAGCCTAGTATTCTTTATACACAAACATTATAAGGTACTGATACGGATTTATTATTTGAAAGTTCAATCTGATCATTTTTCAACAAGTTTTTAACTTTTCTCAGTGTATTTCGAATCTGCGATCAGATCATTGTTATACTAGATCATCTATTCTTACAGGAATATAATCATAGAGAACCGCATTCCAGTCCTGATACGAATTTATTTTTCAGTTTTTTCGGGTAATGAGAGTATTTTATTTTACTACGATTTACGGACTGATTGAAGAAAATAACGATATTCATGTCATGGTTTCGTTAATATTTATTATATTACCAATTTTGATAGTACTTTATCCGACAATAATTGAATTTTGAAAGAAAAAAATTAAAATAATAATTAATTACGGAATAACTAAGATAGTGCCAGGAGATTTTTCAACAAATTCCTATACAATTTTTACCGTAGATGTCGAATCTGAGTTGAAATTTTTTGTTATTATAATACAGGGTGAGTTATTCTCACAATAACTCAACATAGGGGAAAAATATCATTCCGGTCCTGATATTGGTTTCGATCAAAGGGCTACTTGTTGATGCTTTTCAGTGTAATTCGTGTACCAAATTTGAATCTAATCGGTTAATCCCTGTATTTGATATGGCGGATTGAATTTTTGTCAAAATCCACAAATCACTCTGTATGTCAATAACGAAGCGGTTTTGGACATTGGTTTATGGCATTTTGCAATCATATTGACAGTCCCTATAACCCCACAAGTCTTGTCGGTTTTATCTCCGGACACCCTGTATATTCAAAAAGTCATTAGAAATGTACAATTTCCCTTAGAATCCAGTGGATTACTCATATTTTTTCGGGATATGGTTTTGGAGATACGATACGGTTTTTTTTTCTAAAAATTAGTATTATCGTCTTTCGTCATATTGACTTCTCTTCCAGATTATGGGCGATGGCACTCGTCGCACTATAACTCTGTCTCACACTGCCCAAATGAGACGATTTACTTCCGACCTACTACGCGTCCTCAAAGTCCAGCCCGCCAAGCAGATTTGCTTCACCGACTTCCCCTCAGCATACGAGAAGGTAAATAATTAATGTATCGTCGTAACGTTATGCATAATATTATGATGTGAGATGTAACAATATTTTCATATCGATTTTACTCGAAAATGATACACCTAATCGATACTGAACAAGGGCCCCTTTTTTCAATATTTGTATTCCATCCTGTACTATACACTCCTGAATTGAATTTTGGAATGGTTTAATTTCCCTACATTGAGCATGGAAAGTTTAGTGCGTTCATCGAATTGCATCATTTAATCTTATGGCATTTCGGAAATATTCAAGAAATATCATATTCTCGAGCCCCCTTAGTAGCGACCCATGTTCATTGGAAGTTTGGCAGGCTGATTTCGGGACACTCTGTATAAATTGTATCTATAATAGTTATTTGTGTATCAAGGGCGTAAAATATGCTTTTATGGACCGTAGCGTGTAAGTATCAACACACCAAGATCCAATAATAGCAAGTTACGCCCGAAATACATACAACATTTTATGCACGATACCGGTTCGATTTCTGATTGTGAATACCTCTGCACCTCTCGAGAAAGATAGAAATTCATTATTATTATTATACATAATGGCTGCAGTGAGGAATATCATTGATGGAATCAACGTTACCATGGTAACTCAGTAAATTTTTTTTGAATAGGAGTATACTTTCATATTTGCTGTCAATTAATGTCATCACAGATAACTTATTTTGGGTGGTATCATATCATTTTGCATTGCATTAATTCTCTGGCAACGATACTGCAGAGTCATCCCCACCATTCGTGATTTTATTCATTTATCTGTGTTGGTCGTTTAGGCTTGTTGGCGTATACTTTTCAATGATATATGAATGAATCGCGGTGTCTATCAATGTATAATAGGGAAGTTTCCTTCCGATGAATTTTCATAAAATAAGTTCGGAACTCTCCAGTTCTATGTCCACGCTGTACAGAATTGCGACCGATGAAGTCCAAGTCGTTTTCATTTTTAAATTGATTCGGGGCGGCAAACGCAAACTGTGTCGTACATTCTGAATATAGTCTGAAAATAGCTGATGGTCAATATAGCTAGCGAATAGCTAACGAATAGCTAACAAATGAAAAACGAATGAAAAAAATTTAAGAAAAAGTAAAACTAGTAAACAAACACATACATAACCCCAAATGCACTCGGAGCAGGAATGCAGAGGGTAGTTGGCTTCATTCTGACAGGTTATGGTTTTGTTATTTATGCATTGAATAGAGCTCGATACTAAACGAAAATATTATTCAATCAATGAATCACTATGGGCTACATTCAATGATACTATCCTTACTAATTTACTGTCATCGGTCAGAACAGAATGAAGCCGACACCCATGGCTCCTTCCTCTTATTGTGCCTGTCAGTATTTTGAGTGGTGTGGACGGACTTGAAGTGTTAGGCGCTGTTGCAAGATATAATCTGCAACTTTCCTAGAAAATAGATCCGTTTTATTAAGGAACGAATTCATTAGCAAAAAAATGACTGACAAGTTGTGAATAACATATTGTAATATAACGATAGTGAAAAATTATAGATACTATCCATAGTGGAAGGAGAAGATGGTGTGCCTACGCGCATATTATGTGACGTCATCTGGGATACCAATCTCAGCTGCTAGTCACAGACAGATACCGTTGCCATGGGCGTGCGCAATGAATTCAATAATGTTTATTGAAATTTCTATAAGTTTTTCGATCTGTTTAGAAATAATTCAATTTATATAAACAGGTACCTATTCCTTCGATTTTACTATTTCATTGATTCTGGAAATTGTGATTTTGAGGTAATTCGCAATCGCAAATAGCAAATACATTCGAATTATCATGCATTGCCAATCCCATCTGAATAATCCACTACTGTGTCGATTCTGACAGATTAAAATTCAGCAGTTAACGACGTTTACGTTGCTTTTGCTCCGACATCGACAACAGGAGTATCAGTTTTTGCCGTTTAGTTATTCAAATATTTGCTGCAATTTATATCTTGTGAGAAATTAAGAGATTTGAATCCATTTCCAATTATTTCTGTCTTGATATTCGGAAGATGTTCTGTAGGAATGGCATCTTGTTTCAAATATTTGTGATTTTTTAGAGGTGTGTAATTCAAGAACCGTACTTTCGCACTTTGTTTGGGAACATTTTGCATGGAAATATTTTGAAGAAATACGTGCTGTAATATGAATGTGATGATGATATGATAGGTGAATACTTTGGAATGAGGATATAAGGAATATAAGGTAGGTACCATTATTTGAGTTTATATTCTGTCGGCAGCAAGCTCTCATCGTTTCATTAGGTCTCCATTCTTGGAAATGCAGAAAAATTCAATATCTGTGCCTTTTGTATGTTAGTTGGAATTTCCATAACCAGAAACGAACCAAGTAGGCATTTCGAAATTATTTCATTCGATTTTAGTACTTATTCAATATCTGAAGTTCGAGACATCAATCATGAAAACAAATAATAACAATGACAGTTATATCCCAGCTGACGTCATGCGCAGAACAAGACGAGTTTGAGATTTCTGTTGAGCACACCATCTTCTCCTTCCACTATGATACTATCGCAAAATATCATAATTTATCTATTAGTAATCAACTTTTTTCAGCCAATGAGAGATTTATGGGAATTATTCATAGTAGTTGACAAAGTAGGATTGAAGAACCTATTATATCCCATTGTAGTTATTCATTCATTGAAAGAACAATTTCCGGAAATCTAGACGTATTAATGATGTCGGCAACGTCGTACTTGCACAGGAAATCGTATTTTAACTCTGTGTGAATGTATATTTTCAGAAAGTACGTAATAGGAATGGTGGAGGAGCCAAGTTCCTCTTTCATTTATTTTTTTCTGAAGTGAAATTTGATCTCAGAAAAAAAAGGAAAAATACAGATATATTGAATTTTTACAAACTTCACAGTGAGATAAGAACGTCAATATAGGAAACTTCCTCATTATTTAGTCTGAGCGAGATACCCTCAATAAAACTATAAAGACAATACCAATCGACTATACGTCATGATCTCACCCTCACCTTCGAATGAATCATTCCAAGGTCATGAACAAGACCTTCAACGCTGTCGAATACGGCCTCTGCACCTTCGAGGACCTCCTCCAAGAGGTGCCCGAGAACACGGTGGTCATCAGCAGGAACGAAGAGGGCGTCTTCATAGCCGTGCCCAAGCGCGAACAGACGTCCGAAGAAATCATGAGGACCAAGCAATTCGCTGCAGAGGTGAGTGGCATGTCGAGGGTCATAATATTGAACTTGATATTGGCTATTTACATTATTCATTTGCTACCACTGGAGTCACTGGATGGTATTAGTTTGATGAGAGTTCGGACACAGCTGAACTTCTGTCCTTTTCTATTTTCTATATTACAATGGTCTTTTAATAAGACATATATTCTGCTGTTTGTCTTCTCATTTCCCCTAGTAGCACCTGATTGTTATTCGCGAAAATCACGAACCAATAGATGACGCTATTAAACGTCAAATTTCAAACTGAGTATGAACAACAAAAACATTGCCGTATGTATCCACTGCAAATTGGTGATTTCGAAATCATTTTGCATAATAGTAAATAATAAGTTGACTCCGTGAAATCTTCATAATTGATGTTCAAGCTTTCCAGTATGGGAAAAATATCTTTTTGGGCAGATAAATTGTCATTTCGATGTGAACAATGGTGGTATTCATCATATCACATTACAATTCTACTATATTTTCAAACATCATAAGGAATGGTCGGAAGGGTCCACTCAGCAGTTGCATGGTTTGAAATGGGACCATAAGAAATCAGCTATCACAACAATATGGTATATTTATGCAGAAATAATTGAATTCATCAAGATATGTCACTGGCTGTTATGACTGTGAATTGAATTCTAGTGATGGGGTTGCAAAGGAAGATATGGTTCGAGAGACTGCGAAGAATTTTTTTTTTTTTTTTGAATGAACAATATCATCGATTTACATGAACAAGGATCCCCAGCAATTGACGACTTGAAGTTATTTTCAAAATCGAATCATTGCAACCAACAATTATATAATGATTCAAATTGTGCTTTATGAAATGTATATTATTCAAGGTAGGTACTGGTTTATTCATTGTAAATAATAGGAGTTCACGCAATAATTCGAGTTCTTCCATTAGGGAAATGAGGTTCTGGAATATGCACTTCAACAAATAAATAATTTTCAAATAAAACACGTTATCATGAAACTCAGAACAATGGTCGCCATATTTGTTGTCATTGTTGTTCATACTCGCAAGACTTGTAAACTTAGCCACCAGAGGCCGCACACTTCGTGATTCTCGCGAATATAGGTCGCGTGCACGAAGACCGACCCTGGTGGTAAAATATTGAAACACAACCTCACTCTTCTGTGAAACATTGAAACCAACCTTTTTTTATTTGTTTACAAAGGAATCAAAGGATTGAAATAGTTTTTCACAATATATTGGTATACGAATCGTGTTTTTGCACTATTCATTAATTCAAGCATGCCTTCTCGTGTTGTTGTACAATACAAAAAAAATTCAGCGAGAGACGAAGGAATATGATTTTTCAGGTAAATAGTAATCTCGCATAGTTTTCATTATGAAATTTTGTCATTTCTTATTAAAATTCCTTCTGTCACTTCTGCAATAGAAGCTAATACTGCTAATAGATTGAAAATGTCTACAACACACACGATCATATATCGTCAGCATGTCTGACCTGTCTTCCCGTTTGATTCCATGAATCTAATCTTCTTGCTTTCTTTTAGAAATTTCACAAGTATTTTTATAAGCTCCTATTGCAGAAGGAATCCCGATGAGAAATCAAAGAAATTACCAAATTTCAAAAATGAAAACTATTTGTGAGTGACTATAGTAGGTACTTACTTTTAAATCATAATGTACCAACAGGATTCCTTCGTCTTCTGCTGCAGTTTTTGTGCATTGTATAACAGCACAATGTGATGGCATGAGCGAATTAATGAGTAGCCGAAAAACACGATTGATATGCCAAGATAATTGTGAAAAACTATTTCAATCACTTGTAAACAAATAAGAAAAGTGAGGTTGTGTTTCAATGTTATGCCTCCAGGGTCGGTCATCTGATAGTTCTTGCAAGCAACCCATACCGTTTTAGAGGCCAAATTTTCTGTCAAATCAATCATAGCCGTAAGTGGAAAATGGAAATAGGGTATAAACACCCACTTCAATTTATAGCGATACACTTTTTTAACAGCAGTTTTAATAATGGGAAGAATTTTATTTATTTATTTATTTATTTATTTATTGAACAAATAACTTCCAGACAGAATAGGCTCTGGTATAAGGAAGTACATAATTATACATGTAACAACATATTAATATGATAAAATAGACACATATATGGATATACTTGTGACTAGTGCCTTATTATATGTAAAATTGTCTTGATTTTCTACTTTTTCCTGCATTCACTTTTCACTGATGAATTTTGAATTTGGTCGCTATTCGCTATTCAATGATATATCAATTTACTCTCGTAATTTGCAATAAATTCCTCTTTCTACATGATAATAATTTCGTTTTGCATTTCGTGTAATGATAATAATGGAATCGAATGAAATTCTGACGGTCATGAAATTTATTGTCAAAATTGAGATGTGAAAATCAAACAATTGTGAATGAAATTGCGCCGGAAAAAAGTACCTGTCACGCAATTTTCAATTCCCTCGAATAAATGTATATGAACCTATTTGAGGAAGAGTCATTGTTTTATCGAATACAGTTGAGGAAGATCAGTTTTGTGGTTCAGCCGTAGAAAAACTTCTTTCCTAATCACATAATTATATGAACTGGTGTTTATTTCTTCATTTTGTCAGAAAGCTACTGAAAATATCCCAAGAAACCTTGTTGATTGTGCAATATTTTCCTAGGTCATAGATCTTCTGAGACACTCTTCTTATTACACAATGTTGTTCAATAAATTCGTGCCAGCCTACCATCATCATTTTGGACATCAGTGTAAAGTTTCTGATTATGGGTTCACGAAGTTGATAGAATTGTTCGAGGCCATACCAGACATAGTAAAGGTAACTTCACATAAAGTGTTATATACCTCGATGTGGAAATTATATTTTTTCTACAATTACTGCCGTAAAGGGTCAATATTATACAACTAATGACTCAGGAGCTGATTCAAAGTCTTTTCTTATCAGTCATCAAACAAATTCAGATAGTGAAAAGGAATATTCTCAGATATAATTATGAACATTAAAAAATGGATATACATATAAAGAAATACATTGAGAATTCGCATTCTGTATGTGATTAAAATGTCAATTCTTTCTCGGTTTATTCAACAGAAAACAACTACTTTCCTCCTATATGCCACGACGACCATTGAATTATATCTATTGAACACTCACGATAAGAATTTGAAAACAAAATCTTCTATAGTAAACAACGTCTTTCCTGGCTATTTGCCACGTCGAACATTGAATTATATCTGTTGAACATTCAAAAAGAGAGAATGAAAATCCTCTGATATAATTCAATGTTGGTCGTGGCATACAACCAGGAAAGTAGTTGTTTTCTATTGAATAAACCGAGGAAGAACCCTTCATAGGCATCTTATGAAAATTCACATATTTATATGTGGGTTTGAAACCATGATGAACAATATTATGAGGTCAGTTTTCCTGTGAAAATATGCCTAATATGATTTAATAAAAAACTGACCCCTATTAATTTCAATAAAAACGCGCGGCACTGTCTAAAATGATGTTTGTCTTTGAAGAACTGGTCATATTGATGATTATTCATACCGATACAAATTTGATAAAGATCGCACCACTGATAGCTGACATATAGAGGGGGAGGCGTTTGAAATGAGACACGCTGTATATATCCATTTTTTTATGTTCTTCATTATATCTGAGAATATTCCTTTTCAATACTTTCACCCAATGAAGAAGTTCAAACTTGAACGATAGACACTTGTTATTTTCATAGAACTTGTATGTATGATGAGTATCAATTTATCAAACATTCAAAAACAGATTCAGGTAGTAGGTATTTATTGAAAAATAGAGAGGAAATAGCTGGTCGTAGAAAAAATATAGTACACAGCTCGAGTTATCGAAATGAATGCACAAAGTTATTCGAAATAATTATCATTGTTTCAGATTGAAGAATTGCCTGACGGCGAAAGAACCGTCAGTCTCACCTTGCAACAGTCCTTGAGAATTCTCGGTTCTCAAATAGTACAAATCATCAAATCTAATCAGTCTCCTGTACTGCTCAGCGACTTATCGAGATTGTATTTAAGGGAATACGGGTACCCACTGAAACCACAACTTTACGAGTGCAATTCAATCGCTGAAATCACAGCGAAGCTTTCGAATTATGTCCAGGTAAGTCTGAATCTGTACTTTGAATAGATACTAAATCTACCGTAGAAGTCCATATTATCTCGAAAGTGGGGTGCCATAATAGACAAATAATGCGAGTGTACTGATAATGAATTATTGGCATTCAATTACTCCACTGTGTCGTTAGAAACCTAAATTATTCTTTTTCTACAAACGCTTAACAAAGTAGCCTTTGACGCTTTCAAATTCCAACACAAAGTTGACGTTTTCCCAGAAATGTCATTCTTTGACAGCATTTGCGCTCGTGAGCGGAAATATTAAAAAAACGCTCGCACATCTCTGTAACCTATACTTATCTATTCTTGAAAACCCCCAATTCTCTCATGATGAAAAATAGTCACAGTGAATCATCAAACACACCTCCCGATATAGCAGAAAGCGCAAGAGTTTGAATCTCTTACCGGAGAAATCAAGGAAGAAATATGAATTACAATATATGATACATTCATAAATTGGTGCCACTCCGAGATGGTGAACATGTATTCAGAAAACGTTTTACTGGCTCATTTTGGAGAAAATCAAAGACTTTGAAGTCATCAACTCATTGGTCTATATATTCGATGGTACGTATATATGCTTGAATGTTAAAGATAATATCGGAATCAATAAGTATCTGAAACTTATTGCATTTCTCAAGAAACAATCTATTGGATATAAAGCGAGAAAAATCCTAAACATTCACCGCTGAAGATATATTCCAACAAAATTTCTACAAGAAGCTCCCGATGAAGCATATCTGTTGAATTATGAATTATACTTTATTTAAACTCTTTATTGTCATCAGAAAGACAGTGTATTTTTATTTTATTGCATCAATGAGTAATGAATGTTCAATTTGATTGCAGAGGTCTGAAGCTCAGGTTGCCACGCTGGTGGTCCAGTTTCAATTCTCGGTAGGCCCGAATTTTTTTTTCTCGCTTGTCAGTTATTTCAGTTTTTCTTTTTTTGTTTCCTTTGGACATATGGGATAATATGGATAAGAAATTTTTCAACTATTTCAATCGCTCATACTTTCAGGGCAGTTATTTCCAAAAGCTGCGGTAGTAGAAAAAATCTTGTGTGTATTTCGAGCATTAAGTGTTATTGCCGCTCTCCAAAGATTACCTTCTTTGTCGAGCGGCAATCTATCACTTTGCGCTCTAAATACACAAATAGCTATTTCAACACTTCTCACACTTTTTTTAGGTATACCGGGTGACACAGGGTATCGGGCCACCCCTGTAACTTCTGCTTTCGTCATCGGATTTTCCTGAAATTCGGTACAGTTATATAAGCAATTATTTCGGATTTGATCACATTACAATCCAATATGGCGGACTTCCGGTATTTCTGGAAATGCCAGCAACTTTGTTTTTTCAAATGGAACACCCTGTATATTTTTACATATTCAAGTTCAACAGGTCGAAACAAGTGCAATCTTCATTTCAAATGTCATTTTTTCGAAAAAAATTAAATTAAAATTGTTTTTTCATTTTACCTCGTGGATAAATGAGATGTGGTCAAGAATATCCACAATGAGTCACACATAACAGAAGAACATAATTTTTTCTGAAAAATTATTTTTTGTGTCACTTATCCAGGAATCAATTCAGCCACATCACTTTTTGATCAAAAATATTTTTTTCTCAAATGGAACCCCTGTGGGCCACCTACCCGTTTCTCTAGAACATACATTAAGGAACAAAATGAAATATCATTTTTGTTTTTCGGTGCAGTAACAAATTGTATACATTCAAAAATCAACAACTAGTTTATGAATTTCCTTGCAGTTAGAATAATTTTTCAACTAGGTAGGCTGTGGAATAAATGACATTTGACATCAAGATTGCACTTGTTCTGACCTGTTGAACTTGAATATGTAAAAATATACAGGGTGTTCCATTTGAAAAAACAAAATTGCTGGCATTTCCAGAAAAACCGGAAGTCCGCCATATTGGATTGTAATGTGATCAAATCCGAAATAGTTGCTTATATAACTGTACCGAATTTCAGAAATATCCGTTGAAGAATGCAGAAGTCACAGGGGTGGCCCGATAGCCTGTGTCACCCTATAACAAATCTATGCGTTGTTCAAAATCTTTGAGCTGTTCAAAATCTTTGAATTTCAGAGCTCATTTCAAACGTAACGTCATGGCCGTCATTTGGCGATACGTCGAATAAATGGTTACGTCAGTCTTTATGCTGTTTCGTTATTGGTCAGATAATCTTCCATTTTCAGTCATGAAGCAAGGTTATCAAGTCATCAATTATAATCAAGTTATCAAAAAGATTTTTGAGTCCTGTCGTTGAATAAAACATAATACTAGGTGGGCCAAAAGAAATCACCCTATTGGAAGATGCTCTTATTTTTGCAAATGGCGGCCAATGTCAGATCTGTTTCGACATTTGTGAACTAGACAGATGTAGAATACAAGTGAACAAGCCATGGAGCGATACACTCCCCAAGGAAGCGGAAAAATCCAAGACAAGCCATCCTCAATCTCGTGGACGATTTTTCGACCAAAATCATAATGAGCGCCAAGGCTCATTTCCACCTCAGCGGGTACGTGAACGAGCAGAACTATCGCTTCTGGGGCACTGAAAATTCACGAGTGATGCACGAGGAGCCATTACACCCGCTCAAAGTGACTGCATGGTGCGCTGTTTACTCTGGAGGAGTCATCGGGCCATTTTTTTCGAGGTCGCCGCTGGTCGAACGACAACAGTGGACGGTGCGCGCTATAGGGCCATGTTTACCGAGTTTTTTCTGCCTCAATTGAACGAATTAGGACTGGAGGACATGTGGTTCCAACAGGACAAAGCAACGGCACACACTGCGCGAGCCACAACCGATATTCTGAAGGCGGCGTTTCCATATCGCCTCATCTCTCGTTTTGGCGATTTTCTCTGGCCCGCAAGATCGCTCGATTTAACCAGACTTTTTTGTGGGATTTTTTGGAGTCTTGTGTTTACGTGAACAAGCCTGAGACCCTGGAAGCCCTCAAGGATAATATTCGACCCGAGTGCACGAATCTGTCGCCCGAAGATCTCGCCGAAGTGATGAAAAATGCCATAAAACGAGCCCGTATAGCAATCAGTTGTGGCGGCACCCATTTGGCCGATATCATCTTCTCGACTTGACCAATAAAATTTCTAAAGGTTCAAATAAACATAATCAAAAAACAGAATCGAAGCTTTTCATTTAGAAAAAAAATAAGAGCCAAATAACATCGGATGACTTCTTTTGGCCCACCTTGTAGGAGTAGCTCATGACCTTATAGTTCATTCTTTACTTTTTGGATCAACCAGCATGTCCAAATAATTCTTATTCTCCATAACGAAATATCATGTGAATGTTGGAGACTTGGCAACATTCTGCTGAATGCTGAGAACTGACAAGACCACGCCCGCAAGTCGCGCGCGGAGTTGTCACGTTCACCGATTCAAATGTCCTCTAGTGTGATTTAATATAATTATTATTTACAAAAATTCATTAGAATCGATAAGCCACAAATTATAAGGGAACATTTTGAGACAATTGAATTTTTATTGCTAATTAGGGATATTACCAATACTCAATTGAGAATTTAAGAATTATTGGATAAATATTGTTTCTGATGTTCCCAATCGTATTTCAACACAACTGTGCTATGGTCTGCCCCTACTTTCGAAATCGTGGCATTATTCATGATTTTAGCACCTGAAAATCGACCAAAAATTCTTAAAAAAATGTGAAATAGGAAGGTATTTGAGTGATGATTCTATTTAAGAAATAAAAAAAATAGTCACTCGCCTATTACATTCATTTTCTTCTCAATTTCCCTAGTTGTGCCTAATCGTCATGTACGATCTTAGAGGTTAGATTTTCTGTCAAGTCAATTGACGTAGGTCCTTCCTAGGTAATATTATAATTTCTGAGGATAAGTAATATTATTTCTACAAGGAATATAATTCTATAATGAGGATATATTATGGTTTCTAATATACATACCATAGTGGAAGGAGAAGATGGTGTGCCTACGCGCATATTATGTGACGTCATCTGGGATACTAATATCAGCTGCTAGTCACAGACAGATACCGTTGCCATGGGCGTGCGCAATGAATTCAATCATGTTTATTGAAATTTCTCTAAGTTTCTCGATCTGTTTAGAAATAATTCAATTTATATAAACAGGTTCCTATTCCTTCGATTTTACTATTTCATTGATTCTGGAAATTGTGATCTTGAGGTAATTCGCAATCGCAAATAGCAAATACATAAGAATTATCATGCATTGCCAATCCCATCTGAATGATCCACTACTGCATGTGTCGATTCTGACAGATTGAAATTCACCAGTTAACGACGTTGACGTTTCTTCTGCTCCGACATCGACAACAGGAGTATCAATTTTGCCGTTTTGTTATTCAAATCTTTGCTGCAATTTATATTTTGTGAGAAATTAAGAGTTTTGAATTCATTTTCAATTATTTCTGCCTTGATATTCGGAAGATATTCTGTAGGAATGGCATCATCTTGTTTCAAATATTTGTGATTTTTTGGAGGGTGTAATTCAAGAACTGTACTTTTCGCACTTGTTTGGGAACATTTTGCATGGAAATGTTATGAAGAAATACGTGCTGTAATATGAATGTGATGATAATATGATAGGTGAATACTTTGGAAGGAGGATATAAGAAATATAAGGTAGGTACCCTTATTTGAGTTTATATTCTGTCGCCAGCAGGCTCCCATCGTTTCATTAGGTCTCCATTCTTGGAAAAACAGAAAAATCCAATATCTGTGCCTTTTGTATGTTAGTTGGAATTTCCATAACCAGAAATGAAACAGGTAGGCATTTCAAAATTATTTCATTCAATTTTAGTACTTATATAATATCTGAAGTTCGAGACATCAATCACCAAAACAAATAATATCAATGACAGTTATATCCCAGGTGACGTCATGCGCAGAACAAGACGAGTTTGAGCTTTCTGTTGAGCACACCATCCTCTCCTTCCACTATGATACATACTCACACTCACGTGGAAAAGAAAAAGCGAAAAGCCAGAAGATGGTTCACAGAATTAAGAACATTGTGAATCGTAATAGTTCCAGTTTCTCTTTGAATTATATTCTCAATCTTCAGCAGCATTATTTCAATATTAATACTGATGAGATTATTTTACCGAAGTCAGCATATCTAGATCTCGCAGTTATGAGATCTTGCCCTTCATTTTGGTGAATATTCACTTTTCATTTTTTCCACCCTCTATTCCAAAACACCAGGGAAGTGTTCATTGTAGAGGTTCTCTCACCTCACATGTTTTTGAAAATGAAGGAATATCACATGATTTCAGGTGAACAACAGTAATGCTGGTTTATTACTGGTTGCGATCGACGTGGACACAATTCCGAACACTTTGAAAATCAGAAGTTGGGCGTTGCTACTCAAACCTCCGCATTGCATGGAGTTGAACACGTTCCGGTTTGAGTATCAATCCCGGTACAACAGCAGCTTCACCATGGATAGCTTACAACATATCGGAAATGTGGTTTCGGTACGATATTAATAATATTAATAATAATAATAATAGGTCTTTACCTACTACCAATATGTAATGTGAAACATTACGACACTGATTTCAGTATCATAATGAGATACTTTACAGCCCTTAGCGTGGTAAAGTGAAAAAATATTATTTCAAATTTCATTTTTACTCAAAAAGAGAAATAAGAACCAATTTATCATGAATATAGCAGTTACTAAAGTATCAATTGCAGCATTCGCCGCAATTTCTTTATAGGAATCTAAACTTCCTGATCCGAATTCATGCCGATTAATTTTTTTTCGAATTCAAATTAACGCGTCAAAGTTGAGGGACAATTTGAGAACACAATAGATTCACGACAACCATGTGCTCCAAGGTCTATCAACTTCTATAAGGTTACCTCATAGTATAGGCGATTCATGCTAAGGAGTACTCCCTCTACCGTTGTCTAATATAACTAACGTATGGGCCATTGATTGCTTTGTTTACATCAGTTTGCGTGTATTTTGTATGAGAAGTAGTTGTGTTATAATTGTCTATAATTTTGTTTGAGAACTTCTATAAACGTTTAAAAACATGAGTCATCATTGTTGTGTACCTCATTGTTCATCTTGAGCAAAAATTCCCGAGTATAGCTTTCATTCCTTTCAAAAATCAGGACAGTCTAAATTTGTATTTGAAACTAATAATTTGGGAAACAAGGAAGTGATCGGTAGGAGAAAGGTGTGGATTCATAACTTGAAGATTGGAAAAAGTGTAAAGTGTCTGAACATAATGAGATATTGTTCTTTACACTTCACTGAAAATTTACTCATACCTATAGGTATATTTTCAAATGTATGTCTATTATGAATATAATACCTACGTCTTGAGGTGGTGGTGAAAGAACAAACAAATTTCAAACTGATTATATCTTATTTACTCATGAACAGTAGAATTTTCAAACAGTAAAGAATGTTATCAAGCAGGGTTTCGATGATTATGTTGTAAAAAGTCAAGTAGAAACTGTTTACCTAAATTCACCTTCCAAAGAACACTTTATTCCCAAAAAGTTTGCTGGATTTTGTTTTAAAAATATGCACTATCAGGGGAATATCCCAGCTATATATTCGAATTGGATATCAACATCCCACACAGGTTTTCATGAGAATTATTGTTCAATAATGATAAAAACTTACAGCCTATGCATGTTGGTATATATGAAGTTCAACTATAGAGGTAGGGAGGTTATCTAATGTTGAACAGAGATAATAATTATAGTCCTCAATCAAAACACAGTTGACCGCTGGAAAATACAAAGTTCGAAAATAGACAAATAATAAATCTGGACGTTTGAAAACTCAAAACGAAATGAACATAAACACCATTACCAAACAATGTAAACAATCCGCCAATGGCCCATAGAGTAGTACCGACATTCGCCGTTCTGGCGCTACGATCTTAATCTCAGTCGCCTATAGCATTAGGGTGCGGGGGTGCGCGGAGGGGCGTGACGTCACTGTTTCCCCGCCGTGTGGTAGATTTGGTTTTCTGTCACTGTCGAATGGATTGAAAAAATTTTGAATTTGAATTCGAAAGAGTCGCGAATTTTAGACTTTAGTTGAAAACATGGTGACAAGACTGAAGATATCTTTGAAAGAGGGTGAGAGGTTGTATAATAATATGGTGTAGTATTATTCAAGGCTGGTCACATCATAATATTATTATGTGTGGAGTCAAGAGTGGATAGGTATAGAGCAAACAAATGTTATAAAATGCCTGTGTTTACAATCTGCTCTTGGGCAGCCTCCACATGAGATTCAAATAATTCCGGTTTTGTAAACACATTGTATAGGGACTTATATTGACAGGTAGGAAAGTGTACTTTTGATCTATCACACACAGGTAAAAAATACATGAAATTTCAGAAATGAAGACTTGGAATATGTGAAGCTGCATATATAACACACATTGCAGAAGTGGTGAAAATAAAAAAAAGAGAGTAGATCAATCAAAGATCTATTATACAGCAAATCATTCCAATAGGTCTGCTACCCACTTATTAAAGAAGAAAAGTGACACCCTAAAATCATTCTCCTTTTATATAATTCAAGTTAATTTTACAGGGTATATCAGTCTCTTTTGTTATTTGTTTGGAAGTCAATGAACTCAATGTAAACAATCAAAACTATTGCATGGTACTCAGGAACACCATATCCTTAAATGCCAACAGAAATCAGACCTGATGGAGTGATATTGCAATGATATTTTGATTGTGTGTTTTTGTAATGTGTCTGTACAATAGGAACATATTTTTCTAGATTTCTGTTTTCACAGTCTTCTGTACTTGCTGCATGTTTTGAGAAAACAGTGAACTATCTCGTAAATAAAAAACAATATTGGAAAACTTGAAAATGTATCAAAATTCACTGGATTGCACAATGCTAAATTTGTTTGTTTTGTTTATCACTTCCGCCATATTCAATTTGCCGCTCGACAAAAGACGACTGGGGAAACAGTGACGTCAGGCCAGAACAATATGAGGCACTCGTAAATAAAAAACAATATTGGAAAACTTGAAAATGTATCAAAATTCACTGGATTGCACAATGCTAAATTTGTTTGTTTTGTTTATCACTTCCGCCATATTCAATTTGCCGCTCGACAAAAGACGACTGGGGAAACAGTGACGTCAGGCCAGAACAATATGAGGCAACCTTATAGAGTTAAATAGCCTTGCATACGCTCAACACTTGCAACGCTTGCTTGTTACATATCATTCCTAATGAATCGTCATTTCAAGGAATATTGAGTATTTTTGATTAAATGAATAGCTTTTTGGTAGTAAGTAAAATATTCGGCCTCGTTTGACAAATTTCCCATCTCATATCGTAATATGAGTTTACGATACTTGTAAATATTTATTATTAGGCAAAACTATTCTTACACTTAGACCAATTTATGATGGTTTTGAGTTCTTCCTAGATTATTTTATTATTTTGGAGTAGTTGCATTCTTGATAAAGTATGTTTTTCGGGATGCTGATCATTAATCTGAGGTTTGCCACCTAAATGTTCTCCTGGAATTTGAGTTATAACCCAAAAACATGAAGAAAACAACTTTTTCCTAGTCTTTTGCCTATAACTCAGAAACTATGAAACTTTTGTGAAATCTGTTCAATATTAGTGTTTAAATTTTTTTTGTCAAACGTACCATTTCGACATATTTGATAGGTAATTCAAAAGGTACGCATGAAATATATTTTTTATCCAAACTTTCAAGGTCAACAACTCCTAACCAATTTTTTTTATGTATAAAGTACTGACATTATTTTGGCTCATTCTGTCAGCCCTTTCAATGACGACATGACCTTTCCAGGTACCCTGTATATCAGAAATTCATAACTACACCAAAACTTGTTTTAAAACGCAGCCGTTTAGCACCTGATGACTAGACGAATATGAGTATGATGCCGACACTGGCACAGCCTTTGTGTCTTTGGATGCTGTCATAATCGATCATTTTCAATCTACCTGAAATATTTTCAGTTCTTCAGCTATACAGGGTGTGCCAAAAGTCGGCAACAACTTTCATATTCCAAAAAGAAACAACATCATTCTCACATGGTTCGAATGGCCTTCTAGTTCTGAGTATAGACAACCTAATTTATGTCAATGTATCTATCATACAGTTCTTGTCACTCAATCAAACTCTATTGATGATTTTTAACTATCACGTAAACTCCTTCATTTGACAAAAACATGATAACATACCGATTAATGAAATCACAATACATTACACGTAAAAACAAAAAATGGTGGTAGTTGGATATAACCTATCTGTTTTTTTTTTTTTAGATATCGTCGTCGAATGAATCAAATTACATATCTCTGACCTCTCTGTATATTGTTGCTGCGCAACTTTATCATGTAATTTATAGCAATAGTGGTAACGTGCCCTATTACAATTTGGAGAAAGCATATTATGACTATTATGGAAAACCGTTGAAGCTTTCGAACTACCAGATATTTTCCGTCGATGAATTTTACAATCACTTCAATTTGTTGTTCTTTATAAGAGGCAGCAAGAAGAAAAGTACTGTGATGCTCCATCGTAATTTAGCAGGTAAATAACAAGGAATATGAAGAAAACACGTACAATTTCCACTTAACAACAATAATATCACTTAATTATATACACTTCGCTTTCCGCCATTTTTATCAAAATTCAAAACAAAAAAACAATTCGAATGATTTGGAAGACAGAGTGTAAGCCCCTACAAACTGATGCAAATATCAACCTGAACAGAAACATTGAATTTTTTTTTCCTCAAATGAAATTATACAAGGTGATCTAGATAACGGATCGAGGAAAATTATCGTATGAGTTTGCCATCGGAGAAAATGCCTGCGTGTGTAAACATCATTTGACAAATTCGATGAAAAAATAGTTGTGGTTCTAGCTAGCCAGTTCTAGAGTTCCTAAATGTACTTGACACTGCTGATTTGACGTTTTTTGTATATTAGAGTACGGACACTATGACAACCACTGATAATCAGACATAACCAAAAATAAATTGATGGAAAAAGCGGGAACTGACGTACATGACATAAATTTCAAAGATTTGGCAAATTGAGAGAATCCGGAGAAAAATGCAAGTTTTTGCAGTTTCCAACTGTGAGAACACGGGAAATCAATTCACTCTTATTAAAATTTCCATCGGGTAACGTAATTCTACGAAAATGGAAACAGAATATGATGCGGCCGGCATGGAATATAGGTTCAAGCCACAAAATTTGCGAGGTTTTCAAATTTCTTGGTAGGATAAAGAACGTTTTTCAACGCATTTTCATCAGGTACAATTCAGAACGGATTTGATGTTGATAGGATCGTATTGAGGGAGAGAGCCGAACCCACAATTTATAAACTGAGCGAGTATCGAAAAGGACCTTATTCCAATTTAGAACCAACAAGAAACGAAAAAAATTGAGAGATTGAAAATAAGTGAAAGTTAAAAGATTTTGATACAAAAGTCAGAGTTAGCAAAATTCAGAACTATTACCTAGAAATTATTTTAGATTTGAAACAAAATCAGCAAATATCTTCAGAGAAATACAAGAATATTGAACAAGCAAATATCCAGGTAATCTTGAGCAAAACTCATAGTTTCGATGAACAATACTATGAAAAATTTTTGCATTTGAAGAACCGAATGGAAGATTTGAATAACAAGTTGAATAATATTAGTAAAAATGTTGCCTCATATGAGCAAGATTCATCTCAAAATTCAAAATTTAATGGTATTTATCCTAATTTGTTCATTTATTAATTACTTATACCTACCACTCTTGTACAAGTGAAATTGTTCCATACGAAATGAAAGTATGTTTCATTGGTTGAAATTTATCAGTTTTTACTCCTTTCTGAACTTTTGTGATAAAAAAATATTCAACTGAACGTATACATATACCTACATTTAAGAGACTTATTTCATAGGAATAGTATATGTATTTCGTTGGTAAATATGTACATACCAACTTGATATCGACCTCCATTGAGGTCCTTCAATCTTATCATTCAATATTTCGAGAAGAAATAGTTTTCTAATCAATTTATCGTACCCTTTTACCCACTCTACAAAAATCAAAGACAGAGAAAGATATATGGATGTACTCTTCCCAGGACTTGTGGAGGAAGGAAGATGCGAGGATCCTTTATCTGTCCTTGTCTGGCAAAACATATGATCTGCTATAAAATCGTTCGTGGTTATGTTTGATTGTCACTGCTTGTCTAGTGTCCGTACTCTAATATACAAAAAATTTCAAGACAGCAGTGGCAAGTGTACATTTAGGAGCTCTAGCCAGTACCAGCTACAATATTCACGTGCTAGTATCGTGTAATGATAGCGGATTGAGGGCGCTTGACCACCATTAATATTCAAATTAAATTGAAGAAATCGGGAATAGTGTCGGTATGGCAGCTACTGAGAGTTATTTCGATTCTTAATTTTTTCGAATTTTGCTAAAATTTGAAATTATTTCAAGTTCATTTGTTGGTACAACACAGTAACTGATCCTTTGCATTCTTATATAGATCACCCTGTATATTTTTATATTCCATCAAGTTTCAGATTTTTTCACTGAATTCAACGATGTATAACGAGTTCATATTTGAGTTAGATACCTACTTTATTTAAGATGAAAGATGAAAAGTTCCATGAAAATTGATTCATATTATAAATTCTGAGTGACAAGGTGTTTTTCCATTGATAGAACATGAATATCTCACATTATTCTGCCAACTTCTGTCACTGAGAAGTGTCAGAAGAAAACGAAGAGACCAATTGCTAAGATTAATTTTCCATAACAAGAGCAGATCCTTCAGCCATTAACAATTTTTTCCTTAAATGTCTTCAACTTTTCTAGGTTACGGTAGAAAATACAACTTTATAATAAAAAAAGAATGAGATCTTATCTTTGAAAATCTGATATTCTTTCAATATACCTACCGTCTTTCAAATGTTTTTCACAGCATGATGTCACTATCTATTGAATTTATCTTTAAGGTTTTTATAATGGTGACATTTTTTAAGTGCAGTGACATTTTGGTGCAAATCATCTGATCTGCTATTATGACACATTGAAATAATACTCATATCTCTATTCATAGAAACGAGAAGAGAAAAATACAGACAGTAATTAGAATAATAAATATTTGTATTGTCAGAATTTGAAAAAATCGAAATCAAAAAATCACCTAAGTGAAAATTATTACCTGGTATTCGTGTTTTCTTATTGTTATAATAACATTACTAGAAGCAAATAATGAATCAGTTTTGAATAGTGAAGAAGCTGCCCTAAAATAATTCATTTTCTTAATGATCTGCTCATTCATTTCAATGGATTCTTTAAAACCAAATATTGTATTTCTGCTAGAACATTTAGTGCCTTTACCTTCTTCAATGTACAAATCCAGTCAGTTGACGTTGAACAATAAACGAGAAAGTTCCAATTGGCCGCCGCCGCCGCCTCCACCTGATATGGTTCAAACCCCCATGAAGAAGGTGTCTCCTCCTAAACCGGACACTCCACCAACACCGGTAAGAAAATGAACCATTCTTCTTTGTGACATGTAAAACTGGTTAACAAAGACATACATAACCCCAAAATCTGATCAGGTCTCGGTGTGCCCGTAAATATTTTGTGTGGTGTGGACGGGCTCAAAGTATTTATTTATATATTCGATTCTTTGACGATCCTCAGTTATCCAGCTGTCAACTAAAACCCTAATAACGGTTTCAACAGTTTTTTAAAGCGACTTCCCAAACTGTTCTATATCTATATCCTCATTAATGAAAATTCAGATCCAATCTTCATTGCCTGAGATACTATATAAAAAATTTACCTCTAAAATTTGTATTCTCAATCACACTGATACTACAGTTGATACTTTCAATTTTATCCTTCCTCAAAAAGTTTCTGAATGGTTCTGAGGTCTCAAACTCACAAATGAAGTAGTCTCATTCAAACGGTCGGAATTTGACACTCATAACTACTAACGTCACAACCAGTGTTGCCAGCTGCTGTGAATGAAAGGTCACATAAATTTCCTTGTTAAAATCAATAGAAGTCGCTAACAAAAAAGCCTGGCGCAGTCGCAAATTCCGAAATTTTGAGACCAGATTTGGTTTTATGCACTTTTTATTGTCGCACTGGTTAACTTGATCAAAAAGTCTTCAGAAAATCGCTTCTAACGTATTATCTGTACATGAATCACAGTGTAAAAACATGAAGTAAGTAAGTTTCTCTGAAATGCAACCATACTTACAAATTTCAGAGTACTGAGTAGGCATTAAAATAGTAATTTTCCTTCGGAAAGTAATTCTTTCCCGCACGCGACTGCCGTTGACACGAACGACGCGAAGCGGAGTTCGGGCAAGCAGTAGAGTGCGGGAAAGACACTTTCCGCATGAGTTAGGAACAATATTTTTTCTACAAGCGTAGGAAATTGATTGATTTGTTCAATTAATTATTCATTCATATAGGAACAACTAACAAGAGAAATATATTCTCTATCTACTGATTATTAGTAATAGCTATTGTGAACTTACAGTTTGACGCATTATGTATACGTTCATTGCAGAAGCCAGCAGGCCCATAAGGTGTTTGGTCTCTAGGTTTCAGACACTTCTAGGAAATGAGCAAAAAATACATCTACTTTATTCGGTATTTTCATTTCTTTATTGTTGCACCATTCAATAAAACGCGTGTATAGCTTCTCATAACTTTCTTAAGACTTCGTTGGCAATAACGCATCTGTATCGCATTCCTATAGCTGGAAGTTTTTGATCACATTGTGGCAATTCCACTGAATCGAAAATGACAGTAACGCTGTGCCTGTCACTTCGACAATTACAAACTCGTTTGAGGTTTGATTGGCATGACAAATAGTGCAATTTGATGGATGATTCGGAACATACATACTTGGTACTGCAACAAACAAACTCAAACTTTCATATTCCATTACCTACCACTTATATTTATTCCATATTATCATATTTTTGTTTTTAGGAGGGTGTTGCGGGTTGAAATCGCACACACTGTATCTAACTAATATATAATGAAAATCTGTATATTTTCCTTTATTTAATAGATTAATAAATTCTGTGCATGTATTTTTCAGGATAATAATCCCTGGAGCCAATGGAGTTCAAATTCCAATTTTGACTTGGTAAGATAACCCCAAAAATGTGACTTCAAATCTATTTTTGTAAATTTTCATGCAAATTTTGTTTTCTCAGAACTTATCTATACAAATGCCGATAGTCTTCAATCCCAAGTTACTGGGCAACCCAGAGTCTCTGATATCTCCGGCCAGACACTTGTTGCCGCCCAACAGAAATCCTTGGGCCAGTATCGCATCGTCCGTGGACGCCCCAGATCCGACCGAACTGCCCATGCCGGATAAGTTGATATCGAAAAGTGAGTTCGTTTGACATGGCATATGATGGTTTCATTCAAATTAGCAAATGGAAGCTCAGAGAAGATATTTTAATCTTGATGAAAAAGTGGTTGCAAATATAGGTAGAAATCATGGTTTGAAAGAAAAAACAAGATATACATATTTTTGTTGAACGCGTGAAAATATAACCATGAAAACCAATATTATGAGGTTAGTTTTGATAGAATTGAAATTTTAAAAATTTTAATTGTGTATAATGATTTTATTTTATTCTTTTTAGAGCGTTTAAATAAATGCTTTTTATTAAAATTTTTTTTTCACTTTCAATTTATTATTGCTAATTTGAATGGATGTTTCAAATTTGAATGAATTTGAATTCATCTTTTTTATTTTATATATAAAAATGAATGTTTGTCTGTATTTCCTTCATAGAATCGTAAACGGCTTGACTGATTTCACTATATTTTTTTTATTGTTGTGTTTGTTATTGTTCCTATGAGAGAAAAAAATGAGAAATTTAAAATGGTAGATCCAATATGGCGGACGAGTTTTGCAATTATAATCCGATTCCATTCAAAATTGGTATGGGGGGATTTTTGCGGTCGGAGATTATGATACTTTTGTCAAAATTGGAAATTTCAAGATGGCGGATCCAATATGGCGGACGAGTATTGTAATTATAATCTATTTATATTCAAAATTGGTATCTGGGGGTTTAGGGGTCGAAGATTATGATTTTTTGTCAAAATTGGAAAATTCGAGATGGCGGATACAATATGGCAAAATTGGTATCTGGGGGTTTTTGGGGTCAGAGATTATGATTCTTATGTCGAAATTGGAAAATTCAAGATGGCGGATCCAATATGGCGAACGAGTTCTGAAATTATGATGCTATTCTATTCAAAATAGGTATCTGGGGTTTTTCGGGTTAGGAGATGAAGATTCTGTCTGGGAATTCAAGATGGCAGATCAAATCTGATGGTTTGAAAATTCAAGATGGCGGATTCAATATGTCGAACGAGCTTTGTAATAAATAGTGTTTCGAAAAACTAATGAAATACGCTTTCATAGATAGCCAAACTAAAATGAAGTAGAAAATGAGAAGTAGTTTAGAAAACTAGAGTAAGATAACCTACTTGAAAGGAAGTAGAAAATAAATAGTAGTTTGAAAACTAAGAAAACGCGCTTTTATGGTTAGTCAAACTAAACAGAAGTAGAAATTAAAATGATAAAAGTATGTTGTTGAATATTCAACTGAAAAAATGTTTTCTAGAAATAATGTAAATAGCAAAACAACGTTTGCCGGGTCAGCTACAAGCAATAAAATGACTTGAACTTGATTCAATATTTGTGTACTGTCTTTCTTTCAAATGTATTTCAATAAGTAGCATAGCAATACACGCAGGGTACAACTAGTAAGAATAATTTTGCTAGTATCAGACCATAAATGTCTCACTTCCGGTTTGACCTATTTTCTATTTACTTTGAATGAAGATAATCTCCATGCTATACCTACTTACTTTTGTATCGAACCTTTCATTTTAATATTACAACAGCGATGGATATTTTTCTGGCTCAAAAAAAGGCTGTAAGAAGTATGATGGGTATTCCGAGAATGGATTCCTGCAAGCCTTTTTTTATAATATTGAGAATATTAACGCTACCCTGCCTCCTTATATTTGAATTATGTAACAAGCAACTGTCTGCTTGCACCAGTGATATTCATGATGTAAATACTCGCTCAAGGATATTCATGAATATTATCAATTCAAGAATATCTCATAGGATTGGCGAAAATAAAACGAAAAAATCAATATCACCACTTAATTTGATTCGAGACCACGTCAAAGTCATGAACGACAGCTTGGGGGTTCTTGCGTGTTGAGCAGAAGCGTTTTCAGGCGAGCAACTGACCCTACATTTTCGTATTTCTGCGATATATAGGAGTCAGTCATAATTTTTGTCGGTTACTCCTATGTATGATTGCCTTCGGACATTTCCGTATACAAGGAAAGACAATGCCAGAGGACGAACGGGGAAATCTGGAGACTGAATATTACCATCCTGCCAGCGATGCTTCGTAAAGTGCATGATTTCGAGTGACTTCGGGAATTGGAAGGCTTTTGCCGCCTGGTGTGTGATGAGAACTCCACCTCCCTGCCGATTGATCGACGGATGTCCCGTTAGCTCAATTGGCAGAGCGTTGGGCATGTAACCCAGAGGTTGTGAGTTCAACTCTCACACAGGGCGGTGGAGTTTTTTCCATTTTCCATTGTTACTCGAAATAAGGGCTTTCTATTTTCATCATTATATGTATCTTTCTGCGATATGACTACTAGCAGTCAAAATAGAGTAATAAGTCGGGGCTCTTACCTTATATAAATGTTTGTTATTTATTCAAGGTGGGGTAATCTCGGATGACTCTGCCGATTCTGGTGTGAACACCAGACTAGACAATTCTCCGTCTGATACAGAAAACGATACGAATTCTACTGAACGTCAATCTCTTGGTAAGTTGAGAACTCTTGCTACTATTATAACGTAGTTAACAGCATTTAACAGTAAATCGAAATTAAAAATCGACCTGTTCTAGGAATTTTCAATAGTTTCATGTTTTTATTGAAATTAATTCATGCATCACTTTATAGACGCACTATATAATATAATGTATTACAATTAATGAACAAACTGATGTTTAAATCTAACTCAAATAAACTGGGCAGAATGAAAACCATGATTATAAAATGGTATAAAGCTGACGAAAACACAAAAATTAAGCATAAAAATTTGGTCAAAGTGTTTCATTATAATGAAGTTGTTTACGAATGAGTACTTGGTATGGTTTACCGCCAGCAATGGAAAGACTAATCGAGCTCACCTGGAATCTGTCTGACGACCGGCCTCAACAAATCCTCCAGCAAGGGCTCTGTCCAAAGGGCTGCTTCACCACCAGTACTAAGGAGGGTTGAGTGGACTGTATTTTGGGGGAAATTTCACACTATCGCGTATAGCCTTAGCGTTTTGTTTGGGCGTGGGATTTTCGGGTTTTTTCAAATCGAGTCCGTTCTCTCGCGGTACCGTATGAGTTTCTGCCGTATTCCCCCGTTTTCTCGATGGCGTCGATTGCTTCCAAAGCTGGACGGATATACATTCGAAACCAAAAGTTAGGGTCCGAATTATATTGGATATTATTGAGTGAAAGTGTCGTCATAGGTTTAGAGAATCTTATTGTACGAATTATTATGTCTAGGTATATTCATACTAAAACTAAACTAGACGAAAATATTTTGGGGTTTTCAACAGAAGTCCAACATTACTTATTGTCCACCAACACGCGCCATCAAAACTTGAGGTCAGAGTTGGTAGAACTGATATATGAATATACTTCTTGTTTTCCTGTCAGTTGACCTCTTCCTACGATGGCTATATTCCGTATTCAACTGTCAGTATTGAATCTGCTGATTTTTCATTCCGATACTTGTGAGTAGACTACTTTTCAAGTTTCTCTGGAAAACGTATACACAAGAATTCCAAATTGTCGACCCGGCCCTGGATATTGGCTTGTTCAATTTTCTTGTATTTCTCTGAAGATATTTGCTGATTTTGTTTCAAATCTGAAATAATTTTTAGGTAATAGTTCTGAATTTTGCTAGCTCTGACTTTTGTATCTATATCTTTTTGCTTTAACTTTTTTTCCAACTCTCTATTTTCTTCTTGTTTGTTTCCTGAATTCCTCACTATCTTCCACTCGTAAACCTTGGATTTTTGAATATTCCTGCTCTAAAAAATCGATTCTCAAGTCTTTTTTTCTCAAAATATGTTCGAAATGAATTTCATATTTCATATCTGCAAGTTTTTCGTTTCTTGTTGGTTAAATTGGAATAAGGTTATTTTCGATACTCGCTGAGTTTCTAAATTGTGGGTTCGGCTCTTTCTCTCAATACGATCATATATTCTTCAACATCAAATCTTCCGTTCTGAAGTGTACCTGATAAAAATTCGTTGAAAAATGTTCTATATCCTACCAAAAAATTTACCTCGCAAATTTTGTGGCCTGAACCTATATTCCATGCCGGCCGCATCATATTTTGTTTCCATTTTTGTAGAATTACGTTATCGTATGGAAATTCGAATTGAGTGAATTGATTTTCCGTGTTCTCACAGTTGAAAACTGCAAACCTTTGAAATTTATGCCATATGTACGTCCGTGTACTGTCAGTTCCCGCTTTTTCCATCAATTAATTTGTGGTTATGTCTGATTGTCAGTGCTTGCTACAAAAAATGTCAAAACAGCAGTATCAAGTACATTTAGGAACTCTAGTGCCACTAAGGTCCCAAACAAGCGTTACTGTCTAAATACATGGGCGGTATATATCTATGCTTGAGTAATATTTTGAATCCTAAGATACTGGGTAGGATATACGGAAGCTGCGTTTTTCTTTTGCTTGGTAAATTTCAAAGAAATGCGGTTTCCACACTACCATTTTGTACTCTTTTTATATGGATCACCTTGTATATTCAAGAACGTTTCAGCCTCGATTTGTTTCCAGGAAGTTCCAGGAAGCTCCCATTCGCAACATACTTGAGTTTCAATCAATAAATAGACCAACAGAAAATTAAAGCACAAAACATGATGAATTGATGACATCATAATAACTTATTGGATCGACATTTCATTATTTTAGTTGAAAATTTTAAAACCATATTTTATAAAATGTTTGTAAGAGAAAACTAGTTTCTATATTGAATGTATCAGTTGAGGCATTTCTTTCTTTCATGTGTGTGTATACCTATTACAAATTGATTATCTGGGTGGCGATATTTCATGAATCACAATGATACAATGTTTCATTATGGCAGAAATTTATGGAAACAAATCATCACTAGCCTACGTCTAGACATGAAATATTGTTTATTTTATAAGGGAGTATTGATTTTAGCTTTTAATCCGATTTTATTTGTTGTAAATGATTTTAAAACTTGTCCATTCGTTTATTTACAATATTTTACAAATCCAAAAAAAATATTGAAGACAAATTTTTATAACATTCCCATTTATTTATCGTTTATTTATCTGTGATTGTTTTTGCGTTCATATTGTAGGTGTAGTAGCTACTTATTTTGTTAAGAGTTGGTATCATTGTCAATTTTTACCAAAATGTTTCTGTTCCTAAAGGTAATAATTGTATTGTTTGGATAATGCTACCAACTTAATTTATAATGTACTGTTTCAATTGCATTTTGCCCACTCACTAGTTGTTTTTTAAGAAAACATTAATTGGTGCAATTTTTATGGTTATTGTATTTTGTATTAGGTTACCTTTTACAATGTAATTGATTTTTTATGATATCTGTGACTATTGTTGTGAATATAGAATTTAAGATGAATTGTATGTCCTTGAATATATTTTAAATTCGATTTTGCCAAATGTACCAATGATTGTTGAAGAGATATGAATGAATAAAATTTGTACTTTTTTATTTTTGTGTTCATTACTTGACTCTGCATTGTCTTGCACTATATTCTGTACCAGTGGTGGCTCCTCAGAGGAGGCAACGGAGGCTGAGCCTCCTCAGAGATTCTCCTCAAACTGATATTATTATATTATTATTTTAGTTCCTGTTTTTAGGTAAATATTTTTGAATTGGCAACAGTGCTTGCCCACGCATCACACGTTGAAGTCTGCAAATCACGCGTAAAATATTCAACTTGGCAACATCTATAGGAGGCTAGATTCCTTCACAACGCGCAACCCACTCGCGCAATGCAAATGCCCGAATAGCACGTGTTTGTCGTGTCGCGTCGCGAATTGCGGGCATTGTTTATGATTATGTTGGGTTAATGGTTAGGGGCTCTATAAATTTCTGAAAAATGAGTGTTTGAAACGATTGCGATTTAGTGGAATACTTTTTGGTGAACCCATTCAGTGCTTTGTCTTATGAAGATAAATTGATTGTGAAAAACAAACGTCCGACACCGGAATTAAAAAATCTGATTGTAACAGGTAACAAACAAAATCGTTCCTTCAATTCTGATAATTATAAAAAATATATCTGGCTGACGGGATATGAGGTAAGGAATAAGCTATTTTGTTGGTACTGCGTATTATTTTCAACCGATAAGTCATCATATTGGGGGCGATTAGGATATAATGATTTGAAAAATTTGTCTCGCGGATTGGATAGACACTGCAAATCACAGGAACACATCTCTTCGAGTATCAAGTTAAGGTTAACTGGTAAACAGAATGTCATTAAAGCTATTGATTTGGGTGAGTAGAGTTGTTTTTCACAATGAATCTCATATCATTCAGCCTCCTCTGTCATGAAAGTCACGAGCCGCCACTGTTCTGTACTATAATCAAGGTGGCCGTTTTGGGTTGCAATTTGGTTTTTGCACAGAATATGATAATAAAATGCGTACTGTCATTATAGGGGATTGAAAAATGAATATCACAAAAGCTCTGAAGTATTGGGACTTTCTACTTGGTGTATTAGATCTACTAAATATATTCTATATACAAAGTGACTGAATCAAACAGTGAATGAGTTATGAAATATCTGACAAATAGTGTTGTGGACATTATCTCTCATTCATAACTTCCACAATAATGAAAACTATTTGATTAGTCTTTAATTAATCAATTATTCCTCAAGTGAACCTGTTTTCTTCATTCCACTTCCAACAGGGCCATGTCTGCGTTCCCATACCATCCTGTGTTTTTGTTTCATGTAAGCCCGTCGAGCATCATGATAAGCACCTAAATCACCATCTGAAAAAAAATTGTCCAGTTATACAGTGTGTCCCACTTACCATGCTCACCATGGGTATCTTTTTAATGGTGAGAGATACGAGGTCAGTTAAATGACACCAAATGTGGAGTTTGTCAAGCCCAACTATAATGTGAAAAAAATATTTTGATAAAATCTATTCGTTTTTGTTTTAGGAATTTCACATTCTCATGGCAGTTTTTCGAAGTGATTTCGAAAATAATATGAAATTTATACCAACTCTTGAAGAATTTGAGATATCAGCACCAACTTTAGTTTTTCAAATGTAGGTCATAGCTCTCTATGACTTAGTTACAAATAGCTTTTTTTTGTCTTACAGATGATGTGTTGCAGTAATAGTTTTGTGTTGATAACAACGGAGTTATGGTCATTTATACAAAAACAAAAAATTATTTGGAAGCCGCCATCTTGAATTTATAAATTTTAACAAAAAAATCATGATCTCCGACCTCAAAAACCTCCACTTACCAATTTTGAATGGAATCGGACCAAATCTTGTCCGCCATCTTGGAGCAGCCAATTTCAACAAAAATTCCATAACTCCGATTAACTTGAAATTTGTCAGGTGTTCATAATTTCGGTGACAATACATTATGGAATTTTTGTTGAAATTAAAAAAAAATGGCTGCTCCAAGATGGCGGACAAGATTTGGTCCGATTCCATTCAAAATTGGTAAGTGGGGGTTTTTGAGATCGAAGATCATGATTTTTTTGTTAAAATGTATAAATTCAAGATGGCGACTTCCAAATAATTTTTTGTTTTTGTATAAATGGCGATAACTCCGTTGTTATCACCACAAAACTATTACTGGGACATATAATCTGTAAGAGAAAAAAAAGTTTTTTGTAACTAAGTCATAGTGAGCTATGACCTACATTTGAAAAACTAAAGTTGGTGCTGATATCTCAAATTCTAGAAGAGTTGTTATAAATTTCATATTTTTTTCGAAATCACTTTGTAAAACTGCCATGAGAATGTGAAATTCCTATTTGAATATTTTCATAAATAAAGAAGTTACGGAGGAGACATGAAAATGATCATAATCTGTTTTTTGCGTATAGAACAAAAACGGATAGATTTTATCAAAATATTTTTTTCACATTATAGTTGGGCTTGACAAACTCCACATTTGGTGTCATTTAACCGACCTCGTATCTCTCACCGTTAAAAAGATACTCATAGTGAGCATGGTAAGTGGGACACACTGTATTCATCATATTTTTGCTGCCTTTCAAGAAATTGTTCCTCTTGCCTATATAACATGTTCTCAAATGAACAAAAAACACAAATGATCAAGATTTTACAGAAATAGGCCTTTCCAGGGAAGTTAAAAATGTAATCCTGGCCACATATACATCAAGAAAATCAAATGACAAATGAATTATTTAATATTGAAAATGCTATTTCAATACCTGTGAACCAGGGCATACTCTATCTCACCGGGCCGAGCATCGCTTTCGTGACGTCACACTAGTAGGGACAAAATCGAGAGGCGCTGAAAATTGCATTTCCCAATTCATTGATGTACCATGGGAAAACGGTAACAGTTATCAAAAAATTTCAAGAGATCAAATATGTGAAGAACAGACTTTCTCACGAGATGAATCAATATTTACTGATTTAGGATTAATAGTTCAAGAAATATAGCATATCAAAATGAATTGACTACATTCAGAATTGTTGTTTTCTATATAGTATAGTATGTAGATTGACTGTAATTTTTTTCAAAATTCCCAAGAGCTAATAACAAACCGATTTTTCAATTCAAGTAAAATGGTGATTCAGATGATTATTAGACTAGTTCAAAAAGTTTAGGCGGCCCCCCATGCTAAACCTATTAGTTGTGGATATATGATGTCACAAACTTTTTTGTAGTAAATTTCATTGCCTACAAATAGATATGATACACTTCTACTGTATCTCAGAGGATTTTAGCAGCGTTTATATCTGAAGATAATCTGGACACACTTTGATGACGTTAGAAATTATACAGGGTGTTTCAAAAAGACCTGACCCCCTAACTAGGGTAGGTAGAACACTGCAAAATAAGTTGAGTTTACCGAGGGGTAAATCTCCTTGGAAGTCTGGTGTACACTCCGTTGGAAGTCTTTGGAATTCTTTGGAATTCTTTGGAATTCTTTGGAATTCTTTGGAAGTCTTTGGGAGTCTTTGGATGTCTTTGGAAGTCTTTGGTAGTCTTTGGATGTCTCTGGAAGTCTTTGGATGTCTTTGGGAGTCTTTGGAATTATTTGAAAGTCTTTGGGATGTCTTTGGAAGTCTTTGGAAGTCTATGTTAATTGGAAGTCTGGTGTACACATTTTTCCTGGAGATTTACCCCTCGGAGTTTACTCATTAAAAAAATTCCGTAACGGCATCCGTTATCAAGATACAAGGTGTTGAAAACATGTTTCTTTCACACATTTTTCAAGATTATGTCGAAACTACTGGCAACATTGTGATGAAATTTTGTATGGATGTTTCTTGGAATCCGACACATCGCATGCATTTGTTTTTATACCTGACTCATAAAGGGCGCTAGTTACACGGTTCGTACCGAATAGTTTTGAACATAACTTTTTTGAGGTTAGATTTTTCAATTTCACACCAAAAAGGTACTCTTGGTAAAACATGATACTGTGTTCCGTTTTCGGAATATTTCGATTTGAAAATGTAGAAGTGATAACTGTTGATGGTATAAATCTATGTTTTAGAGTGAGTATTATGAAAAATTATCATCTCTTTATTGAAAATCGAAAAGAACAATACATTTACTTACTGATTTAACATTGAATCACAAGAATAACATCGAAACAGATTTGACTGAGAACATGGATTACACAATTTTGTTGTATCTTGAGCAGAAAGTCTATGCTACATAGGTGAATTCACGTCAAGAGTTGTCAGACATAATTGAACATCACTTAAATGACCTAACAGCTGATCCTCAACTGTTCAGAAGAATAATACATTCTTAAAAAAAGAATATAGAATCGTGTATTCCTCCAAACTCAGGATATTTTGAACACTCACTCTGATTCAATATTTCATGTTTCTAGTCAAATATCTCTTAATTTTCTATTTATGATTCTCTGTTCCATCCAAGAATAATTTTATTGGTTTTGAAACTGAATAAATAGGTAATTGAACTCAATAAAATTCATTTTGTACCAGCATCAATACTACTCCATTATTTTCAAATCGAAATATTCCGAAAACAGAACATAGTATCGAGTTTCACCAAGAGTTCCTTTTTGGTGTAAAATTGTATGATGTTCAAGTTCATATCATATTTGGATAGAAAAATTCAACCTCAAAAAAGTTATTTTCTAAACTAGTCGGTACGAATCGTGTAACTAGCGCCCTCTATGAGAATCAGATATAAAAACAAATTCATGCGATGTGTCAGATTTAAAGGAACATCCATATATAATTTCATTACAATGTTGCCAGTAATTTCGACATAATCGTGGAAAATGTGTAAAAAAATCATTTTTTCAACACCTAGTATCATGAAAACGGATGCCGTTACGACATTTTTTTACTGAGCAAATCCAACTTATTTTGCAGTGTTCTACCTACCCTAGCAAGGGGGTCAGGTTTTTTTGAAACACCCTGTATATCTACCCACGCAAAAACCCTGACAGCGAATCAATTATTTTCAGCTATGGAGTATATATTTTTGAAATAATCTCATATTAAAAATTGATTTGAAAACATTTTCAAAATATGAAAATTAAAAAGAACAAAAAATAAGTAGTTCTCATACACACAATACTAAATGAAAGCCATTCTGAAAATATTCAACATATTATTAAAAGAGAAAAAATAGCCAGATATTACAAAGTAACATGTTCTTATGACAAAATATATAGATCACAAACTAAAAAATGGGCTCAAAGCTTCATATTCATCGGGAAAGTCTGATGAGTCTTCTTTGTTTATTATTCTACTGAATCCAGTTATGATTTCATATGTCCTAATTATTCAACACAATATTCAAAATAGTTTTCAAAATATCAAAAGATCCACAACTGGAACATGAGTAATAAAACATGCCCTTTGGGAAATACCGTGAAATCGTTACTATAGGAAAATTAGGTAGGTATAATACTAGACAAATTTTTACGCGCTCTTTATTTTTAATTCATTTCGGACTCATTGTAGGTAGCTCAATAATTTTGATGCATTATCCTAGTTTGACATACTCAGTCAGTTTCATTTTAAATCGATTCTAAATTGGCAAAAATTATTATTCCACAGTACAACGTCCTGATTTTCATTAAAATTGAATTTCTTTACATCATCATAAATCGGTACTGGTTCATCCTAATGAGTTTATTTTTTTACCGAAAGTTGGGTAATTCATCAGGGATCAATTTGTCTCGATTGAGTGTGCTTCTAATTTTTAAAGTTATAATAACCTTTCAATTACAAACGCGCCAATATGAAATGATGTGAATCTCAACGTACTAGTGTGACGTCAGCATCAAGGTAAAGGGGGATAGACTACCGCCCGGTAAGATAGAGTAGGCCCTGTGTGAACCGAAATGCTACTGAGCTGTGATATCAGTGTCTTCTTGCAATTTGATTGGTTGGAGTTCTGACGGCTGGGAATCACTCCACTGTTCCCAAATCTCTATAAAATCCTTGAAATCCTTCAATTGGATTTTATGTGAGATGGTGCAAGAAATGTAATGATTGGAAATTAATATGCAGTAGGTGATTAGTTGATTGGTGATTCACTGCTGATCACATTCAATTTACTATGAACTCCAAAGTATTCCATTAGTTTCAAGATTATCTAGGATAGAATGTGATGGAGGCATCTACCAATGGGATGCTTTTTATATGCCTAGTTTGGGTTTAGTTATGTTGAAATTTCGTTGACTAATTGTTATAATCAACAAATTGAACAGTGTTACTATATCTCAAGCACTCATTCCTGGAAAATTTAATTGCTAATCTGGCAACTATGTCTAGAAGAGAAAGAGATGAAGCAAGTGGTGGTAACACAATGTTGCCAAGTTAGATATACCTCATTCTCTGCATAACTTCACTGTTTTCATTTCTCAATATTATTGATAAGAAGGCAGTGATGCTTGCACCGCATATCATGAATATCCACACTAATTCAATACAAAATGAAATTTCACCTACAATAATTGTGAATAATCCTCCAACAACAATCAACCAATTAACTAATTATTTAATGCAAATTTTTAAAACCAGGAATTTCCAGGTAAGTAGTTATTAGTTGCATTATCTAACAGCAATTGTATTAATTGCTAAAATGAAAAAATCTAGGAATAAATATTTGACTAATCACAGCTTTCTGTCCAAATTGGCAACAATGTCCAGCCCATCTTGCTTTTTATTGGCACCTGATGTGAGAATGTGAGAGAATGACCATTGACCAATATACCAATCCAAATTGCTGGTGCACTGACATCACCAGTTTCCTGGCCATATCTGATCATTTGAATTGAATTTATATGATACATTGATGAAAAAAAATCTCAAAAAATTATTTGAGAGCCATACTTCAAGATATATGTTTTCCTAGAAATGTCTGGAATTGCCAATTGTCTGAATTTATTGAAAATGTCCCCAATCTTTGTTGATTCATTATCATTCTGTAACACATAATAAATGAAATGGTGATAAAACTGAGATGGTTAATGACTGTTGGTCATTTGAAACAAGTACATTATGTTAACTCACACTTGGCAAACCAATTTCCAGCAGCTTCTTCATATTGTCTCATCAGGGGGGTACACTTCTCAAGATGATCTGGAGCCTCATACATGGTGCAATCTTCAAATCTTTGACGTAGAATACTCAGAATTTCATTATCAACTAATCTGAAATGATTACATAACTTTTGTGAATGAAGTATTCTAAAATTCCAAACCATCTTACTTGTCTCTTTTATACTGAACATTAGCCTCATGGATACATACAACATCATCAGTATAACATTGGTCAATTGTTGGTACTCTGCGGAATTTTTGATGGTACCATGGGTAATTTTTCTGATTAGGTTCCACAATTTTTTCTGAAATATCATGGAAGATCGATGGTACAAGAGATTGTGGGTTGAACAAAGCAATATTAGAGCATGCGAGTCCCAAACTCACCTCTAACCCATACTGTAGGGGCATCCAAGACACTTCCAACTGTGAAGAAAAATTTGTCAATAATATTTCTAGGTGTTGCTTCAGGCATCTTGAATATCAAGAATTGCGGTAATCAATATTATACAGAGATATTTCACAGGCGAATATACATTTGCAAAAAATCTTGATTTGATTGTATTCAGAGTTCTGAGGAGAGGACTGAGGGGAGGAGAGGAGGTAATGAAAATCTAACCTTAAAATTATAAATATTTTGATAGACAGCTGTTTGACAACGTCACTGTCACTCACTCTCAGTCTTCCACTGACACTTGAACCTGAGTTCTGAGTTCAAGAAAATGAAGATGAAGCGAAGCAGCATAACCTATATAAAATAAAATTATTTCCTAACATTTTCCTAATTTCGATCTGAAAAAACATGAATATTTTAGGAAAAACTTGTGTGCGGGTCTTCAGAATAGATCAAAGTACACGTACTACCTCCTTACTCGTTAGAAATACAGCTGCCTACAAGAGTGCATTGTCTTTGGAAAATTTCTACCCAGATAGCAGCTTGAGATTGAGGACTCCAAAGGTAACCATCATATTCATTACTGAAACCCATCATCAACTTCAATGAAAAATTCAGGATTTATGTATATCACTTCCAACAATTCGTTTAGTTCTTGCAAACTAACATAATGCTGGGTTTATAGATTCAATAGAACAATTATGAATTAACAATTAATAATCATGAGGGTGTTTATACATACCTGATATTAATCAAGAACTAGGTGTGGAATGTATTTTGATTAAAGTTCCATGAAAGTCCATAAAAAATAATCCAATTGAATATCACCAAACTCTACTTGAACAATAAAAAATCATATCTTCATGTTCTGTCTCCATAATTTCCTAATACTTAGTTGTTAAGTTGATAGTTGGCCAATTTTGTAATTCTTAATTTAAATGACAGATGTAACTGTATACCCTCATAGATTTTTCCTTGTATTAAACTTTTCAATTTCATAGTTGTTAGTTTATGTGTGGATTTATGCAGCATCAATTTACAATTATCAAGTAAGGAGTAGATGCACACCAAATTAACAATAAAAATACACAGGTGCAAAAGCCCATTCCAAGCCATTCAAGATAACCATAGACATTTTAATTCATAATATATTAGACACATTTTTGGGGTATTGCTATCACAAGTGGGGCCAAGACTTGAAAATAATAGTAATAATGAAATGTAAAAAAAAACACAAAAAGGGGGAATGTTTTGAGGTTACTCTCCATCCTCCATACTAGTTGGGCACAATAAGAAAACCTGGTTCAATTAATGTAAAAAGTTAACCAACCTTCTACATGTTATTTTATAAATGATAATTGTTAATGGATGCTGCATAAATCCACACTAATTCTTTGTTTAGTTTAATCTATAAACCTAGCATAATTCCAAGGAACTTTATAATTGACTATTACTTCAAGGCACCATCAGCTACTGAGACATTCAATGGCTACATACCAATGGAGGAACTTGAAATTACCTACAGCAGGAGTACCGGCCCTGGTGGACAAAATGTAAATAAAGTTAATACCAAAGTAGATGTAAGATTCCATTTGGAAAATGCAAAATGGCTTAGTAATAAGGACAAAGAAAGGCTATTAGAAAAGGTTTGTCTGTTCAATCTGTTGAAATTTCTCTTTGTTGAGATATTAGGAAACTATTTAATAAAAATATCTTGAATTCTATATTTCAGTTGGGACCCAAATTAACCAAGGATGGCTACCTAATTTTTCGCTCAGACCTAACAAGATCCCAGCAATTAAACTTAGCAGATTGCCTTGAAAAGATGAGACAATCTATAAGAGGCTCCTTGGTACTTGAAGCAGTACCATCTCCAGAGACTCAAGAAAGAATCAGGCGCAGGTTAGAACATGCTGCTACTGAAAGATTGATGAATAAGAGGCAAAGGTCACAAGTGAAAAATGAAAGGCAAGCACCAGGTGTATTATAAATTCAGGTAAAAGAGTAATGAATAAAACACATTGCATTTCTGAGTCAATATTCATTCAAATAATATAGGAAACATGGAGTAACCTATTGAAAATATGATGAATTAGCAGGAATTCAGAAAAGAGAAATGAATTTTAGTAAAAATTTTGAAATGTTGTACTATACCCATTGCCAAGGTTGATTCCCTGTTCTTAATGTGTTAATTAATTTTTATTCTTTGTTGGTAATTCGAAATATTGAATTAATAAAATTTTTTCAACAAATTTCCCCACAGGAAAATAATTTTACCTGGTTCTTGGAATAATAAAATTGCTAGTACTATCATTTTTTATTTTGAAGCAATACACCATATACTAAGATTGCAATATCAAAATGCTATTGCCTAAAAAAAATGTACTAACTTTATTAGTGTGAGATAACAAAGGTACTGAATATCAGTTAATACTACTAGCTAAATAAATTCACTTCAACATTTAACATCAATAACTAGAAACAAAAAAATTAAATAACAATTTCATGGAGTAATATTCCAAGACACTAGATTGATAAAAATATCAGAATATAACCTACTAAAATGAAATATTGAACTCACTAGAAATATTCTTTACTCTTCATTTGTCCAGTTATGTTACTTCAGTAATTTTTACTGACTCCTTTTTATATATTATACACTTGTTATACAGATTCTGTGAATTAAACCAAGTAATTTTGAATCCTAATTTTATTATAACTAATTTTCATAAAAATGTTGAATGGCAACTCTTTAAAATCACTCATCTTTTGAGCAACTGTAATATATGACCTGAAACTGGAATACCATTATTTTTGAACCTCAATATGTGTACTTTATTGGCTTGCACAATAATCCATTTACAGAAAAACGCAATCAGAAAAAATATATTATATTCAAACCGGCTACCCCCTAGAATCTGTGGGTGAATCAACGTTATTCCCTTTCGCGCTCCCGCTTTTTTTCGCCGGAACTGGAATGGCGTGAGTGGGACCGGCGTTCACGGTCACGGCTCTTGGATCTGTAAGAAACATCATCATGGTGAATGAAAAACCCAGGCCACCCTATATTAATTTAGCCTCAAACAAACCTCTTCACTGAATTTTCTCAGTAGATCAATTCAACATCTTCATCAACAACTATACCGGTATTACCGGTTGACAAGGAAATCATTGGACAGAGCGTCATTCAGTTGTTTCCCATAGATTTTTGACATTTGGATCGAGGATATAGTTCTTTGAAACCCATATTTCCCATGAAAAAATAATTGGAATGGTACTGTTTTTAAATACTACTCAGATAAATGCTGGTCACACTAGAATTATTGTTTTCATTTTCAAATAAAATATCATCTTATCCTACCTTGAATAAATAGACATAATATTAAAAACTACAGGAAAACATGTCTAACTTCTCGCAAGGGGCCCGATTCTCGAATCTGTAGGAGTTTGATCCTATAGGAGAATGATCCAAGGCTTTCAGTTCTCATAGGAAATGATAATTTGTCATGACACCTATTCTTAAACCAGATGCAATCGTTTTTCCCAGGGGATTGAAAAAGTGCCGTACGTCGCAGATAGATTCTTGAGTTTACATAGGTAATATTCTTTTTACCAACTTTGACTGAGATTGACCAAGATTCTCAGTGCAGCTCAATAGCTCATTTGTATAACATGTTTCATTTAGCTTAGTCTGATGTGAGTTGTCTTAAGAACTTATTGAGACTATTTCTTTCCCCTCACCCCAACTGAGCTTGCTATTCATCTGGTGTTGTAGTGAGAAAAAGGTGAGACTGGATTGATTCTAGTAATTCTGTGGTTCTGTGCTGAAAATTGTGAGGTTATATTTTCATTTTGTCGAACTTTCAGCTTTGAAGTTACAGTCCACAGGTTAAATCCTTTCAATACTCACTACAATAATATTTCTATGCTCTTCATTAATTTCCTCAGTCATTTTACATTTTGGTTGAATTATGTTAGGTTATGTTTTCTTCCCTTGCCCTTCCTGACAGATAAACGCATGTTCTTTTTATCCAATCGATAACTCTGATCCATCTCACCTCCTTCTTACTCACTTGATCTCAGTAGTGAGAATGTAACAAGGTAAAAAGAATATTGCTAATAATTCACCGATGAAATAAGTGCCATTTATGTTGGTAATTGGTAGATGATTGTTGACATTTCGATTTGGACTAATTTTGAGGTTATATTATAATATGATGGGTTGCGTGCAAGAACTGTTAGATGACCGACGCTGGAGGCACAACATTGAAACACAACCTCACTTTTCTTATTTGTTTACAAGTGATCGAAATAGTTTTTCACAATTATTTTGGAATACGAATCGTATTTTTTCGCTATTCATCAATTCGCTCATGCCATCACATTATGCTGTTGTGGAATGCACAAAAACTGCAGCGGAAGACAAAGTAATCCGGTTGGTACATTATGATTTAAAAGTAAGTACCTACTATAGTCACTTACATATAGTTTTCATTTTTGAAATTTGGTAATTTCTCTGATTTCTCATCGGAATTTCTTCTGCGATAGGAGCTAATAGAAATACACCTGAAATTTTTAAAATAATGCAAGAAGATTGGATTCACGCAATCAATCGGGAGGACTGGTCTGACATGCTGACGATCGTGTGTGTTGTAGACATTTTCAATCTATTAGCAGTATTAGCTTGTATTGCAGAAGTGGCAGAAGGCAGAAGGAATTTTAATAAGGAATGACAACATTTCATAATGATAACTATGTGAGATTACTATTTACCTGAAAAATCATATTCTTTAGTCTCTTGCTGCATTTTTTGTGCATTGTACAACAGCACAATGCGGAGGCATGCTTGAATTAACGAATAGCCCAAAAAACAGGATTCGTATGCCAAAATATTGTGAAAAACTATTTCAATCCTTTGATTCCTCTGTAACCAAATGAAAAAGTGACGTTGTGTTTCGATAATTCACAGAAGATTGAGGTTGTGTTTCAATATTTTGCCTCCAGGGTCGGTCTTCGTACACGCGACCTATTTTGCGGCGGTGAGATTATTGTGTATTGTATATTTACTATATTTCCTCTGTTCGATATGGATACAAACAATATTAAAAAACCACGAGGTATTAGCAAAGAGCATAAAATACTTTTAATAGAAATAATGGAGGCCTCTGAGGACTTGAGGAAAGGAAACTTTCACCCCCAATTCACTTATATAAGGATTCTGAAGTAACTATCAATTCTCTAGTAATGTCTTTGGACAAACAAAAAACTTGAACAAATTGTGCAGCAGACAAACACTCAAATGGGTGGGCCCCTTCAAGGCAAAAACCTTCTTCTTGATCTTCTAGCAAGGATTTCAGCCACTTCCAAATTTTGTAAAGCCTCTAGATGATCTATTTCATCTATGTTTGCCATGTTTTGCAATACATATTATGTTTCCCCGATTTTTCACTAGGGTTCAGTTCCCATCACAAATGAGAATAACTTAGTATTTCATGAATGGGAAACATGTTGTTCCCATGGGAAGCAGTTCTCCTGAAGTGTGTAGGAATAGTTTCCCATACAATAGTTCAAGAATAATTCATCTCGGATTCGAGAATCGGGCCCCAGGAGTTAGGATGATTTCCCGTAGTTTTGAATGTCATCGCAATGTCATCTGATGACCTTGGCGACCGCGAATAGCTTTAATGATTTTTTTAAATTGAAGTCTATTTGAAAAAAAGTTTCATTGCCTATTTGAAATTTTCGAGAAAATTCAAGAGAAATAATGTGATTTTAAAGAATTGTAAGGAATCCTGTTGGCGATAAATCAAAATTTTCGCATATTTCACCAAAAACTATAAAGTGCTTCATCTATTATTATTGCATTAGGTTGCTTGAGCAATATTCGATCGATGACGTCACAGTGTCGCCATATGGAATTTAGAAGAAATATCTCCTGCACCGCCATTTTCAAAACAAATGTCCACTTTTCATTGAAAAACGATTTTTTCTCTCTCTACCGAATGGCGTGAAAACATCTGTAGGGTTCCATGAAAAATTCCCGACCTAGGTCAAATTCCCGTAAAACCGAAAGTGATATTCAATTGTTTTTTCATGGAAAATATGGGTTTCGCGGAACTATATCTTTGATCCAAATGTCAAGTCTAATATTCAAAACAACTGAATGACACCCTATCCAATGATTTCCTTGTCACCCAGCAGTTAGTGTCAAATACTGTGTCATTTGTCGAATGTATTGTCTTTTGTCATTGTCAATTAAGATTAGTTCTAAAAAAAATGATACATGTCAAATTGAGTGTCATTAGCCTAATGTAATGCCTTTGTCAATGATAATTAGTTTTAAGAAAGAATGATCCAATAGTTCGCTTATTATCTTTCGCGAATTTGAACGGCTCCAGTGGTCATTTCAGCCAGCAGAAACTTGATGCTATATAATAGAAGTTCAGCGGGCTTCCAGAGAGATATGTCTTTCCATCTGTTCTTCCCTTCTCTTCAGTGTTCCAACGTAAAATAATGAAAATTTCATGTTGGCAACATTGAGAAGGGAAGAAATGGAGAAGATCATCTTAACCTCAATATAAAAAAGGTTAGTATAGGTCGCGTGCACGATGACCGACCCTGTAAAACATTATTTTAGAAATTTCACGAGTATTTCTATTAGTTCCTATTGCAGAAGGAATTCCGATGAGAAATCAGAGAAATTACCAAGTTTCAAAATGAAAACTATATGTGTGACTTTATTAGGTACTTCCTTTTGAATCATAATGTACCAACCGGATTCCTTCGTCTCCAGTTGCATTTTTTGTGCATTGTACAACAGCACAATGTGATGGCATGCGCGAATTAATGAATAGCCGAAAAACACGATTCGTATGCCAAAATAATTGTGAAAAACTATTTCAATCGTTTCTAAACAAATGAGAAAATGAGGTTGTGTTTCAATGTTTCATCTCCAGGGTCAGTCATCTGACAGTCATTGCACGCAACCCATGGTCTTCTTCACCATTTCTACTCATTTCCAGTGTTGCCAACATATTATTTTACGTTGGAAGACTTGAACACAAGGACAGATGGGGAAGACATATATTTTTCTCTCTCAACGCCAGTTGAACGTCTCTCTTCAAATCATCGGGGAACAACCTTTCATTTTTAGAATGATCGAAGTTACCTGGACCTGTGTCGGCTACTCTTGCCGGACCCATCTTCTTCTTTGTCTTTGCGTTCGGCTCTGTCCTTGCGCTCCTTCGACCTGGACCTGTGCCGTTTCGACCTCCTGTCCAGCTCTCGCCCGCCCACGTAGTGTTCTCTGTAACGCTTCTCGTATCTGTCCTCTCTGCCGTCGCGGTCCTTGTCTTTGCCCGCCTTCTTCTTCTCTTCCTTCCGTTTGTCTGAATTTTTCTGAAAATCGATGTTTCCTCAATTTACTATGCGTGAAGTCATGAATCTTTGGGACTAACGAAAAATTCACGGAACTTAGACTGAATTGGAAAATAATATAGATTTCAACTACGAAATAGCCACAATGCTCAGAGTGGAATGAAATGTTGAATAAATACAGAAAGCTCAAAGTCATTTCCAAACAATGTTCATAAAATGAACAACAATGGTAGATTTCAGGCTATATGCCACGCAGAACATTGAATTACATCCTCCGGAAATCTATGCATCGACTCGTATAAACGTGAAAGAATCACTTGTATCAGTATTCGTTTATAGGAGTCGATGCATAGATTTCGGGACGATGTAATTCAATGTTCTGCGTGGCATTAGGCAGGAAAGTAGTTGTTTTTCTCCAGAAATCTACCATTGTTGTTCATTTTATGAACATTGTGTAGAAATGACTTTGAGCTTTTTGTAAATAGTTAATATGGACTTATACTACTATAGGCCATCGACTGAGGCATTACCACCGATACAACAAAATGCAAGCTCTGACGTAAGATCGAATACCTTCGTTGGATATTCATCAAAATAAATACTGTTTTGTGGAATAGATAGATAGATAATCCTCATTTGTACTTTGAAATCAAAGCCAAGAATAGGTGTACATAGTATGTAGGTACACAAAAAAAATAAAATACTATAATAGAAGAAAAAAAAACAAGATAATACAGAAATATTACAAAAGTGTATGAAGAACATCTGTTCACACACACATATACCAATTTATGTTGTAGCTATCTAATAGTTTGCGACATCTTATGAATGGATCTAATAATGCCTCACCCCTGATTTATAGATAGCATAACACACCTCAATATATAAATCAACGTTCCGCAATCAGTACAATATGACGATGAAATGATGTTGGGATAGATTTTTCCTGAATTTGACACACGCCAATCTTGGAATATTAATTTGTATTATTATTTTTGTTCGGACTATCAGGTATCAGTTTTGAAAGTAGCATTGTTTGAAAGCACGAGGATCAATCTGTTCAAGGTATCCCAATTCTACCAACGGATGATAACCTGGATTATGAATATTTGGCACTGCTACAGCTGGGAGTTCTGTTATGTGCAGCAGCAATAGGAACTTTGCTAATCAGAAATGTCGTCAGTTCAAGATAGGACCTCTGAATAGGTTTTGAAAATTCAAAGGTTTCTTTCAAGCTATACCTTTAGAGAGAACAAGAACAATTCCCAACAATTTTTTTAAATATAGGTACTCGTATGGATTTGAATTTTGACAACCATCTGCTTCAGCTTGAATACCTATCACACATCAAAAAGCAACAAATATGTATCACATGATTTCCCCTGAAGAACAGTTTGCATCCATTACTTCATCATCAATGAATGAATAAATTGAAGTCACCAGATATATTCATAATCCGTATAATATACGTGCAATCTCCTTTTTCCACCTAGCCTCCTTGATGGCATTGTTATTTTTGTAATAACTGTTTGACCTATATAAAATGGAATAATTCTCGATGAGGCTTCTCAGAACTTCGTTATCAATATTGTATGTAGAACAATTAATCATATTTTGCATAATAATAATAATCAAAATTATAGAACTACAACCTATTTCGGATCATCAACTGAAAAATTAGCTTCATTTCTACATAAACAGGACCTAAAAGTAGCATATAGAAGAAATAACACGTTGAGGTTTATCAAAAAAAATAAAGACAAAACTTCTAAATTCGAAAAATCACGGGTATACAAACTCAACTGTGGATCTTGTCCTAAAGTATATATCGGTTAAACAGGTCGTACGTTCAATCAGCGCATTCATGAACATAACATGAATTTTTTGAAAAAGAAAACAAATTCAACATACGCCAACCATATATTAGAAGAAAACCATAGTTTTGATGATAATTTCGAAATTCTACACGTAGAAAATGAAAGAATGAAACTCGATCATTTTGAATCATTAGAAATCAACAAACTCAAAAATGTTGTATGTATTTACTATCAACTCTTTCAAGTTAATTCGGTACACCCTATTTTGATGTAGATATTGTGCCTAATTTCCGAATATAAAGGTTTATCGAATTCATTTTACGTTGCCATGGGCTCGGTAAAAATCGCTGATTTCTTCTTTAGATCGGAATTCTTCTGAATAGTTTATAGAAACTTGCCTTTTCCTTGACCAAAAAAGGAGGACGTGGAATCACATCCACTAAAAGCATGGATGAAGTGGATGAGATGGTGGTCTGATTGAGGTGTTCGAAAAGAAGACATCTACAATAAACACTCCTACAAAATCAAGAGGCCTTTGCAATATCTGTAAAGTGACAATCAGCCTGTCAGCATATTCTTCAGCCTGGAAAATCTTAATGTTTTTTATTTTCATCCTTGCCTTCAACAGTTGGATGTATCTCAATTATCCTCAACTTGTTTTTATCATTACTTAATGACTGTTCCTGGGAAATCTGAGGTATAGTTGTTTCTTAAAATATCACCTCTAAATCTGTATTTCAGGAACTGTTAGGCCTACAGTAATCATATTCAGCTCAATATTTAGAAAATTTCATATACTTTGAAAATGAATAGAATTGTCTTTGTTGAAAAAGTATGGCGAAATCTGAAAAAATTGTAGATTGAACGTTATATGGCCGTGATCCGAAAGATCACCGAGGTCGAAAAATTGGATTTGGGATCACTGTACTATCCCAAACAATATGGAAAAAGCAACCTACTACCCCAAACCATGTAAGATGGACCCTTTTTGATGACAAGGTTACTAGATAAAACAGCTGAAATTGAAAGTTTCTGATGATTGATGAATAATCTCTGTAAATGTATGTTTGACGCTGATGTTTCACCTCTAATTCGGTCAATTTCTCCCTTATCTTGATAAAGCCGAGATGCAACTTGCCGCCAAAGTGGTCGGCCAATCTTCTGTCGTTGTCGTGGATGCCCAAATAGGCGGAACAAACTTCGCACACTCTCAGCTTTTGTTGCTGGTAACTGCTGGCCGGCATCGAGTTGCGGTACTCCTGTTCGGCGTCCAGTTTCTTTTTTCTCAGCTCGTCGACCTGACCGAACAAAATCAATGAGAAATGTTAAATGGAACTTCTAGAGGAGGGTTTAAGGAGCCACGAGTTTTTTCTGCCTCGGGCAACAGAATACATCGAGGGAATTACGCTATGCAATGGGGAAGTTTCCTATATGGAGGTTTTTATGTCAGTGTGAAGATTGTAAAAAATCAATACATACGTATTTTTCCTTTTTTATTTTTTCATGAGATAAAATTTCACTTCAGAAAAATATATATAAAAGATTCATTTGGCTCCTCCACCATTCTTATGACTTACTTTCTGGGAATCCACATTCACACAGAGTTAAAATACGATTCCCTGTGCCAGTACGACAATGCCAACATCATCAGTATGTCTAGAATTCCGGAAATTGTTCTTTGAATGCATAATTACTATATCATAATAGCAATGGGATATAATAGTGTAATAATATTTCCCTTAGAGGGGCTCTAGAAACATCATCAGGAAGATAGAAGTACAATGATCATCCTGTAACATGCATCAACCTCCCAATGATTCCTACATGCATCAGCATACTTCCGAACACTCAATATATGCCGCGGTGACAAATAACGTGACAGAAGATTCTGGAATGTTCTGGAAACCATTGTCTGCTAAATATGGAGAAAAAATCTAGTGAGCTGGAGTATCTGGTCTGCCCAAACAAGGGAAATCACCTACAGCGTTCTGTGGCCGATACAGTAGTACCGCCATACGGTCAACTCGAAGAAACACTCAATTCAATTGTTTTCTTGTCAAACTTACATAACCTTGAAAATCGTAAATGAGTTGAGCCTCCCTTCCTCTCAGCGGTGCTCTCGGCAGTCTCGGCCGGTGGCATAGTTTGTTTAGTTTTAGTGAGTTTGAGTTCAGTCACGACATTCGGACATTCACGGGACACGGTCACTCAGTCACTCAACAATTCAAAAATAGTTAGGTTCATGCATATACAATGCTGGAAACAATCTGGGATGCGTGTTACAGGATGATCGTTGTTCTTTTGTCTTCCTGATGATGTTTCTAGAGCACCTCTAAGGGAAATATCATTATAATAGGTTCTTCAATCCTACTTTGTATTATGAATAATTCCCATAAAGCTCTCATTGGCTGAATGAAGTTGATTACTTTTAAAGATGAATTATGATATTTTGCGAGAGTATCTATGATTTTTCACTATCGTTATATTACAATATTTTATTCATGACTTGTTAGTCATTTTTTTTTGCTAAGGAATTCGTTCCCTAATAAAACGGATCTATTTTCTACAAAAGCAACAGCGCCTAATACTTCCGAGTCCGTCCACACCACTCAAAATACTGACAGACACAACAAGATTAAGGAGCCATGGGTGTCGGCTTCATTCTGTTCTGACCGATGGCAGTAAATAAGGAAGGATAGTATCAATGCAGCCGATAGTGATTCATTGATTCAATGATTTTTTCGTCTAGGATCGAGCTCTATTCGAGATATTTCAATGCATAAATAACAAAACCATAACCCGTCAGAATGAAGCCAACTACTCTCTGCATTCCTGCTCCGAGTGCATTTGTGGTTATGTATGTTTTTGTTTACCAGTTTTACTTCTATTTTTTTCATTCGTTTTTCAATCGTTTGATCTTTGTTAGCTATTTGCTAGCTATATTCTTTATGATCAGCTATTTTCAAACTAGAGTCAGAATGTACGTCACAATTTGAAAATGAAAACGGAGTTTATTGGTCACCGTTCTGTACAGCGTGGACATAAAACTGGAGTTCCGAACTCATTTTATGAAAATTCATCTGAAGGAAACTTCCCCGTTGAACATAGGGAAGGCAAACATCCAGTAAGTTGGCGGAAAAATGTTTTGCAGTTATGACGTCAAGTACCCTTTGCGTTTTTCTGTCAAGTAGGTATTCAAGAAATTGATTTTACAAGTAGGATTTCACCAATTTCTACAATCGATGTCAATGATAATTTCTGAAGGTCGTTTTTTTTATCGAATGATGAGTAAAAAATTCGTAATTATAGAGTTAGTAATAAAATAGTAATAAATTATGCTATTTTTCAAGTTTTCCAGAAAATAAATGTTCAGCCATGGTTCTGCTAAGTTGACATAAAGCTAGCAGATCCACTGGGTTTTCTGTTGAATGAAGGGTTAGAGATTTGTGAATGTGGCAATAAATTAGCAATAAATTAGTAACTTATTGATGACTCAATAGAATATCAAATAACATGTGATTTGAGTTTTGGTTCTGCTTGGTTGAGATCGAGATTGACAAATCGGCGTTTTCTTCCATCGAATGATGAGTAATCAAATCGTGGTTGTAGTTATAAGTTAGTTATTAAATAGTAATAAATTGTAATATATTTGAAGTTTACCAAAAAAAAATATGTTAAGCTATGGTTCTGCTAGGTTTTACATAAAGCTAGCAGAGCCGTTGGTTTTGTCTGTTGAATGAATTCGCGAATATGGTAATGAATAACTACTAGATTAGTAAAAAAATAAAGCACTATTACAAATCTGAAACGTTGAAATGGTTCTGCTCAGTTTATTGTGGTCTAACCTCCTCCATCAGCTTCATGCTCTCCTCGACGAACCCCTCCTCGCCCAGCTGCTCCGCCTTGGCCAGCTTCTGGCCGATCTGCTCGGCCAGCTCGTGCACGTTGTTGGCCTTGGCAGCCACCTCGGCCGACAGCTCCTCCTGCGTCTCGGCCAGCCGCTGCTTGGCAGCCTCGGTGCGCCGGTCGCAGTCGCCGATGAACGCCTGCAGATGCTCCATGGCCTGCCGGTCGACATGAACTATTACTAACCCGACCAGGGGTGGGCGAATATAGAGTTTTGGGTTGCCGACCGGCCGTTAGTAGTATTGTTAATGGAAATATTTCCGTTGGAGAATGTTTAGTTTGATGATAAGGATGACGATGACACCGATGATAAGAATGATGATGACACCGATGAAGAAATGCCCTCTTGCTCGACTTAGAGTTCCTAAATGTATTTGACACTGATGTTTTGACGTTTTTCGTATATTAGAGTACGGACACTAGACAAGCAGTGACAATCAAACATAACCACAAACGATTTTGAAGCGAATCATATGTTTTGCCAGACAAGGATAAGAATATGTTTTTCGCTTAGATAAAGGATATTCGCATCTTCCTTCCTCCACAAGTCCTGGGAAGAGTACATAAATTCATCTTTATCTCTCTTTGATTTTTGTATGAGAGTGCATAGCTTCTCCTCGAGTGGGAAGGGTACGATAAATTGATTAGAAAAGTATTTCTTCTCGAAATATTGAATGATAAGGCTGAAGGATCTCAATGGAGGTCGATATCAAGTTGGTATGTTGGGATGAGGTTCTTTTCGATACTCGCTCAGTTCATAAATTGTGGGTTCGGCTCTTTCTATCAATACGATTCTATTCTTCAACATCGATTCTTCCATTCTGAAGTGTACCTGATGAAAATGCGTTGAAAAATGATATATATCCTACCAAGAAATTTGAATACCTTGCAAATTTTGTGGCCTGAACCTATATTCCATGCCGGCCGCATCATTCTATTTCCATTTTTGTAGAATTACGTTTTGCGATGTAAATTCGAATAGAGTGAATTGATTTCCCGTGTTCTCAAAGTGTTGGAAACTGCACAAACTTGCTTCTTCCTACTAAGTCTCTCAATTTGTCAAACCTTTGGAATTTATGTCATGTATGTACGTCCGTGTACTGTCAGTTCCCGCTTTTTCCATCAATTTATTTGTGATTATGTCTGATTGTCAGTGCTTGTCATAGTGCCCGTACTCTAATATACAAAAAACGTCAAAACAGCAGTGTCAAGTACATTTAGGAACTCGACTTGTTTGTCAAAAATAAAATTTCTTGAAGAATAACTCTTTATTTGTATTTATGTGTAAGCATTCTGCGTTTCGTTATGTTTTCAACACACTTCTGTTAGAATATATATAGAATGTACTGATTACGGAGGTTGAAATGTTTTCTATATGTATCTATCAACACACTCTCATTATTGAAAGCTTTTATTTTTATTTTCAACTTCTTTTTAGTTTGGCTACCTATAAAAGGGTGTTTCTTTATTTTTATTTTATTTATAAATGAATATTCCTTTTTTCTACTTTTTTAGTGTTTTATAGAATTATAATACTGTATTGGGCTCTTACGGGGTGCAATGCCTGGTGTTTGATATAACCTTTAGTAGATTCAATTTTACAGAATAACTGCAAGAGTTAATGAAAAGATCAACGTATATTAGACAGATCAATCAATAATTAATTACAACAATATCTATCAAAATTGACGACTTCTAAACATAATATATCCCTATAGTCCAGGAAGTTAACCAAACCAGCTCTCTCTCATTAGTAGTACAGGATCTATCTCGCTACACTAACCCCACGTTGGGCGCCAATTGTATAGGGTTCTTACGGGATGCAATGCCTGGTGTTTGATATAACCTTAAGTAGATTCAATTTTACATAATAACTGCAAGAGTTAATGGAAAGATCAACGTATATTAGACAGATCAATTAACAATTAATTACAACATCTATCAAAATCGACGACTTCTCATCATATATCCCTATAGTCCAGGAAGTTAACCAACCAGAATCTATCTCGCTTCAGTACCTATTTCCAATATTTTCATGTATTTCCAATGTTTCAGGAAATATTATCGAAAATATATTTCCGGAAACACTAGTCGTCAGTGTCATACGGATGGTTTCGACTGGTCGCTTGGATACAAAAACCTTAAAAACGGCAAACTTCACTGATCAATCGGTAATATACCGAAAATAACAGACTATAGATGTCCTTTCCACTTTTTTGAGTAATTTTTTTACAGGTTATAATGTATATATCCTTGACCATCAAAAAGCAAGGGCAATTTGCTCTTGGATCGTTCGGTCTTGGTCTTCAATAAAAAACGTCTCCATTTGATATAAGTCGCAACTAGTCGGCAATCAAAAAATCTGGAATTGTTATCAGTCACGTGACACTAACCGGCAACCAAAAACTATATTTGCCGACCCCTGGTCTAGTTAGTACTAAATTATGTCGATGCGACGGTCGCAGTCAACGATGAACTGCTAACCGGACCAGGGGTGGGCGAATAAGGAGTTTTGGGTTCCGACCGGCCTGACCGTCCGGTCGTTAGTAGTATCGAAAATGGAAATATTTCCGTTGGAAAATGTTGAGTGTGATGACAAAGATGATGATGACACCAATGCAGATATGCCTCTTGCTCGATTTGTTGGTCGAAAATAAGATTTTTTGAAGAATAACTCTTTATTTGTGTTCATGTGTAATCATTCTGTGTTTAGTTATGTTTTTAACACTCTTTTATTAGCTTCACCTGTATGTTTGTATGTACCACTCTTTTAAACTTGACCTACTTTAAACGGACCGATTGCTTTGGCAGGTGTACATGATTCAGGTGGCAATGCATCATGAAATTACTATTACACATAAAACAAAATGGCGGATCCAAAATGAAGGACGTTTTGTAACTATGATACGAATCTATTCAAAATTTGTATCTGGGGGTTTTCGGGGTCGGAGACTATGATTCTTTCGTCAAAATTGGTTTCCAGTTTCATATTCATAGTTATGTATACGGAATAACACGGATCTTGGTCATCAAATCATTGTGTATTTTTGGAGTAGTTCTCGGACGTCGGAAAGATATACTGTCATGTGAAACTAATTTGTCAGTTGAATTGGTTGTTGTAATGACATTTTGAATTCATTAATGAACCACATATACAGCAGTATTTTTTATCATTAATGCTGACATTCTCCGTAACTACAATATCCTTTAGCCGCATCGACCATAAAAAAGCACGGGCGAGTTGGTTTTGGATCGTTCGGTCTTTGTCTTCAATACAAAACGTATACATTTGGAAGTAGTCGCAACCGGTCGGCAATCAAAAACTCTCGAATTGTTATCAGTCACGTGATATTAACGGCCGGTCGGCATCAAAAACTATATTTTCGACCCCTGATCTAGTTAGTACTAAATTATGTTGGTGTGTCCGACATAAATTATTACTAACTAGACCAGGGGTCATCAAATATATCGGGTGACAACGTATTCATTAGACAAGCCATAGTTTCCAGAGTTCTGAAGGTATGATATTCAAATGTGGCAGGGGTGTTGGATTCAGGAATTGTACCATTTTTCCATATTTCATACTCTCCCCTTCACATCAGGTGAAACCGGAAACGACCCCGACTTTTGATATTGAAATGAGACACCCAGTATTTTATTCAATAATCAGTTGAAGATTATCATAGCAAATTCAACAAATCCGGGATTATTTTAAATAGTAATAATAATTTGAATTAACCCTATCAAACCCAGTATCATTGAAATCGTTATGTTGATACCTGATCTATTATAGAATAATATACCCCCCTTTGAAAATCAAAAGTTGGGGTAATTTCCAGTGGAACCGGAAGTGATTGGATATAGTATGAAATATCGCAAAATTTACCAAATCTTGGTTCATATACCCCTACAGATTTTGAATCCCATACCTTTGGAACTCTTGTAGAAACAATGGCTTGTCTCAAAAATTTGTTGATACCTGGTAGTTTTGCTGGAAATGTGGTATTTTCTCAAGTTAGGACTAAGATTATTCATGCATGAATTCACCATGAGTGTGATACTGTGTGATATTACTATTAAGTAATATTGTAGATAATAATACTTACATCAAGATCATAAAAATAATCTTTGGCCTGCTGGGCTTTTTCAAAGTCTGCTCTTAATGCCAAATCATGAATTTTTGGACAATCTCCCAAATCCATTCTCTGTCAAATTACAACAAATAATCCAGTAAATCAAGAACATTTCAAACATATGCATCAAACTCTCCAAAATATGTTATCTCCAATACTCAATTGTTTCAATTAATTATTCATATTTCAATAATAAATTTTGGAAAGCTTTCAAAATAACTGGAAATTACCCATTAATGATGGGACATCATAGAAATGAACCTTCAATGCAGGGTTGGAATAAGTCAGGACTTTTATGACAAATCCACTTTAAAAAAAATTGAATTATATTGATATAACCAAAATACAAAAAAGACAACTTAAAAAAATCATTTTTAGGTCAAATTGGGCATTATCACTGACTTATTTTGAATGAATTAATTCCTGCCAACCCTGCTTCAATGTAACAGTGATTATAGAAGTGCATCATCTCTGAATTTAATGATATGATATTTGCAACTTATTGAAATCAAATTCATTGAGAATACAATGTTAATTAATTAGTTATAGTTTCAAGTGAATAAATTTACTGAAATGACCATCAACATTACTCTATTCATATGTAATAAATCTCAGATCATCATGAATGGGTGAAAATCATTTTTGATTGACTATAAACACAGATCTCACTTCATGTTCCATTACTGATTTCATCACTAACTGGCAAACCATCTCTTATATTTATTTGAAATACTGTGTGTATAGTCAATTTTGGAATTAACCTTGAATAAACATTATTGTAATAAAAAATGGGATAAAACTTACAAGTATTATGGTAAATTCCACAGAAAAATTGGACCCCGAAATATCCAACCATAATGATTTTTCTTTAGTAATGATGAACAGTGTGACTGTTGGAAATGGCAAGAGAAATCATAACGCACCTATTTTGGTTTGGTTTCTTTAGATCTTATACTCACTAAATAAGCCTGAATGGAAGATTTTGACCTTATATTTTTCATACTCACAAATTTCCTGTGTTCGTGAATTGTTTTTATTTTGTATGTAGTACAGTACATGCAGATAGATCTTGAGTCAAATATTTAGTTACTTACCAATACCACATGAATGCTAAATTTGTGAACTACAAAATTTCCATACCTTCCTTGTAGCATCTAGCTATCAGGAATATTAAATACAATCAAGAAATTAATAAAAACTTGAAGATGAAATAAATAAAAAATATTGGAGAAAACAATCAACTGAACTCATAATAATAACAATTTTATTAATTTCCCGATGTTGTAGTCATAAATCCTTGGCAATTAAATAGTATTTTGCTGGTGATATAAATATCAACATTTAAGGTATACCTAATACAATGACGGCTAAATAGTAAATATCAAGTAAGCTGCCGACCTGATCATGACTGCCCATACAGCGGAAATCATGTTTAGGAATCTACTCGTTCCCCGTATCCCGCGACATCTATTGTACAAATTTGAACTGTTTTTATGCTAACCTAGAAATTGAGAGATGTCACTGGTGACAGATTGGTACAGATACCTACATTGCCTTGACGGCTTAGCCGTAATTCCGTGGTCAATGCCAAATGCACTTTTATTGCTTTGCTTGTTATGATCATAGGTTATGATAGTCTTAGCTGACTCAGACTTGTATTTCCTATAATTATTGATTGAAGATTAGACCTTATCTGTGATTAGCAATTAGCATTTAAACGTGTCGTGAACAGCCGCTCGGTGAAATTAGGAGGCTTGAAGTTGGTGCAAAATTTCATGACAAGAGATCATTGTGCTCCGGACGAATTTGTTAAGATTATTTTTTCCTTGCAAGGTAATTAGTTGCTGTGTTTATTTTTGATGGTACAATTCTTGAATTAGTCATTGAACATCTACATATATTATTCAGGTGTTTTATTTCTAGAGATCATAAATATCAAACACCAACTACCTACTATTGAGTGCCATTGACTACTCACTCATGAAATGATTGAACAATATGGAATAATAACAATGTATTATGCTGTTCCTTGTGAAATTGACGGAAACTGATCATGGGACAACTTCACATCTTGGAAAGGGTGCTCTTCAGTAGTGGACACAAACCTTGTGAATACTCTGATTTGAGGTAAGTTATTAGTCTTTCATGACTAGTGTATTTAGCAAACTATAATGGTGGCATAGTCACCATTTATAGAATTGTAAAAAATAGGTCAGTTCAAGAGATTATAGTTTTATATAATATACTTACATAAATGGTCTGTATTCTTTAGACCATGTGAATGAGGAAGGCCAATAATTTTCCATACTTATAATTATCAAAGAACATTGATATGAATTGGTGAATGCTTGAATCATTGAACAGTGTTCAGAGGGTGAAAGTATGGCAAAGTCAGCTAAATGTTACATTTTCAATTTTCAATATTGTTCATTATGGTTTTTGTGGATATCCTTGATCACTATCACCATCGTCCACCAATTTGGTGGAGGATGCTATCACTAATGTCTCGACTAATGTAGATTCATTTTCAGATCCATTCAACAAACATACAAAAATGTATGTAGCTATAAATAATGTAGATACCTTCCAAACAATAAATACAAGTACCTACTCCAAGTAGAATTCCTCTAATTTCAATTAATCTTGATATTTAGGTAAGTTTTGGAATTTTGTACTACCCAGGGTTAGTTGAAGCAATTATACACAATTCTACTGTTTCTTTCCCCATATATATTATTGAAAATCAGAAAATTTTTAGACAGTAAGTAATATCACAGTTTTTCAGGATATGAATTCAGATGGTTCACATTTTTCAGAAGCACCCTCCATAAAAAAGGTATAGGATCATTATGCCTCTTCATACCTCTCTAGCTCTCCTGAATTCTTAGATGTTCTTCAAGAGAAACCAACAGGATGTTTGATATACAGGGTATCTTGAAAAGGTTTGTAGAAAATGTTTTAACAAATTACTTGGACTAGATGAACATTTTCAAAAGTTTCAAATGTTTCAAGATTTTCTTGAATACTGTGAAAACTTGGATGTAGCTATATTGGTATGAACATTTTTAGGTGCATTAAATATGGTAATAAGTAGGTATAGTCTTGTGATGGATGAAAGGATTTTTTTTAGTGAAGAGGTATTTGATCATCCTGTTTTGGTCTCAAAAAGTCATGCATGTAATTAAGGAGCCATCTTGTATAATCTAAATGTTCACCACAAGTCCAATTAAATTTCAAGGCAATGTATATTCAACATAGGTATATAATATTGGTTGTGCATGTATACTCATACATACACATCATTTCATCTAAATTAATGCAGTAAACCAAGCAAGCTTTAGAATTTTCTATATGATTTTCTGTGGTTCAGAACATTTATTATGATTTACCAAGTTCATACTATGATGAGACAAAATAATAAAGATCATCATTACATAATGATAGTTCTGAGACTGAGTCCTTGAAAAATGGAAACTTTGATTATAGACAGAAAAAAATGCTCAGAGCTTAATTGAAATTTTGGAGACTGGATACAAATTCAGTTCATTCACCGTTTTTTTATTCAAGTATTTTCTTACAAACACAATGATCACAAGAGTATTAGGCTATGGCCTGAGCCCTCAACACTGACAATTTAAAAAATCCACAAAAATAATAATATCAGTTACAGAATAGTTATTTGTTTAAATAGTGCAAAAAGTGTGTATTGCAGAAAGTATGAATCTAAACATGCAGTGCAACAAGTATACTTATTGCTAGTGTTACGCAAAAAATAATTATTCTTATAACAATGTTTCTGTGTACAGGGTGAGTCATAACTATTGGGACATAGGCTGAGGGCGGATTGTTTGGAACAAAATATGGTGATAGGAACGATATGCCCGAGGATATGCCCTAATAAAATTTTGATGTGGAAAAAGATACAGGGCGTTGAAATTGAAATTTTTTTTAAGTTGTTTTGCTAATTATTCCACTGTACCACTGTAAGAGTAGGTGTAACGTTTTTATTTTCCAATATAACTAGCCTACACCAAAACGTTACCTTTCTACGTTATCTTCTACTATAATTCCAAATAAAACTCTCAAAGGAAACACTATAGAAGTCAGACACTTTTATTGTATATTTTGTAACATAGTTCTAAGAGGTGTGCCTAGTTGAACACACTGTATACCACTCTGTCTCTCCTGGTGTCTCATGAGGTGAAGGCATCCTGAAACAAATTAAATATAAAATCTATCTGAATGTTATCATTGAATGGAGAAGCAACACAAATATTTTATCAAATGAAAAATCTTACCTGAATCTTTCTGCATTATATATGAACCATACAACACTATGGATCTATCTGTTTTGGTCTCCTATCCAATGATGATCATCATCATATCACCATATTTCTGTCTTGCCAATAGTTTTTTCCTGGAAATAAAGAAAACAACAATCATAAGAATTCACAAATACTGAAAATCAGACAAGGAATATCGAAGATACGTACGGCATACTACTCCCGTGTCTATATGTAAATATTGTATAGTTAGATATAGTTGTGGGAAATTGGTAGAAATATCCTTTTATTCCTTTTCATAAACAACCCAGAGTTATTCAACATCCAATGTTTACTACTTCACTGTTTGGTTATGTCGCGACCTTGTGACTGTCAGACGATTTTTACTCGTATTCTTCTTCCGTATGTGGCCAATTCCTCTGCCGTGAATTAGTCGTTCTACGCATAAATATATTAATTCCGATACCCCGTCCGGACGTCGCTCAAAACGGACTCAGCTTTGTAAGGATATTCGCATTTGGACATTGTTCCAATCGGACTCAACCATGTAAGATTTTCGCATTTTTGCTGTCGCCATCTCCTGGTGTTCGTCAGAATTATCAAGTGAAATGGGGTCATGACCATGATCTTGGACCATGACCATGTGATGACTGACAAAACTGTGTCAATGTCAAGGTCGTCTTGATTTCGTTTTCCGCCTTCCGGCGAAGACATTTTTGCGGTAGGCCATCATTCTTTCGTGAGTGTCATGTGCACGATGTCATGTGATCATCATCTCTGCGAGCAGCA